AAGTTACCATCTGGAGGTTCTTGATATGGTGCTTGCTGTATGTCGCGTACCAGTATGTGCCCGCTTCTGCTAAGCCGTACAATGGCCAGACGACGTGGATCACAGTGCCAGGGGGATACTTGTCACGGATCCGAGTAGGTGGGTAGGCGAGAATCATTCTTCTGAGTGCCTCCTTGGCCTGGGTGTATGCCTGAGTGACATCACGGCCCCAGATGAAGTAACCAAGGGGGAGAAGTGTAGGGCCGAGCACCAGAAGCAGACGCTGGCTTGCACGCTGAATCGTCGGCGACTGCGTGAGGATGACCTTCTTGCCGTCGTCGTTGTAGCCTTGGATGACGAGGCGGCTTTTCTCGTATGGCTTGGACCCAATGCCCTTGATCTCGTTGACGAAGCGGGACTTGAAGATCTTGATGCCCTCGTGTTCAGGGCCTAACTTGACGAACCTGATGACGCCACGCTCAATGAGGCCGGCGAGCTCCAGCTTAGTGGACTCCTGGAAAGGCTTGCCGGGTGCGATGATGGTGCCATCTTTGCGAAGTTGAGTAGCTAGCTTGAGGTTGGTCGCTTCCTTGGTTGTCAAGTGAACGACGGCAGTGGCATTCCGTCTTCCCAGCGGTCGACGGATCCGCTTGGTACATCGGGCTGACGATTCGTCTGGCTTGGATGCGGCGACGACGATCTCATCCAGGATGACTTCGTCTGCGCGGCCGGCACCTTCAACAGGCTGATTGGCAGACAACCCATCAGGTAGGCGCCCTACGTGCTCCATCGCCGTCGAAGGGTCGATTGCCTCCGTATACCACGGCTTGACCATAGTGGCGCGGAAATCAGTTGGACCACTCGGCAAGTCGAGAGTACAAGTGGTGCCGTTGGTGGAGATCAGCTTGAACGGGCCCTCCCATCCCCTGCCTTCCCGCCAGACCTTGACGTCTGATTGCAATGGTAAAGCGATGGTTGAAGTGATGTCGGGTCCATTGCGAGTGGCGAGTGCGTCTGCGACTTTCCTTTCGGCGTTGAGACGGCGGATCTCCTTCATTGCCTTCTTGACTGCTTCAGCACGTTGGGTGATCTCTGGTGATGGGGGAGAGTTGTCTGTGGTGCGAGGGAAAGCTCCGAAGACGAGTAGTGTAGGGACGAGGCCATTGGGACCGGCGGTATCGTTGATTGCCTTGACCGCGGTCTGAAGTGCAGACTCGGCGTTCAAGGAGGGGCATTCCGCCATGAGGATATCGTATGCCCTCCTGAGGTCCTTGTGGCGCCTCTCGACCATGCCCACGCTATTATGAGCCTCGACAGGCACCTCCTTGACCTCGATCGAAAGTGCTCGAGCTGCCGCCTTGAACTCCGCAGAGTGGAAGTTCCGGCCAGCGTCGGTGACAATCCAGTCCGGGGGCCCCAGGTAGACGTCAGTCCAACAGAGCCTGAAGACTTCCCACGTGTGCTTAGCGGTCATGTTATTGAGGAACTTCGCCGCCTGGAAGCCGGTGGCTACGTCGACGACGTGCAGAACCGGACACTTGACGCCTTCACGGTTCTCGAGATACATCACATCCATGATGACCTCGTAGTTGAAGTCGCACTCGTCGCGCAGGGTGAACTTGAACCTGGTTGGAGCTTGGCTGTTCAACTGGCATTGTTGACATGCCTTCGTGATGTGCTCGAGGGCCACTTTCTCCACCTCGTTACCTGACTGCCGAAGCACCTTCAGCAGACGCGGGACCGATGGATGTCCAAAGCGTCGGTGTAGACGGCGCAATTCGTTCTCCGTGAGGTAATGGACCATTGCCCTCTCGTCGTCGAGAAGCAACAGCCATGGATGACCCCACTTGCGAACGACTGGAGCAGTGATGTCTCCCTTCACCATGAGGTTGGTGACATTGTTAAAGTGGACGTCCATCTTATCCATGTCCGCCAGACAAAGCAAGAAAGGGGTGTTACTTGGCAAGACGTGAAATGTGATGTCGCCGAAGGGGGTGGAGACAGTGGTTGAGCCAATTGATTTGATGCCGACGTTGTCACCGAAGCGGATGGTAACGGTGCCAGCAGTGGTGGTATCAAGTGTGATATCACGGAACTTCTGCAGCGCAAGGAATTGTTGGTAGCCGGCAGTGGAAAACTCAGCGGCGCCGGTGTCGGGCATGATACCCTGGAACCCTCTTGAGTTATACCTTCCTTCCAACGAGAAGGAGGCGGCGGGCTCGGTGGGCTCGGCGAACTCGTCCATTGACGTCGTTCGGGTCAATCCGTGTTCAACTGCCTGGGACGCGAGAATCTCAGTGAGGGCCTTACTGCTCGCAGTGGCTTCGCCGAAGTAGGTGGTTGAGACGTGGAAGGTATCATTATCGTCGTCCTCGTGGTCGAAGTCGAGCTCGTCGAAGTATCGAATCAGCGCCTCAGTGTCGCTCTCGTCGTTGGCTGCGGTGTTGTGAGTGGAAGACTCGACGGAAGGCTCAATGCCCTCGTAGAAATCGAGGAATTGAAAGTAGGTGCGGTTGTTGGTATCTTGACTGTCGCGATTGCTTCTCATTGACTTAAACTTGTCGTACGCCTTGCGGCGGTCTTCCTCGGAATGCTTGGTCGACCAACAGCCGGGCTTGTGACAGACGTAGCACTTCTTATTACGCTGAGGACCACGTCCAGGGCGACCTCGAGATCCAAATCGCGCTTCCTTCCCTTGACCACGGTATGTTCGGTCGGTCCAGAACGACTCGGGGGTGTTGTTGTTGCTGTCGACGGAAGGACCGTGTAGGTACTGCTGAGGCTTTTCGCGTTCGCGTTCGCGCTCGATGGTATAGATTGAGGCGTTCAATTGACGGACCACACCCTGGAAGGTCTCTTCAGGTGCGAGCAAGACGTGGCGGCACTCTGGAATGCCTTCACAACAGTTAAGTAGTTGATCTCGCATGTTGAAGCCAGAACCGAATGGGGCAAGAGCGTCGTGTAGGATTGAGATCCGCTGGACGAGCTCTTGAAGCACTTGTTGGCCCGACTTGCCCGGGTTCTCGCGGGCTATAGAACGGTAGTTAAGATCGCGAAGCTCGGTGAGGTATGTGAGTCGAGTGGAAGGAGGTTCGAAGTAATCCCTGACCTTGTGGCACATGTCGTCGAAGGTCATGGTCGTGCTTGATTGACTGAGGTTGTCGAAGTAGAAAGATGCTGCCCTGCCTTTGAGCATCTCGGAGAAGGCACCTGCGTAGCCAGACTGGTCGATCCCTGCCTTACGGCAGAGGTCTCTGAATATGGCCACCTTCTTCGTGAAGATCTCGTACTTGTCGCCGCCGTACTTGCGCTCATCGGAGTAGAGCTTGGCTAGGGCAACAAGGGAGCGAGTGTCGGGCATGATGTTCTCGGAAGGAAGGTAGGGATGACATTGCTGACGTACGAGGTGTTCGTCGAGTATGGTATTACCGAGGAGCTGTTGGCCCGAAGGAGGAAGGTCGTGGCCCAGCGGGTTCGATGTGACCGGTGGAATCGCGGGTTGGGCAGGAGGTCGAGCTTGAGGTCGAGCGGGTGTTCGAGGAGGAGGGGCAGTGCCTCTGACTTCGTGAAGGAGGTCTGCCGTCGAAGTGCTGTCGGGGAGCAGCGTGGCAAGGAACTTGAGGTCTTTCGTAATCTCGCGAAGACGGGCAGACTTGTTGCGGGCCGCGTGGATTTCCTCGTCGGTCCACGTCGGCATATTATCCAACTCGACTAGCCGGCAGAGCCGGTGGTGGTAGCCTCCTGTAGCGCTGCCAACGTTAACTCCATTGTCAACAAGGTAGTCCCTCAACTTCTTCAAGATCGGGCTACCGATGAGCTTGATGTCATCAGTGGTCCACATCTCAAAGTCCGCCTTGTATTCCCTCCACAGAAGCTCGCCAATGAGGTTGGGCTGACGCTCGTAGCAGGCGAGGATGCAGAGCGCAATGCTCTTGGCTTTCTCAGGTGTCAGTTGGCCCGCGTCGAACTCGTAGTTGCCCCATTGCTCAAGGTCGACCTCGTGGTAGTGCTTGGGTGGAATTGGAAACGGGGACTTGACGGGCGAGGCTGGGTGACCTCTAGGCGAGGGAGGCGACGACGGCGTCGCAGAGTCTGACGTTCCGGCCATGGTAAGCAAAGTGCTGGAAGATGGAAAGTGTGTAATCAGAGGAGTATATTGTATGAGGTTGACTTCAGAAGAGACAGAAGTAACCGCGAGGCAGCTCGACGGCCACACTTAACTCGGCGGTCAGCGTCGACGTTAAGCCGCGTAATCGAAGCGTCGTTTACTTGATTGGCCACGGATTCCGTTTGTTGAAAAATTCTGCTGCTTCTGTTTGACGGGCTGGAAGGTCGAAAGGTTGGCGAGGAAGCCGGAAGGTCGTGGAATCTGGCTTGGCGGTGATTTCACAGCAAACGGTCGATGCTCTCGTCTGACAAAACCCAAGGGTCTCTGGTTGTTCTCTTGAGACGGAAGGAGGCAAAAACGAGGTCGTAAAAATTGCCGCTCCTCGTAGCCGTAATTGGAGCTCGGCAAGTGGAGTGAGAGCCGTGAGGTCGGACGACTAGAGATGAGGGTATGATGGATTGAAGTTGGTGATCTTGCTGCTTCCGTGGCGGTCGACTGGCGGAAGGGATCGTAATTGACGATATGAGCTCTCGAGGCTTCCGCGATCGAGAAGGTCGAATGTGTGTAGTACAGAACGGACCGGATTCTACCAGTGAGTCCCAGTCACCTAACTTAATAGGTAAAGAGCTGATCACCGAATCGGAACTGACTCTTCTGAAGCCCGTGTGCCTTGCTGATCTGAGGTAGTGGAATTCAACCACTGATCAGTGTTGGTATACACGTCAGCAGGGCAACCGTACGGTTGGAACGAAGTGTCAATAATGGTCTATTATTGCTGCGTCTTCAGGTGGAAGGAGGAGGTTGTGGGCAGAGCCCACGGCCTCTCAGAAGTGGTATGTAAGGGGTCGTTTGTAAGTGCCCATACCGCCTTCCAGATCCACCTTTTCTGCCGACTGCTCAGAGATCCAACATTACCCATCTCACCACTGTTACCTGCGGCGACCGTAACAAAAGTTACCTTGGCTTGGATGTTAGAGGCGACTACAGCAAGGATGTTCTCAGGGAATCCAGCATTCGATCCCAAAGAGGCAGATATGATATCCGCGCCCTCCTCGTAGGCTTGGATGAAACCTTGAGCGATGACATCCTCCATACTGCTACCGCCGCACCCAAAGACCTTGTAGATCCTCAAGCGGGCATCAGATGCGACACCGGGTAGGTCATCGTGAGAGCTCGCAACAATACCGGCGACGTGGGTTCTGTGGCCGGCGCAGTCCAAAGGATCGGCATCAGGCACATACTCTCTCCCAATTTCATAGTCGTCACCAACGAGGTCATATCCGCCTTCGACCTTGAAACCCGCACCGAATCCACCACCGAGATTTGGATGGAGATAGTCGATGCCGGTATCGATAATCGCTACAACGACGCCTTCGCCGCGGTGGCCAAGCTTGTGGACCTTGTCAACGTTGGTGAGCGTATGAGGGTCCCACTTCGGTAGCGGCTCTGACATGATGTCGGAGGCATTGGGCTGCACTGCTGACACAATGGAGACGGGCCATAGCTTCTCGACCTCGGGGAGCGTCTCGATCTGCTGCAGTGAGCTGGCAGTATGGTTGAGAAGGTCAAAAGAGGCGCCATGGAAGATGTCCGAGGTAAAATTCAGCGCGGGTTTGGCCGTGTTGTTGGTGAGTTGCAGGCTTTGGAAAAAGCCATCCGTGTCCTTTTGTATGTTAGCTGAAGGAATTGAGGGCGAGAGTATGAGTGACATACTGGGCTTCCATCTCGCTTTCTGAACTTGGCAGAGCAGGCTGTGGAAAACTGAACTGCAAATCGTCGAGCGGGGGGTGAGAATGGCTTCTTGTCACCCAAGGCCGCTGCAGGAACCTCGGTGGAGAGAGCTGCGGCGCTCAGAAGGAGGGAGACCAAGAGATACTCGATTATGCCAAACGCCATGTTGACTTCAATTGACAAGCGATTTAGGCCGAGGGCTGGATGGGATGGGTGAGAACGCAAACTGGCTTCCACCTTGGACTCGGAAAGAGCTTTTTATGTGCTCATTGCCGAGTGAAATGAACTTCGGCCGGCGGTCTGCCATCTGCTAGATGGTGAGATCCGCGATACGAACTCACGACCCCAAAGAGGGTCCCATATTCTGCAAGTCTAGATTGCCGGTCTCCGGGATGAAGAGCTTTGCAGTGCGAATGGTGTTATCTTGGCTTCCGATGTAACCCTCTATCGGGAAGGTCATGTCATCCGGCGGGATGTTGGATCTTGGCAGGCACGCGCTGCTCTCGCCCGATACCTGTGGTTGAAGGATTGTGCGACCGATCGCGGGCATGGATTCAAATATCTGGGTTTTTGGCCCGGCACTAGGAGGAACAGGCGTAGAGTCACTATAGAAAGAACAACATACAAGGGATTCTCTTCAGCTGAGGATTAATCAGATGATCTGATAAGATGTGTTTGACCTCTAATATCGTCGCCCAGTTTTCCACGACCCACTCGGGGAACTAAAACAAAGTTAATATCACTTAAATCCGCGCGAATTACGCGCCGAGATCGCAGAGTATTGCGGATACAGACCAACAGAGACCACATCAGCGACCAGGGTCATCCGTTTGAGAAGGGGGAATGTGATGCGGGAGAGGATCGATTACCAATAGGCTGACCTTCCGTCGGTGACCCATCAAGACCGTAGATTAACTCATATCCGAGCATTAGTTAGTGACTGCAGTTCGGCGTAGCGCAGTCGCTGCCCGGCAGGTCCGTGATCGTACGTCCTTGTTTTCAACTTTTCTTCGGAATTAGCGTTATTGAGAGCTTCTTCATGTTCAATCATCTAACTCAGATTTTATGTTAGCCAACTTACGAGTGTAGCCATCTTTGAGCACGTGTGTTGGTGAGCTTTAAGTTGAATCATAGACGAGACAGGCACAGTCTTGATGACAGTTTGGGCAGGTGATATCAGTTATAGTTGAGAGTGAGCTGGGGAAGTTGCAAAGTCTTCTTCAGCGAAGTCACGCTCAGATTTGTTTGACATGCTGGCATCCCTCTGCGGCTTAGATGCGGCTTAGATCGATTGCTTCTTTGTTTACTTCGTCTACTTGGAATTTCGAGGCGTGGGCCGACTGAACAGGGAATTGTATCACTTGTTTCAGAATGTCTGAAGAATTAGGGCTTTGTTGTACGACATCCAACTCCCGAGTTCATTGACAAGGCTCTTGCATCAGCTAAGGTATTTCGGTGATACTTGGTTCATTGACCTTGTTGAGCGACTAAAGCGTGATTGTTCGAAGACTTCTTTCACTGAGAATAGCAGAGTCATTGAATCAGTGGCCATGTAGCCCCAGATATCTTATTTAATCTATCAGTCTGTCGCAACTAAATGTTTGCAGTCACAATCATCAACAACTTTTACTTGACCGTCGACGACATCACCAACAAATCTTTAGCCCCCAACACTTACAACACTAGCCCACATTTGACCTAAAAGCATACCTTACTTATCGACTGTTATAACTTCTGATCATCCCTACGCCGTGAGACCGCATCTCATCATCAAGAACTTCACTCTATAGCCCAGTTGACTTCCTGTCAGTCCCATCTATCGACAATGGCCACGCCTACCTACAACTCGACTGAAATCCGTCGCTGGATGGAAGACATGTCTGGTATTATTGAGGACACAAACTCGTCTGACAGAGAGTTTCCAATCTCTGCCGAAACTGACCACACTCAGGTGGCCTTTTCTCGTGCCGTTTCAATCGCCGATCATTCTACTTCTCGAGACGGATCACCGGCAAGTGAATCTGGAGAAACGCTAGCTCTGACGACGAGCTCAACATGCACCAAACGCTCCTCGCAGTCTGAGGACGGGACCGACGACGGAAGTTCTAAGAGACGTAGATGCAGTAACATTGCGTCGTCTAAATTGACGCAAAGCGCATGGGAATCCGCAACTGGTTGTCATATGTACTACCGAAACAACATGAATTATCGCCCAAAGAAAGTGGAAACCGTTATCTCGGCTTACTGGCCGGATATTCGCGATGACTATGCCAGATCACTTCAGGACCCGAGCATCAGATGTTGCATTCCGTGTTCCATTTGTCATGAGAACTGCGCAGACGAAAGTACATCTTGGCACCCTGGCTGGGAACTACCCGTCATCCTGGCTTGTGGCCACATGATTGGGGAAGAATGCCTCAAGTCATGGTTCAGATCGCGAGCCAAAAAGGATGAGCCAAAGGACTGCCCAATGTGCAGAAGGGTGCTACAATGCTCCGAATGCAAGGGGGCCTTCATGTTCTCAATCCTTTGTCACGGTTCTTACGTCCCAAATCTGAAAATCAAAACCTACAGCGAGAAGCAGCCCATGGAGCAGACCATTTGTAACGACTGTCAGGCGGAGACTGACTTCGGGAGTCGCATTCTACAAGGCGAGCATCTTGCCGAACCATTTCCCCGTGGCGGCGCCTCTCAACACATGTTAGATTGGTTCCGCCAAGTAAGAGATGACTTCGAAACCAAACTGAAGTTGCGCCTGGGTGACGGAATGCGACCGATTGATGTCTCCGGTGCGATCCATAAGGAGATTTTCGCCGAGATGGAATCGTGGCTGTATTTTCTAAAGCAGGATGTGACCCACAGAGTGCAGGCAAGCATCGCGGAGATTGAGACAGAGCTGGACGAAACTCACTGGTGGAACCGCGCTGGAGTGGTGAACGAGGAAGAAGAATTTGACATCACCCCGGGCTATGGTAGCCGCTGGCAAGATGGTGATATTCACTATGACGAGGGCTACGAGATCTATAATGGCCGCTGGCATGGCGACGAGGATCACACTGAGGACGGAGGCTATGACGCCGGTAACTACACCTGGTAAGGTTGACTGAACTCCTCAACTTTGCTTGTCAAGTAACCTCACTAGAAGCTAGAGCATTGTTATTTGTATGATCTGATAGATGAAACAAAACTTGTTGGGATATGTGTGGCTGCAGTGGCACACGCGTGACGGTTGAAAGTAGTGAATTCTGACAGAATTCTACTTTATCTATCCGTTGGAAGTATCCCGATCTCCATCCGCCCCGGTCGTGCAGTTAATCTGGAGTAACTTATTGTCCAGATTCTTGCACTCGTACACAGGCGGCTTTCCACTTGGCACTGTGACGGTGACGTTCTCCGCGTGGATATTGCTGCACCGCTATGTCATGAAACTCAAGTTAGTGAGGTGTCCGGTAAGTTAGCTTGCTGAGATGGAGTAAAAGCTTACGTCTGCGGCACTGCAAACAAGGCTTCCGGCTTGCGGGTCTAGCTTGGTTGAGACCGTACCATATATGTTCTTGAGAGTGATGTCGGTAATTGTAAGGTTGGCCTGAAATTACTTTGATCAGCACTTAATACTCGTACGAACGAGAACACAGAGAGGTATTTGACCTACCGGGAACTCTTCGCAGAGTGTCTGGTTCTTCTGCCCGTAGCACTGCGTGATGGTGATGGCCCGGTCGTTGTTAATGTTCTTGAAAAGGTCATACGTCACGTTTCTGACACGTCCGAGACCACCTCCACCATTCAGAAGCGTCTGGAACGCAGTCTCAATACCAGGCCAGACTTTGATGCGAGCGGCATCGCTAGCGTTGGCCATGGTTGTGTTGTAGATATAGAGGTTCTCGACGATATCGGTCTCGCCCTTGTACTGTCCCAGGGAGCCAACACTCATGCCGTGGGAGCCAGTGCAGTCCAGGTTTTGGACGACAACATTGGTGCTATTTGGCTTGAATGACACACAGTCTTCAAAAGCCACCAACATCAGTTCACGAAACAACAAAGGGGATTTCGACGTTCAAGCTGCAAGCAACCAGAACATGCATGGTCGGACTCACCGTCTGTGTTGATAATGACTGAGTTCTGGATTACAATGCGATCGGATCGATAAGTGTCCCAGCCATCGGAATTGGCAATCTTGACACCATTTTGACTCTGTTCCAATCACGTGAGCTCATAAACCATCCTGAGCTGTGCATTGATTGACATACCTGAGCTTTGAGATCCATGTCACTGATGATGACATCGGTGCTGTTCGCAATCAAGTTGAACCACTGGTGTCGTTAGCCGGGAACAATCTCGTTTTGGTAGCCATGACTTACATTGGGAGGATTGCGCATCCGAAGGTGTGACATTGTCGCCCCCTTAGCTCCGTCGAAAGAGAACAACATGGGCCTCAAGAGCTGTTATGATACACGTTAGCACACATTTCGAAAGGTTGTATGACCCGGCATACTCACGCTGCTGTTGGTCTGAATGGCCTCCCAATATGCCTGACCGCGACCGTCAATGACAGACTTATCGTTCCCAAGATCACCATAGATGTTGATATCCTCGCCGCCAAACTTCCAGAAGACTGACTGGTTCTGGAAAGCGAACTTGAAACTGTTTTCGGCCCAGTAGAGGGGATCATCGTTGAACTGGATGTCGCCGGTGATTACTACGTCGATGTGCTTCAGGAAGGTGAGGTCTAACGGAGAGCTGATGAGGTAAGTCTTGTCGAACACAACTGTTCCGCCGTCATTGCACTCCTGGAAAGCTTTGAGGATCTTGGGTGCGTCGTCCTTGCCCTCGGTGCAGCTCGGCTTGATGTAGCAAAAGCGATCTTTGTCTCTGGGAGGTGAAAATGGCATGGCCTTTCCGGTGTTGAAGGGAGCAGGCTCAACCTTAGGGCGCTTGGGAAGCTCATCTTGGGCCGAAGCAATCGACAACAGGCCAAGGGCAGCAGCCCATAGAGCCGAAGAGGTGGTCCGCATCGTAGACAGGCTTGCACACACGCAAAAACGACAGAATGGTGTTAGGAACGGGGGAGCACCATGACTTCAGTCTCAATTCTCGAACCACCCGTCCTCAAATACCCCAAATCCCTAGAGCTTACGTTTAATGAGATGTCACCGGCGGCGGATCATACCATCATAGTTCCCAGATTGGATGCAACAATACGTGGAAGATTTGTGGGGTTCGTGTAAGGTCCCTCGGCCGGTCGGTGGAAGATTTCGCGGACCGGGGTGCGAGCAACATGCTGATTCTTCCCCAAAGAAAGGTCCCTTCAACCTGACAAACCCCTTGCGGCTGAATCCTTCTTACGCTTCTTACGCTTCTCCGCATATTTGATCCATCTGCGCGCGCGGGGTAAATAGGGATGCGGAGAAACTATCAGGGGCAACTTGGCGAGTCAATTAGCGAGCCGGTGGGTGTAATTTGCTTTGCGTTTCCGGTCTTGGCGTGAACATGTTCTTAGATAACACAAGTAGAAGGTATTTTCTAAACCGCCGAACTCTAGGCATCGTCATCCTACGGCAATCTCGGGATGCGAGCTTGGCCTTAAGTACTATGGCATCCAGATGTCTTCAAAGAAGTCAAGGGGCATCCAAGGTGTAAGTAGTATCAATATGATAATATGCAAGGCAGGCCCGTGAGCGACACATTTGTAGTGATCAAGGTCAGTCTAAGTCCCAGGATTAGTAGTTCGGGTTTGAACTGGGCAAGTTTATTCTGTGCAAATTGAACAAAATATTGACGTCTAGAATCTCTTGACTCTTGACTAGAAGCCCCATTCTGCTTCATCGCCTGGATGGGTTGTCTAAGGCAAGAGGGGGCTCTTTGTATTGAGTTTAAACATGAAAGGGTAGGCTGTCTTAATCTGTTCTGGAGTACTAAACAAGTCATGTAGGATTTTGCATAGGGTATATGAATATCGACAAATGGCTTGTTCTTTCTTATTCAGGACATATAACTTGACAAAGTTGACTCATGGAGGAGATGTAGAAGTTGAATGGACTATTCAAAAAATGTTACAAAGAGGATTCGCTGCTAGCAGAGGGGTATCAAATGTTGTAGAAACCAGCCGGTCGACCTTGATCATATCCCTAATATCTTTCCTCTAGCCCTGAGACCTAATCACGTTATGATTTCCTAGCAACTCATTTCCCCACAAGCCTTAAATATTACAGAGTTTGCTTCTCAGTACTTAGGTATGAACAAGTCGGAACAACAAAGAGAATTATTCATGATCTACATGATTGCGGCAGGCTGCATGCGGGGCTAGGGATTGTTTGACTCAGGGAACCCGTGTCCGATAGCGTTGGGGCGGCGGTGGCTGCTGGCGACGTACTGGCCCATTGAACTTGGGTTTCCATGCGTCGTAACGATTGATGTGATAAGTTGGCGGTGGCGGCCCTTGTGGCATCTGAACGTACTGCATTCGCCGGCCGGCCCGGCCCGGATGAACAGGTGGGGGTGCCCTCGGCGTCCTAGGCCCCCGGGACCCGGTAAAGCCGCTTTCGGAGGAAGAGTCATAGTCGTACAAGGAGTCCCAGTCCGGCGGCGGTCCTGGTCTTCTGTTATTTTGAGAAATGCAAAACCAAGCAATAAGAGCGATGGCAACGAAAGCGACGATGCCGCCCAGAATGCCCCCTATCTGTGCGCTTGATAGGGATCCGCTTGATCGGTCCGGAGGAGGTGGATCCGCGGTCGGAGAAGCGGCCGATGGCGGATCAGCCGGGTTGCCATCGGAGTATGATGTCGGTGGCCCACTGCCTAGTGTAACGTATGTGACGAAAGTTGAGCTCGGTCGATAGATCGTCTGAGTTATGACATGGAAACCTGTCTCTTCCTGTCGGGCAGCAACAGGAAGAGGGGTTTCGCGGGGTTGCAGCGCAATTGGAGTGGGAGAGGTATGCATCGCTGACGGGATCTCATCAGGTTGGTTGGTAAGCGGCCTATTCGTGATTATTGGCCAAGGCGACAAGACCTTACTGGATGAAATAAGATGAAAAAGTAACTGGACGGTGAAGTGTGGCAGTGAACAAGGAATGACACGGTTTAATGTCAGGAAATCGAAGAAGCCACAGATAGCAGGAAAAAGGAAAAAAAGTGCAAGACGTGTCGTTCTTATCCAAGAATTCAGAAGCAGGCTGTGGTCCGCAGACAAAGTTGCGTACCATCTTACAATTCCTCACGGGTGCCAAGTAGCATCCAGCGCATAGGTTCATCGCAAGGCCAAGACTAGGCAAAAGCGCGACTCCTACGAACTAGCTGCAGCGACACAGGCAACACCACGCCCCAGGACACTTTGGATAAGACGCCCAAGACGCGACTAACCTTGTTTTGACACTTCTTTGCCCAGACTTGTCGATGTCGTACGGCTGCGCCTGACACATCCAGAGACCTGCAAGCAGGCTGCAAGCCATTGAGGCTGGCCAGTGGGAGACCGACAGCGTGGTGCCATGAACATGCAAAATGCGCACATGATTCTGCCAGTCAACACTTGAGATAACTGGGGGTTAGAGGCCAGATCCACCAATGAGCTGAGTTAGTTAGGCTGAGGTGCAGGAGTTTTGATCAACCGAACCAATGCCCTCGAGTTGCGGACAGCCATTAGCAAGTACCGCACAGTCAGACATCGTATACACACCCACACGGGGGCCGGCCCGTCATGTTGGATCTGTGTGGGTAAAACCCTGGCCTGGAGTGCTCATGTGGTTAGCTCGAGTGAGACACGATGTATATCAACCACGGCGGCATCTTAGTTGCCGGACCTCCTTCGCGTATGCGAATTTGGCCCCCAACTCTCTACTCAGACTAACATCAACCTACGCAGACACTAACGCAGTCATTGCATCAATCCAGTTTGGACAAGAGTATGTCCGTCATCACGATCACAGAGATAAGACCGGAAGGACACGGCAATTATTTGAACAAATCCCGACGAAGTTAATTGCTACCTCAACGGGTGACGCGATGCCGGACCTCATCGCTACTATTTCCAGGTGTCGTCACGTCCTTGATCGTGCTCGATCTATCCTTTGCACCCGCGAACCCAAGGCGTCATTTTGAATCTCATTTTTATCCCCCAAAGTTACACCACGCCTGAAAAATATTACATGCCCCCAAAAGTACACGAACGAAAATAAAGAGACGAAATCATCATGCCAAAGTGCCAGAAAGCGTGTGCGCGCGCGGATCGCCGGTTTTATAAGTCCGCGGTGAAACCGTGAAAATTCATTCAAAGACTGAAGAACAGAATTGCGTTCGATCAACGGGGGCCAGGCGAGCGAACTTCAACCTCTCTGACAGAGTATCAATGGCAGCATCTGTGAAGTTCTGAGTCAGCTATTTGTTCTGTTTCGTTTCATCGGAGAAAAATCATCAAACTTACTTTTACTTCGATCGGACTTTAGCAAGATTACGCGACGGCTCTCTTCCCCTCGCGGAAAGGGAAAAAAGACATTGTCCCACCTATTTCCTCCTCTCAGCTGCGCCGGCGCGGTTCGGTTGAGCCGCAGCGGTAGGGTTGTTGTCGACGATGATACCGACGCCGGCACCGCCCTCGCCGTTTCCGAGCTGGATCTTGGGACCCTTTGTAAGCGCGGCCTCGGCGAACGTGAGGGCACGATCGAAGCCGCTCTGGCGCTTCTCCACCCTCTTTGTAGTATCCCGGCCTGCAACGATGCCTTGTTGAGCGGCTCCGGGCGCGCCAACGCCGGCAGCGGCGGCGGCAGCGGCTGCTGCGCCTTCGCCTCCGGCGGCGCCTCCCTTGCCCTTTCCAGCCTCCGCCTCGCCTCCGAATGTGAGCGCACCATCACCGACTACCAACGCAGGGGAGTATGCGCCGAGGTTGATGTTCAGGGGTGCGGGGGCGGCGTTGATCCCTACGGCCAGGACGGCCAGGGTCATGAGGGTGCTGGTGATCTGCATGGCGAAAGATTGGAAGATTGAATTGAAAGATTGGGTATCGTGTGTCGGCGCAGCCGGTAAGTATTTCTCTCCTCAAGAGGTGTTATTAGGAAGTAGTATTGGAAATTAAGGGGTTTCCTTTGGTGGAGGAGAATCGAAGAATCAAACCAAACAGCACAACTGAAGTGAGGAGGAAAATAAAGGAAGATGACGGAAAGACAGGTAACAGCACACGCGTCAACGAGTGGCAAGGCAAGGTGGGAGGAGAGAGCGTAATGAAGGAAATCCCCACGGAGCGCCAAGAAGAGGTTCAAATACCTGACGTGGAGAACCACGACCAGATCCAGAACCTGAACCAGTGAGAGAGTGTCACAGGTGAGAAGTTGGAATGTGGAGGATGGCACAAGAGAGGCGCGGAGACCATACCATTCGGGGTTGCGGCGCCGTCATGCGTGTCAAGACCTGCCGCTGCCAAGGCCAAGCGGCTCTATCAAAAATAGAAGCTCTTCCAGGTGCCTTGAACAAGAGATGATAGATTCTTGGGCGGCCTAAACACCTGGGACTAACAGACACACGGACCTTGAGGGGTGGTTTCCGGGTTGGAATTCGAGGAGAAAGATTGAAGAGCCGTGGGTTGATCCAGGGGGACCATGTGGTTTCCATCGATGGTATGGTGATGGTGGTGGTGGTTACGCGGGATGTGGTGGAGAAGTGCGTCTGAGCGGAGGTGAAACGGTCCAAGTCCCAAGACCTCCAACGACGAGGGCTCCCCGAAACCATATAGAGTCTTGGCAACTGGGCTGGATGCGGCCCAGGCTTTACTGAGAGGCGGCTTCTTTTTACGGGAGCGCTGCATCTTCTCCTCTGTTGCCCACGTTGTTGCGAAGTAAAGATAGATGAAGCTGATGTTTTACGTTGGGGCACGAGGGGTCGTCTACCGAGGATACGATCTGCGACCTGCCGCAGACTAGCAGCTGCAAAGCCGTTTTACTATTCACAACGCCGACGCGAGATATCAGTGAATTACTTAGTAGAACCATAGTCCACACTTGAATGCAATGGTTACAAGATATTTGCTTGCCGAAGGCCAAGGACCGGGTGTTTCCCAAGACAATTGGCTTGGCCAACGATCGAGATACCAAGGCCGCGCCCAAGACTTCCAAGAGATCACCTTCTACGGCCATAACTGCACATACCATTTACTCGACCGAAATTGACGTCGCATACGAGGGTATGCCATTCCAGCCTCAACACCGCTTCCCCGGCGTGGACGCTGATTGGACCGGGCGACGTTTCTTCGAAGCCGGGATCTAAACCTACTCCTACACCGACCCGGGTCGACGAAGTCAGTCAACACTGGATTTGAGGCATTTCTACTCTAAAGCAAAAGAATTCGCAATGGCGATCTGACATTGACAGCTCTTGGTAGAAAGAAGTTCAGAATGATTTTGTGCACGCCGAGAAAACTCTTATTATTTGCTGGGTGAACGGGAGGCCCATGTCGAACTTGACACTCTGATGCATTGACTAACCGCTAACGATGAGAGACTGGTCGCTGATCGTGTCTGAATAGGCTAGGTTGAGCCGTTCCACAGCTCTTCCTTGCAACGGCGCGTACCACCGGCAGAAACACACTTGAGTGTGAAACCTTGCGTCAGAAAATTTGTGTCTACGGCAGCCCCTTGAGTCTTGCAGATGTCTAGCTGACTCGGGAGCATAAAACAACTGCGATCCCACCGGTGATTGCATGCACTTGCAGAGTCGCATACGAGCTCCCCTTAACTTGCTAGATGTGACTAGAGGATTATTGATTGCCACCATCACGACATATTGAATTCGCACATGTGCGCAACTGGTCACTTCAAGAATGTCATGGCTGGAGCTGAGGCTAAAAATTGGTCTTGGTGTGGTTTAAGTGCTTTTCATATCGCGGGTAGTCCTCACGGATGACTGTATGTAATCATTAGCAGTCTTACGGCAGACGGGGAACCTACCAGCCCGAAGCCAGACTTCCGACGTGAATCTCATGCAATACGGTAGTGATCTGTAATAGGAAGGTGTAGACAGTGTTGTCTGGGAGGCTGAACCGGTTCCGAGTTCCCTAGCGATCTTCAATGACGTCCGGTCTGTCTAAAGAAAGAATCGGAGATTTACCATTGGCCTGGGCACCCATGACTGCGTACGCGTTTCACGATGACTAGTTTGAACAGAGAGAGAACAACTGCGGCTGGTATCGACACCGATTCTCGGGCTTTATCTATCCTTATAACGTGGAACATAAGAGCGACCGTCACTTGCGGTCATCTCCCTGCACCTGCATAAGCCTGTATGCCCAAGGAATTATCGAGATCTACATATTGAAGCTTTTCGACACGCCAAGAACTATCTAGTTTGACGCCATCAATTTTCAGAATGGTTGAAAATGCGATCTAACACCTTGAGGATGCAATTTTGAGGTACATCAAACTCGGATGGGTCTGAAAAAGACCTCGATATGATGCTAGTCAGATTCCTTTCAGTCTAGTCTAGGTAGTCTTGCTATGGTCTCTGGTGCATATGCTGAGTCAATCCTGAGCTTCTGTTTTCCTGCCATGTCCCATTGACTCATCCCTTTTGGTTCGCCACCTAGCCTACCCGACCCTCACGCGTACTTGACGATTTACAGCATGTGCAAACCTATAGGACTCTTAGGAGACATGACGCCCGGTGTCCAGCATCTCCACCCAGGCATCCTGCTTCTTCTGTTCAGCGGTCGGCGTCAGCCAAGTATATTTCTGATAGATATAATCACTATGCGCAATGTCTCGAATCTGCTTCATAATGTTATCCAGCGCGGGTACTCGCTTGTAATCGCTGTAGTCTTTCCCATCCGGTTTGTGGTCGTACCTGGGAGCCCAAACTGCGCGAGACCTGGTCTCGCTGAGGATGGCTCTCATCAGTGAATTGGTCGCTCTCTCGACGCGCAGAGCGCGGCACCTGAAGCAGCACGAAGGGCGGGAGGCGCCCTCGGGGGTGGTGAGAGGGAACTTGTCGAGCTCTGCCATGGTCCTAGGCAAAGGCAACCCCACCATGCCTAGATCTTGGCAGCTCTGAGCGCACTGCGAGTAAGGGCCAATCAAGCCCGTACAGTAGGGGCACTTGGGTTGACCGACGTTGTAGAGATTTACAATGTGTTTGACGCATGCTTCACACAGGATATGGCCGCAGACGAGAACCATGGCCCGGTTCGAGTTCTGGCCGGGCGTGGCGGTCATGGATGTTGAGCATTTGGGGCAAGGGGCGGCGAACTGTTGCAGGGCTGTGTCCGAGGCCATCCAGGACTTGATTTCCGGCCAAAAGACCTTGCGGACCTCTTCACGTTTGTCGGACATGGCGACCGCGTCCGAGGGTACGAGACGGTCGACTGGCCCTTGTCCAACTGGCATGTACGGCTGCACGGGCTGTTGGGGTGGGTATCCGGACGGCATTTGCGGCTGCGCGGCCTGTTGAGGTGGATATTCGGCCTGCCTCTGTGATTTCTGAAGGCTCTGGGGAGAAATCTGGTGTGGAGCGCCGGTAAGCGGGCGGCTCGCCGGAGCTGATGGATTCGAGTTCCATCGGTTGCCGGTAAAAGCATCGTTGCCTTCGCCGATATCAAGAGACTCGTCGACGGATGCGGCGACAGAAGAGGCTCCGTGGCTACCTCCGCTGCTGGCCTCGCCGAGACCTCCACCAGAGCCTCCGCCAAAGTGCATGTTGCGAAGCTTTTGCAAGGTTTCTCTGTCCATGTTGTTGTAGGGTTTGTTGGCTGCTCTAGCTAGACGGATACTGAAGTCGTTAGATGCAAGAGGATCTGAGACTGTCTCGATGAAGTCGTCGAGAACATAAGAATTGGCAAGTTGGGATCCTCGAGTCATTTTATGTGAATGGTGTTTTCATCCTCTGAAGACATCGATGCTCCCTAGTTGGTGTCAATTAGCTGCCTGCTTTGTGTCGCTTAGGCGCGCTTCTTTCGACGGGATAACTCCCGGTGCCATTTGGTAGATTCGCGAAAGAAAAGGACGGATCGACCGGCGTTTCTTTGACCATAAACGTCCTTACAGCCAACTTCGAGGTAGTCTTGGCCTTTTTGCTGTTGCATCGCAACAGGAGCCAACCGGTTGCAGTCTACAGCGGTCTAGATGGTTCGCTGCAATGCCCTGCGCTGTATCCCTGAGCTTCATAAGTCTTATTTCTTCGTCTCGGATCTCCTGCTCCAGAAAACATTTTTGGTCTCATCGAATGTCACGGAACCAACGAGCTGGGACTGGAGCAAAATCTCCGAATATTTCAATCCCACTGCCCTTGCAACGTCAGACGTTGCGCAAAAGCTTGACTGGGGGCTTCTTGATCCATTGTGATGCTATATTTTCGGGGCGTTTTCCCATTGTTCCAACGGTTGGGGCGAGTACCGACTGGGGTGGACTTCCGAGTTCGGGCGCTGGGCGATTCGCCTTGGAGGGTGTCTCAGTCTCGACAGTTTCCGCTCCCAGATTCTCGAACACCGTAGCAAAGAGCCGAAAGATGAATGCCAATGTGCTAGGCAGAAGGCTTTTGTAGAGATGGGCATCCCGAGTTATCCAGCCCAGCTTTCCTCCGCGTAAGCTTCGCCATGGCTTGGTAGGAGGCACAAGCCTGGAATACTTGATTTAGCTTTCTTCTACTCAGGCCAAGCAGCAGAGGTTCCACGCCGGTGGAACCCGCCGAGCCGCTGGCTTAGTGGACTCAGGACGGGAATTATGTTATGGAAACTCAAATGCAGCAAACTTGCCGTCATCGAAGAATCCATTCACCTCAGCCCTACAGCACAGAGTCGCCAGCAAGTTACTGACGTCAATCTTGAATTCAGATGACCCAGACGGACGCAACGGCGGAATGCTAAGGAATGTCTCCCTTGGCTTATGTAGTGTCTCTACTTTACAACGCGTCACCATCGAAGAGACATTGGGGGGACGAGTGCCCTTTAAGTAATCCTTATGCCACTGCGTGATGCCTGACAACCACCCTGCAACTTTCTTAATTTATCGGTACCCCAAAGATCCCCATTGAGCAATCAAAAGGGCCTAATTCCAATACCCTTGCTTCCGTTACCCTACCACAAGCTCTTCGACTGGAACCTATTCAATATGTCAAAGAAGTACCCTGCTCCCGACGCGCCAGTGGTGCGGATGATAGTGCTGGAGACCGACAACCCTCACCCCGACACCCATGCGGCGAAGGGTAGCTTTGGAGAAATTCTGCACACTCACTTCCAGCATGCTGGCGCTGAACACGACCCGCCGCTGGGAGTCGATACGGACCAGAAGTTCGTAGTAGAGGATAAGGGGGCACAGTCCCAACATTTGAGGATTTCGACAGCTATCAAGGCGTCTTAATCACCGGAAGCATGTATGACGCACACGGAGACAATCCCTGGATTCTCAAGCTCCTCGGAGTTCTGCAAGGTTGGTCACCACCCAAGCCACTGCGCTTCGCAGACACCCGCAACCAGCAGCACTGACTCCGGACAACAGAACTTTGGGAGCGCCGGCCGGATCTCCACTTGAGCGGCGTATGCTTCGGCCACCAGCTTCTCAACCGGATGCTCGGCGCCGAAGTCGCACCAGCGCCTTCGGAAGACTGGGAACTAGGCCACTGCCGAATTGAGCTTTCGCCGGTGGGCAAGCAGCTTTTCAAGACGGAAGATGATCATGTGCACCTCCACCAAATGCACCAAGACCAAGTCGTCGCGCCACCTACTACCGAGAGCTCCAAGGGCCTATTGAAGCCGAGCAACAAGGTGGATGTGTGGGGACACAGTGAGCACACCAAGGTGCAGGGCGTTTACATCAAGGGTCGGCTTTTCACGTCGCAGGCGCATTTGGCGTTTGATGAGGATATGGTGAAGAGACAAATCCAGATGAGGATTGATAGTGGTGGCATTCAGGACATGGAACATGCGGATCAGGCAGCGGAGACGGCGCATTGGGAACATGACGGTGACTTGGTCGCTGCTGCTATCCTTAGGTTTTTCCATGGCGACGATGATGAGATAGAGTGAGCGTTGATGAGACGTAAGGTTGTACTTGTGCATGTAGGTAGTTATTGTCCTGTTGTGTAGTGGCTTAATAAATTCTGAAGCTAATTCAGCTATAATCCCTTCGAAAAGACCCAACCCAGACTATCGTGTGTATGGTAGCCTATCAAGGACGGATGAACATATCCGATGTTTGTTCCTCACATCCAAACCGCGGCTCAATTATCAAACTCACTATGCAATCTTTCTCAGATAAAAGACCTGAAAAGGATACTGATGTGTTGACCTAGGTAAGTAGTCACCTCTCGTCCGTTCAGGTAATCCGCACGACGCCTTGGCCCTGTTGGAACTTGGCGGGAGGGATACATCCTCGCCGACCTTCCCTTTACGACCATTAGAAGACGATCTTGAAAGCATTCCCGATGCTTAAGCGGTGATTATGCTGGTGAAAACGAATCATTCACACATTGAATCCCACAGGCATGCAGCGTTCCATCCGTGCTACCTTGAACTGCACTTTCTGGCATGGCTGCTGTTGGTCAGCGGCTATCATCATAGCGCGTGACTACATTCGTCAGCATGAAGCTTGAAGATGGTATGATTATTGCAGAGCTCTAAATATAGATGGTTGGATGGCTGCAGAAAAGAAAATCTGGGGAAGGAATCTTTACCGTTCATTAGTACCTATAAGAAGGCGGACTTGCTCTCAGTCTTAAAGGGCTAGTGAGTAGTATCACAATTGAGTGTCACTATAGGCAATACACTCCCGCTACAACTTCGTCGTCTCGCAGGATGTCTCCAGCAGTCACAATTCCTGGAGTTCGGACAGAGTTTGTCTACAGAAAGCCACCGCCAACGCCGGAGTTCCTCGACACGCCAATCAATCTCTACTCCGATGCAGACAACTACAGAGACAAGCGTGAAGTATTTGTTCGCGATATCCGCCCTGATATGTTTCAGTTTAAGACAGAGAATGATGGTCTAGAATTTCTGAAGCATGAAGTTGATATCAAAGACTGGTCCAACGAGGATGAGATTCGAGAGGTGATGCTGAGAGAAACGGAAGAGTTACTCAAGAGACAGTGAGGACTTTTACTTTCATCATGCTCTCTGCCCTTTCGTGATCGGTCGATGAAATGGCTGACCGTTTTTGGGAATCAGTTTCAACTCCAAGAGAGTATTCACGACTGTTCAGCGAATTCGACACTCCGATTCAAGTGGAGTCAGGAAAGATACCACACCAGTCTACTCTATCCATGCCGACTTGACCGTCCGCAGTGGCTTGGAACTCTTAGAAAACACCGCAGCCAACATGGAACCTCTGCCGAAATCTCTGCCTCCTAAGGGCCGAGTTCTTCTGGTCAACGTATGGAGGCCTCTGAAGGCCATCAAGCGTGACCCGATTGCCTTTCTAGTGCCTAGAAGCATCAAACTCGAAGAACGACATGCACAAATCTTCTCACAGCCTGAGGGGAAGTTCAAGGTCTTTGGGAGAGATGCCCAAGACTTCTGGCTGGATACTGCCTCCTACAGCAAGGATCAGGATTGGGTGTTCCTGGATCATCAGCAGCCAGATGAGCCTGTCTTGTTCCTTCAATGGGATAGTGCCGGATTAGAGAAGTTCGAGTCAAAGATGGCTGTGTTTCATAGTTCTTTCGAGGATTCGCGGTATATCAACGACACGGAGAGAGCAAGTATTGAGATGAAATGTCTCGTTTTCTTGAACGAGTGAGGCGGGCGATGACAAACAAGCCTGTCAGTTGATGTCAGAAAGTTTGTTCCTCATATTGATGCCGTTAGTTCTACACAAGAGTTGAGCGAACACACATGCAATCCATGATCGGAATTTAGATTCCACGGTTGCATTGAATTATAGGCCTTAAAGCCGCAATGGCAATTTCAAGCTATAAAGATCATTACAATTTACTTGAGCCAGTCTTGGCCTTGCTTGGATCTGACCAAAGCCTTCCTTGAGTCTCGCCTCTGTCCAACGCATCAAGTCCCGCCGGAATCTCTGCGAAGGGGATCTCTTTCAGCTCAGGCTCGATTGACTTGTTTGCCAAGAGCTCAAAAACATCTCTCAAGTCCCTTTCGCTCGCTCCAAATGACCCTATCAAACTAACACTACGACCAATCAAAGCGTAGCTAGGGATGGTGATCTCGGAAGCTGCAAGTCCAACAACCACAACTTTGCCCCCTTCGCTCACTTTCTCAATGGCTTGTTTGGTTGTCTCCCCTGTACCGGCAAAATCAACAATGGCATCAAATTCCACATCCGTAGCGTCGTCGAGGCTCTTGAAGCATCCACTAGCACCCAACCTCTTTGCTTCTTTAAACTTGGACTCGGATATGTCGATGCCGTAGACTTCGGCCCCCTTGAGGACTCCAAAACCGAGACCAGACATCCCAAGGCCACCGATGCCAATGACGCCGATCGTCATGCCCGGTTTTGCAGCGGCTTCGATCACCACAGCGTGATAGGATGTCGCCATGGCATCGGTCGCCACCGCAGCTTGAGAAAATGGGAGGCCGTTCGGGATGTGGACTAGTCTTGCCGCTGGTGCCAGTACATATTCTCCATAACCACCGTCAAATCCAAGACCAATTGCCATTGTCCAGTCTCGAAGTTTGATGGGGTATGAGAAAAGGCCGACAGTAACGCGATCGCCGGTTTCGAACCCTTTTACATCGGGACCGAGAGCTGTTATTACTCCGGAAACTTCGTGGCCGAGAGTAATAGGTCGCTGGATAACCCCATCGGGGCTTTTCAATATATGGCAGTCTGAATGACACAATCCGGCTGCTTTAACTTGCAGCTGAACCCAGCCCGGGCCAGGTTGAGGAATCGGTAGATTTTGAAGTTGTAGGCCGCCGCCTTGCTCCACGAACTGAAATGCTTGCATTTTGATAAGCTTGTCGTCCAGGCTCGTTCAAGTTGGCGCGTCAAATATTCAACATCAGGTGGGGGTCGACCTATGCCGAGATTTTATGCTTATGAGGCGGATCTTCACCCCGCATTTTGAATACCACACCGAATCCCGCCGGAGTGACGTTTACTCTCCGGGGGTGGCACGTGTGACAAATCATGCAACATAAGATGCGACGCCAGCCGAATCTAAGCTGCGGACGAGCCAACGGCTGTCGTCTTACAGCGAGGAGTGAATATTGGTCCAGCGGACTCGGGTCCCGAATTTGACACCGAGAGCTCGGCCGGGGCAACTATGGCTACCCACAGCGTTTCGCGGACTTCCTGATACCGCGACCGAGGCACAGTCATGTCGGATAATGCCCACTAATTCCACGTGGTTCGGGAGATGCCCACTTGGCCCTACCTCCGAGCTCTCACTATCCATGGAACTTAAAGTTTGACTCCAGAGTAACGAGTAAGCATCACGGCAAGCTCCGATAGGCAGCGCCGATGGGGTTGGAGGCGGCATTCCCGGGCATGCCAAGGACACCGAGGGGAGATACAAGATCGTTCAAATTCGTGAGGCACACCAGCATGAAGAAGTGAGAGGCCAGTGACATCGTGTAATCACCTGCTGGTTTTGACGTAAATAATTGCAACATCAAGGGAAGCTCCGATATTTTTCAAGTTGAGACTTCACCAAAGTCGCCAGCGAAATGCCTTTAGGGACGTTGTCTTTGGAAGCGAACTCTGTTCCCATTTTTTCACCCCCGTACCCGAAGCCGCCAGATCCATCGCTTTGCAATCGATACGAAGCTGTGCTTCACCTACCGTGTCGCCGCATCTCGAGTTCGCCATCTCGTCCCGAGCGTGCTAGAACTCGAGGATGAGCCGCTCATGTCAACCTCAGTTCTCGATTATGGAATGAGTCCCGTGGGTTCATACAAGGAGTTCGTCCATCAAGTCGAGGTGACGTACAAGAACGAAAGGTTCATGTACAGTCTCATCTTGATTCTAGAGAACGAAGCAGCCATGTTTGCTGGACGCGAACAGTACGGCTTTCCCAAAGTCTTTGGTAAGGCCGACATTGAAACGAAAAACGGCACGTGACTCATCCAAGCCAACGCACAGAGGCCAGCAGGGCGGACGGTCTTTGAATGCGAATTCATACCCGACAGTCGAATTCCCAGTTTGCCAACTTCAGAAAAATGGACCCTAAATCTTCGCAGTATCCCACAGCCGTGTGCAGGAACATCGCCTGCCATCCAAGAGCTAATTCTTTCAACGATGGACTGGAAGTTCACCGAGATCTGGGCTGGCCATGGCGAGATTACATTTCCACGACGCTCTGCGCTTGATCCTTGGTGTGGAGTGGATATTCTACGATACGAAGGAAGCTTCTTTGCACGATGTGTGACGGGTGAGCTTCGATGTCGCGGTGAGAGTTTCCAGGTTTAGAAAGCCGGGGTTTCCTCTATAGTGGGAGTCAATCGAAGCAATTCATACACTACTCAGGTAGACATCAATCTGCGAACATCAAGATCTCGTAAAGACCCCCTCTCGGAGCACCAGCATCAGTCGTAGCATATGGAAATTACATCCCGCGGACTTTAAGCCTAAAGCCGTTGAGCTCTTCTATTTCGTGTGTAATTTGGAGAGGGCGTATTCAGACATTTGGTAAACTTCAACCTCAACCTTCAGGCATTCCGGCACGGCTCAAGCTGGCCGGTATCGTGAACATATTTGCACTGGCCGCATCCCACCATCCTATACGTACGGTCTTCATCTCATATAGACGCTGGGAGCCATTGTAAGCGCGCTCCGTGACCAGCTCCTGGTCCCAGAGGCGCTACTAAAGAACGCGGTTGCGGCCGCCCCGAACGGATACGCGCGCAGCAAGTTCGTGGCAGAACATTTCTGCGGCGTAGCAGCACATCATCTCGGCATGCTGGCCACCGTAATCGGGCTGGGTCAGCTCGCCGGTGCTGCAGACATAACGGGAGATGCCACTGTCTGGAATCGTCATGAATGGTTCCCTAGCCTGGTCGCGAGCTCGATCTATCTGGGCTGCCTACCCGACGGTCTCGGTCCCGTCTTCTCGGCGGTCTACTGGGTGCCTTCGGACGTTCTGGGTGAAGCAGTTCTAGACCTGGCTTTCGACGAGATCAATATCAAGAAGGGAAGTGCTGGTGCGAGGGTCATCCATGTACGGAACCCAAGGGTGGTATCGTAACTTGAGATCCTGCATGCCATACACTCGGCGATGAAAAGTGGTCAAGCAGCAAAATCGATGTCGTATCGTCAAGATTCTGGCTACAGCGTCTAAGGGGTAGTGCGGCCGGCCCGGGTTTGGAGGACGCCGGACTTGTGAGAGTGATCCCGGCCGTGGAGCTGTACGACTTCTACGGGCAGATGTTCATGGACGATGGCATGAGGGAGGGGGGAGCCGATGTTGGTCAACAATGCTGTCGCTACGAGCGGACGTTGCGTAGGCTGTCGTCTGTGACGGAGAAGTGGGTGGCTAAGTGGGTTCGTGAGTGACCGGCTGTCTGATGAGGGTCATGTCTGATTCCCTGTTTTGAATACTTGATATTGCAGAGAGCCAGTTGGAACATCGTGCAAGTCGCCAGTACTAAGGACAATCCACAATGAAGACACACAGTGAAATGGATTATTAGCGTTGCATGTTAACCTTTGCCTTTCATGGCTTACCTTACAGGACGAAACCGCCTCTGTACTGTCTTAGCTTTGTTGTCTGGCCCTTGACTTTTTTCGAGCGAGACAAATTGTAAACATGATTCTTGGAGGCTGTCAAGTTGGACGATGTAGGGGATGAAATTAGGTGTGGTCCTTGCGAGTTGCCAGGCCCATCACGATCGGATGCGACGCTTCAGATATTGTGAGCGCATATCATCAGGGGTCTCTCGTCCACGGAGTACGAAGTACGGATAAAGCTCCCAGCACAGGTCAACAACGAGACGGAGCTCGGGACCCAGAAGAGGACCAGGCGTGCCAGGGTTCTGAAAGTGGATAGAATCCGAGCCTCCATGTATCAGTCACATCCGCAGTGCGAGTCCCGAAGATATGAGGTGCTTTTGTCCAACAAACTTCGTTAACAACTCTACGCAAGGATTGCTTCCGACCTTGCCACATTGGCGCATCTTCATACCGGGTGCGATGCTTCATCAGTTTTCTTACCGGACCACACAGCATTTGTCCCTCAACCAATAGGGGTGCTTGTTCTCAGACCACCTTTCCGAATGGGTAAAAAGATGCAGAAGCGAAAGAAGTGAAGAGTCCTTTCTGTACCCATTAGTCGGCATGAGGTTGCATTCAGGAGCATCGTGCCGCATGAAGAGCCATGTCTCCCAGTGGCGAGAGAGGCATATTTTACCGAAGCACGACAGAGGTAAACCGAAATCTTTTATGAGAGAGGCAAACAAATTAGCACATCGTCGTGTTGGGGTGCCAAATGATGGACGAGACAATTAAAACAATCAGGACAAAACGGCTCAACGTTTACGACTATGGAGAGCTGGAGTACATGACAGTAGTCACTGTAGTCTTTTTGATCCCCCGCCCATCGCTCAAGCTGTCCCGCAACTCATCCTTGTCCTCACTCATATCACTGTCATCGCCCCCGGTCCTAGCCGCGACGGTGGATGTTCCAACAGGCCAAGCGGCGTATGTCTCCAACTCGTAATCATTCCCTGCCCGATCTCTGTGGTTCCTGGGATTCTTCTCGCCGCTGTCTTCGCCTGGCTTGGTCGGCCATTGAGTGTTTGACAGGGTCTGCCAATTGCTTCCACTGCGCAGCGTGCCACGGCCATAGTATGCTCCTCCTGTTGACGCCTTTGATCCCTTCCCGTAGATGCTGCCCAGGAAGTCCTTGAATAGAGGTCGTAGAGTTGGCAGACTTCCAGCTATGATTCCAACATTGGCTTCGATTACGGTCCACATCTGGATATCTCGTGAATTCCAGGTTGGATCGAATGCCCTTCCATAGCTCGTGACGATGTAATAGACTTTGGCGCAAGCTGCTGCACATGCAAACACGCCCAGACCGAGCACCATCATAAGGGATATTCGAACTCTTCGCGGGACGTTGAGGCTCCAGAGCATAGGTGCGGGAATAGCTATTCCAAACAGAAGGCCGGTGAGTATGTTCATCGAGGAGTTCGCGTAGGATAGGCCCTTGATGGTATCGACATCCCAGTAGGTTGCTTTGACGTTAAAGTCCCAGAATGCTCTTACATCGGTGCATTGAAAGATGATAGTCTGTGGCAAACACTTTTTGTTAGCACGTAACTTCCAAATAACATCTTGATGGTACCCGGTAGCTACTGACAAAAACGCAGGCGATTGTGTAAGCGGTCATGAAGGCCATGATACCAGTGATGAGATTCTTGTGCAGCCTTTTGGAAGCGATACGATGTAGAGATGACCCAACGGCTAGCTTGACCAAACAGATGGCGGCAAGGAATAGGGGTTGAGAAGAGAAAGCCATCTTCATCGCTATCGGGTAGTCGTTCACGAATTCTTTGTCTCCTACATGGCGGCCAACTCCGTGAAGAACCTGCACAATCAGGACACCTTGACCTGCAACTGCGATAGCCATTGCGGATGTCATGAACCCGCTTTCATATCACTGTTAGCGTTACAGCACCAAGGCCAGACATCAAGCCACCCCAGGTTGTGCAAACTTACATCGAATCCAAAGCTATGAATCATGCCAAGGCGTACCCAAAGGCGAGCTGCTACGACAATCAATGCCACGCAGGTGACTGTTATTGTTGCTGCCAACACCGTGGGTCCCTCATTCTCCTCCGGGTTCGAGACAAACTCCATTCTCTGAGTAAGTGGATTGTTTGAAATGTGGCATTAGACAACTGAGAAAGATGTCAAGACCTGGCTTTGCTTGGAGGGAGAGAGACATTGATAAAATTGGGCATCCAAGGCACGCCTTGTCTTCAGGTACCTATGCGGCAACGCATCATAGACTGCCCTGATGGAAGGCACAAGCTTGTTCATCGGATTCTCACCGTTGGGATGACACCGGCCCCAGTGCCACCTTGGCACTTCGCCTCCAGCCTCGAATTGAATTCCAGACTCCGGCGCATTCAACTGAAGCAGCAAGTACTTGCAAATACTCATCGGCCCATCTCTTCGCTGGAGCTTCCTTTTCGGTAAGGTCTATGGTACCGATGGATCTTGCGATAGAAAGTACGAACAAAAATCCTTCACCCGAGTTTCCAGTCATGTCGGTACTGCATCGGAGCGTCTGCGCCGCACCCTTTTCTTCCGTTGGTTGGTGGCTTTCAAATTGGCGAGATGTAGCAAAATGTTGTGATGCCGAGATCAATAACCAGGGGTTTGACCCTCTGCAGGATGGGATGATGGTGCCCCTGGCTGCGATGTGGTCGTTGGGACTAGAATATCCATAAAGTAAGTATCTTTTGGACTCCATAGCCGTTCTCCGCCTAATCTGGGGTTGGCGTATGCCTTAAACTCCCATTGCTGGAGTCGTTGGATAAACCTGCACGGCATCGGGTTCGACCCTGCATCAGGTAAAGAGTCTTACACGGGAATCTAATACCAACACATCAACTGGCCCGGACCGTGGGCCGGTTCTACAACCCCGGCTTCGACCTGCATGATGAAGTAGGGTAATCCGCCGTCTTTCCCGCTGTCCCGGCCTTGGAAGCCAAGATTTGCTAAAAGGCCGACGGGTTTTCTTCCTTGTAGAGTGGAACCAATTACATCTTAGACCAACACATTGATCACGACTGAGAGATATTTTGCAGAGATCTTACTTCTGAGGTGTCTGGTACTTGGACTGGGCTGGTGGCGATGCAAATTGGACCTTTTTACGCGACATGATCCACCAAAGCATCCTTAGACATCACGTATGAATAGAGCACCAACAACGAAGTGGCAGGGAACCGGTCGACTTCTTATATTGGCCACTCTTGAAAAACGGTCTCTTCCGACCGGATGTGAGTCGGAGGGAGGGTTATATATCTGCCACACGGCTGGCGCTTGTCCTACAGAAATCTTCTCCCTCACTCAGCCAGGACTCTACCTCTAAGTCACTCATTCTTGCGGCCTTGTTCTCTTGTTCCACCCTGCCGACATCATCATGCACGCTCTTTCACTCGGTGTCTTCACCCTCCAGGCGGCTTCCGCTGTTCTCGGAAAGCCCACTTCCTCAGACCGATGACGGGGCCACTGCCGCTGCCGAGAACGTCGATCAGCTCGCGGCTCTCGCTCAAGCTGCCTACCAGAAGTCGGAAGAGATGATCCAGAGCGGTGAAATTCAGAAACGTGGAAGCTCCTGCTCTTTGGAAAATATCAGAATCCGCAAGGAATGGTAACCTCCGTCCTGGTCATGTTCGCGATTTGGTTTGAAATGCAACTGACATATATCTAGGGGCTCATTGCAGAGGCAAGAAAAGCTTGACTACATCAAAGCCGTGCAATGCCTTCAGTCAAAGCCCGCGCTGACCCCTTCTGACATTATTCCCGGTGCCAAGACTCGGTTCGATGATTTTGTCGCCACACACATCAACCAGACTTTCACCATCCACTACACCGGCACGTTCTTGTCCTGGCACAGACGTTTCACTTGGTTGTACGAGGAGGCACTCAGGGAAGAATGTGGTTACAAGGGCACTCAACCCGTAAGTTGTCTGCGCAATGCCATGGTTGCCATCGACTAATCTGTATGGAAGTACTGGGACTGGGCAAAGACCGCCGTCACTGGTGTTGATAGTTCTCCGATCTTTGACGGTAGTGAGACATCAATGTCTGGCAATGGAGTGTTCATCCCCGATCAGGAAGATATCATCCTCACCAACCCTGACGGATCGGAAGCGGCTCGTCTTCCGACTGGAACTGGAGGTGGATGCATTATCTCCGGTCCTTTCAAGAATATGTCCGTGAACCTTGGCCCCTTGGCACTCTCTCTTCCTGGTGGAGGTAGTGAGACGAACCCGGACGGATTCTTTGCCTACAACCCCCGTTGCTTGAAGCGTGACCTGACTACTGCTATCAACCGGAGGTACTCCAACGCTATTGCCATCCTCCACAACATTTTGGTTCCTCAAAACGTCGACAAGTTCCAAGTTGAGATGCAAGGAGATCCCGAGTCGGGTACTATGGGCATGGGCATCCACGGAGGTGGTCATTTCGTGAGTTAATCCGTTACTCCTATTCCATGTTTATCGTGCCACAAAGCTAATACCTCTCAGACTCTTGGGGGTGACCCTGGAAGAGACTTCTTTGTTTCTCCTGGTGATCCCGCTTTCTATCTGCATCATGCGCAAATTGATCGCGTCTGGTGGATGTGGCAAATGTTGTCACCCAACGCTCGCCAGTTCGCTGATGATGCCGTTATGGGAACCAACACATTTTTGAACTCGCCTCCGAGTGCTGACACGACCCTTGACGATGTTCTTGAGTACGGATATGCTGCTGGTCCTTCTATCAAGATTCGTGACACAATGAGCACTCTTGCTGGACCGTACTGCTACGTCTACTTGTAAAGATGGGCAATAACTTTGCGGCCATATAAGGCAAGCATGTTACCACGTGGAGAAGTCGTAACTTATGGCCACCACGTAATATATCAATACATATAGTGTTTAATAGACCAGAGAGTAAGACTGAGGCCTGTAGTGAAGTATCCAAATGTATTTCGAACAATTGTATTCCGGGTTCGAGTAATACTATAACATCGATTTTGATTACGCTAGGAGTAGTAAACGCCTGGAATGTCATCTTTGAAGATGGCATAGTCTTAGGGCTTCGATCCGTGAAATCGCTATGACTCAATGTCCGGTAAATTAAGGCCTCAACTAAGCCTGTACGATGGCTAGGAGTCTGGTTTGACAAGAGACTCACCTTCCGTCACCATGTCGAAACTAAGGCGGCAGCAGCAAAGAAGGTAGCCCAGTTCCTTCAGCACCTAACAAATACTAAAGGGGGGCTCCCAGCAGCCGCAGTACGAAAAGCGGTTATTGCCTGTGTCCTCCCAATAGCCTTATGTGGAGCTGAGACCTGGTATGCGGGCCTAACCAAACCAGCCCTGAACAGCGGCACCAATACTAGCAGTAGTACTGCTTTACGGATATCTACAGTTGGAACAGGACAGAAGGGCCTGGCCCGTAGAGTTAGCAAAGTTATCACAGCAGCAGCAAGGGCTATCCTGCCTGTCTGGAGAACCGCACCGACCAGTAGCCTCATCCGAGACTCTGGCCTTCCTACAGCAGAGGTAGCCCTCGAAGCAGCGCGACTACGCTTCGCTATACGCCTGCAGAAGGTTGACCAACAGCATCCCTTGGTCCCAAGGCTGCTGCAGCCAGGGCGGCAACAGACCAGACTTCAAAGAACAGCCGGCCTCTTACCTAAGTGTCCAAGGCCAGCACTCCTACAGCCGCAATACCTCCCAGGGTCTTATGACCTTATAGTTACTCAGACGAAGGAAGTAGCAGCTAGGATCTTCCAGGCCTGGCTCAAGACTGTGCCAGGCAAGCATACAGTCGTATACTCAGACGGCTCCAAAGCCCCTGACGGGGCTACAGGGTTCGGCTTTGTTATCTACCGCAACAACAAACGTATATCCCAGGGCTGCGGCCGTCTCGGCTTAGCAGAAGTGTTTGATGGCGAGGCTGAGGGGGCGAGGGCTGGGCTCCGACGGGCCCTTCAGACCTCCCAAGGCCAGCCTATACACATCTGCATCGATAACACCAGCGTTATTCAGGGGATTCGCGGCAAGGTCCCAGACTCCTCACAAGCGGCCTTCCTTGAGATCCAGGAGGTAACCAGGATACACGATATACGAACCCATTGGTCTCCTGGGCACCAAGGCATCAAAGGAAATGAAGAAGCAGACAGCCTAGCTAAGGAGGGCACAACCCTACTAGTCCCAAGGGGACAGCTAGCAACTCTATCAGGGATCAAACGGCTTACTAAGGAGCGTACACGTCGCCAATAAAGAAAATGGTGGAAACGGGAGGCAACATCCTGTTATACCCAGCTAGGGCTCAAGGCTACCCTCGCTTGCGCCCCCGAACTAGCCTTACCGCGGGCTATCCTTCATCATCTCTTAGCAGCCCGATCAGGCCATGGAGACTTCGAACAATACCACCAACGCTTTAACCATACAGAAGCACTGCTTACCTGCTCCTGCGGGGAGGCAAAGGCGGTAGACCATCTGGTCTACTGCCAAAAGACCCTAATGAGGAGGCATCAGTGGCCTACCCTCTACCCTTCTAGCCTACTCGATCCTATAGGACCTATAGGATCCCTTGAGCGGTACTATAAGGGGTTAATTACTGATCCTATTGGCTTCCAGGCCTTTCTCCGCGTGACAGACTTCTTTCAGAAGATCTGCCCGCGGTACTAAGGACTAGGTCTTGACCTAGGCCCGACTAACGAATTTCTCCTCCTAGAGGGACAGACGGTGACAACGGAGCTAGGGAACCAGCGGGAACTAGGGACGGATAGAACAGACAGTAGCCCACGGGCAAGATTTGGAGGACGTTAGGAAGAGGCGTGTACTATAGAGTATATAGCTCGAGCCTACGGCCCTCCACGCCATATACCCCTCGGGAGGTCGGCCGCAAGGGCGGCAGCGCCTTTGCCGCCACGGCGTTAAATACAACAACAACAACAACAACAACAACAACAACAAATGTCCGGTAAGTCAACCTACCCACTTTTGGCTACCACATCAAAGCTGGTCTCAAAACATCACCACCAACTATACTCAATTAATTAACTACCTTCCACTGCCACTACAATATAGTCACTACCCTTGCTAGGTAACTCGACCCTTGCGAGTCGACTGGGACTAACGATATGGTCGCTAGAGTCCTCCTGAGCCCTCTTTATGTCCCTGGTGTTTGCAAACTTGGTATTTGGGTTGGTTTGGATAGTCGTCCTCTTCCTTGGAGCTATGCGGTTAATTTGAGCCTGGAGAAGTCGGTTTTTGTGCTCTAATGTGGCTAATAGGTAGTCCTTCTCGCTAAAGCCATTTTTTATTTTTCTGAATAGTAGTCGTTGAGTGTTGCTGTCTGGACTGAGCTTTGTGAATAGATTTAAGTGCTGGCTGAGCGCCCTAGCCTTCCTAGGAGTCGTCAGTTAATAATAGACGTGGCTGATGTCCAGTTAACGAGTTACTCTGGCTTGCTAGTCGCTGCCTGACCCTCTGCGGTATTGTTCAATAGAGTGGCAGGGCTGGGGAGTATTAGTGGGTTTATAAGTGGTATGCCTATGTTAACTGGCTATAGACCACTTACTTTCTAACTACTTCGTATGTTTGACGCCGTTAGACCAGTAATTCGAGCCTTGTGGTAACAGTACAAGAAGTGCCGCTTTCTAACGATAGTAGAATTATCCAGGATTTCGTGGTTTCCGAGCTCCTTCCTGTAGTGAGACTTGACTGGTCCAAAGACAGCCATATCCAGGGGCTGAAGGATATGAGAGGTGTGTGGAGGCAAGAAGAGCAAGTAGTTGATGTTGATATAGCACTCCTATATATTCAGTCGTCGTATGACTCCTATGCCTATCTAGAATCAATACTCGAGGCTCTTTTTGCCCTCCTAGCCTCTTGGAAGGAGGTGGCTTAGTCAGGGGCAGAAACACCTTTCTCAACTACTCAAGGGCAGTCTCGTCGGTGGTCTATCTATTATCTGTCGTTGTGAACTCCTAACTATCGTATGGGTTAAGTTGAAGGGGAAACTACTGCTGTTGGACCGACTTTCCCTTGAATATGACTAAGTTACCGAGATCTCAATTTTTCGAGTGAGGTAAAGATTGAATCATTCAATTTCGGCCAAAGTGCCAAGCATACTAGGCGGCAAGTATGGTCTCGTGGGCAGCGTAGATGTAGGATCTGACTATACTATCGCGATGGACTTGCCTTGATTGCTCCGTTCTGCTACGCGCTATGAGGACTGGATGGAAGCCAAAGCGACATGAGATCTGAGATTCAACAAGGCCTTAGGGTTCTTCAACTGGAATACAGCATCGAGCCAACTAAGGTAGGTCGACATCGTCTAGAACTGTAAGTCTGATTGTTACTAACATGCATTCCGGTTGCTTTTTGATGCTATCCACGAACATCTGAAACAGCCTCTATCGGTACGGACTATTGGCTACCTTAGCACTGAACCTGTTGGATTTTCTGTTAGTTGCCTCCTATGAAATCGGCCTGATCGAATGCTGTTTAGATGTGGAACAGCTCCGGGGCCCTAGACCAGCGATTCATCGGGGGTCATCGGCGCGCGAAGCGGGGCTCCGCCGAAACCTCAACGGGACCGAGCTGGGTATCTTTCATGACCGAATGCAACATGGCTCATTGCCTTGAATTAATATCTCACCACAACTTGATTAAAGGATTTACATGGAGGCCTGATTTCTAAGATTTGATCCACTCCACGGGAAATTGAACCTTCGAAGCAATATTTGTTCATTTCAGCATTTGTAATCGGTCCAGCTCCACGGAGGCAGGGTGAGAAAGACTAGCTAGATGGCTAGTTCATGTATTGTCAAGGGCGTACATGATGTGACATCTATAATAGATGGGTATATTGGTCAAGTCTTGGGCAGTATTTGTTTACACAGATCAGTTTCTGTCTTCATCCATTGATTCAGGACAACCGTAAACGCAACACCGCCATGCTTTTTCAACGTCTTCTGTTGCTCGCAGCCACAGCTGTCAGCGCTCAGCCGTCCGATCGCCCTCGCCTTAATTTCAATTTCCCATCCAATTCAACACCTCAACGCTTCACCATCAAGGTTGATGAATCCTTCGTGAACAACACCATCCAAAAAGTTCGCAGCTATCGCCCAACCTACGGCCTGTCTTCCACCTGGGATATCGAAGGGCCTCCCGCTGGAAATCTGACCGATGTCGCGGAATATTGGGTCAATCAATACGACTGGAACTACGTTCAGAAAAAACTAAACGACGACTTCGATCACTATGCAACGACTGTTTCGGGAGGCGAGAAGTACCCATATCCTGTACCGCTGCACTTTATCCATCATGTTTCAACCATTACAAACGCCACACCTCTGCTACTGCTTCACGGATGGCCATCAACAAATCTTGAGTGGTCCAAAGTCATCAAGCCTCTATCAGAGAATTCCGAACAGCCATTTCACATCGTAGCACCGGATTTACCTGGATTCGGATTTAGCCCAGAGCCACAACACCATGGGCTGGGTTTGCGAGAAATGGGATCGGCCTTTGACGCCCTGATGCACCAACTCGGTTACTAAAAGTATGGCATCGTTACTACCGACCTAGGATGGGTCACCGGAAGGTGGATGACCATCGACGTTCGCGATAGTATTCTTGGCCACATGTGCGACTTCTTCCTTGCCGAAACAACGACTGAGGACCAGGCTCGACTGGCGCAGAATAAGACAACCGAGGAGGAGACACTATACATGGCCTCTGTCGACAAATGGTTCAGCTCGCATTGGGCATATTTTGTCGTTCATAGCCAGAAGCCCCTGACGATATCTCAAGCTCTAGCTGATAGCCCTGTTGGTCTGCTTGGCTGGTTCTGGGATGTCAACTATGCCACTTCCAATGGCTACCCATACACCAAAGAAGAGCTCATCACAGATGCAATGATGATGATTATACCGGGACCATACGCGGGGATTCAAGCTTACTTGGGTTTTCAGGTTTGTGATTCCGTTCCGAATGTGGTTTTCGTAAGTGTCGAGATTACTGACACCTGTATTAGTCGCAATTTCCCCACACAGATGTGCCCACCGGGGTCTCTCAGTGGAGCATGGGCGATGGCCCGTTCCCTGACGTTGGAAACTTTGGCTTCGCGGTGAGTCCTATCGACTGTGGGACATGTGTATCTGAACACTTAAACTGACTTGTTACAGCCAAGAAGTTGGATTGAAAGGTCCGTTAACTTGGTGTATTTCCAGCGACATCAAAATGGCGGACACTTTCCAGCTGTCAGCCAGCCCGATCTGTGGATGAGTGACGCGCGGAGCTTCTTTTCCGCCCTACGCAACTCGTCTTCTGTGAAGAAGGATGAGCTGTAGATTGTTGGGAGGAGACGACGAACTCTTTGGATGGTTGTCTAAGTCATTCAATGCGGGCGAAGAGGCTACTGGCGAAACATGAGCCTCATTCATCTACGAGATTCTTGTTTATCGCATGGACTAGACCAAAGTCTTGGGCATCATACCTTATTATTAGCTTGCAACGGTTCGTTTACCTGTACATTGGTCCCGTTGCATGTCTCAAGCGCTGTTAGCGTGTCCACGTATCATGCCACAACGCCACCGATGCGCAGCACCAGCCACGTCCCGTCTCCTCACGACTGGTGCTCGAGAGGATCCTGCAATATCCAAGACAGCTGTCATTGATCAAGACAGTGAAGCAAGTTCTCCCTGGAACTGGGGTCGACAAGCGGTGTGTCAGCGGCTGAGTGCAGAACCCCGCGCGGGCAGGGATCCAGGCCCAATGGTAGAGCCGGAGGACAAACTATGCCAAGCAAGCTTGTATGACATCCAGTGATCTCCGCAGTCTAACAAGTGACGTCAACCCACTTTCCATGTCCACTGCCAAGGAACACGAATAACAAGCCACCGCGTAGTCTGGGCATCAAAAGCGCTCACCATCAGTCTCCCGTTTGATGTTGGGCTTCAGCTGGATTGTTTATGACTTTCCCTTGACTGATCCACCCTCTAAACCAGTTGACCCACTCTCGCAGTAACTCATTGATATATCATCATTGTCCCTCGAGGCACCTCGTCTTCCAACGCCGAGAACGACTTCGCTCACCTCTGCATTGTTCTTTTCACATATTCAGCATTCTTATTTCACAATGGCAGGAATCGTAGACAAGTTGACTGCCTCTGGAGGCACCGAATCTGCAGGTAGGCCTAATGCCATGTCCCTTCCAGCAGCTGAAGCACCTACTTGTTCGGCGTTTAGTGTCTAATATCTCATCAGGATTCCTCAACGACATCATTAAGCAGCTATGGCCGAACATCAACGTTGCTGGCTGCAGGATGGTGAAGGAGATTGTCGAGCCCATGTTCGCTACGATGCTTCCTGGCCCCCTCGCCAGTCTCAAGTTCGTCAAGTTGGACCTCGGAACCGTTCCCATGCGGGTATCAGAAGTGGACGTCCACAAGGTCGACAATGGTGGTATTAAGCTCGACATGGATGTCATTTGGGAGGGAAAGAGTGACATCGAGCTCGATGGAAAGATGGTTCCCAAGCTGGTAAGACCCTGGCGTGAAGACTGTCGCTTGACTCGCGCATAGCTAAAATGGACAACGACAGGGCATCGAACATGTTCATCTGAAAGGCAGACTCTCGATCTTGCTTGCACCACTCACAAATATCATACCCCTGGTATGCCACCTCACATAACCTCTTCCAATTGAGTCGGTGCATGTGCTAACTTATGAACAAGATTGGAGCCGCACAAGTTGCTTTCATCAACCCGCCAGAGCTCAAGCTCGATTTCACTAATGCCGCGAACATCGCAGACTGGGCTTTGGTTGACAAGGCCGTGCGCAAGGTCATTCTTGACATCATCGCGTCCATGGCTGTGCTCCCCAACCGTTACCTCGTGAAGCTCGACAGCAACAACGACTACTTCCGAACATACCTGCCTCACCTGGGAGCCCTTCGCCTTACCATTGAGAGAGCGATTGGCATCAGCGGCCCCAAGAAGAGTGGCGCCAAGAGGCTGTTGGCCAAGATCGTCAAGGATGTTCCCGACTGTTATGCCAAGGTGAACGTCGGTGCCGAGGAGGAGTGGCGCACCTCCGTCAAGAAGAACGATCACGACCCGGAGTGGAACGAGACTCACGACTTCCTCGTTGCAGACTACGACCAGCGCATCTTTATTGATGTACAAGACGATGACCTTGGCGGCGATGATGACATCGGTATCGCGACTACAACCGTCAAGGACATTCTGCTGGATGGAGGCTCCCAAGAGTTAGCCCTCACCCACAAGGACGAGCCTACCGACGCCAAGATTGTCGTTCACGCCAAGTTCTACAACTTTGTCGACAACGCTGAAGTCATCACAACCACTCAAAGCGAGAACGAGCATCAAATCGTCGGCCTCGCCACCGTGCTCATCGCCAGCGCCCTCGGCTTGCAGGGCCAGCGCGACGAGCTGAACCCCAGCGTTAAGGTGACATGGGGCGCAAAGGAATTCCGCACCGCAGCTAAGACCTACACTCCGGGAACGGATATCTTCAACCCATCTTTCGACCAGGCTTTCAGAATCCCAGTGACCGCGGACTTGCTTGCCAACCCTGCCAACTTCAAGATTTCTCTGCTCAACAAGGCTGATGAGACTGGGGCCGTCGAGATTCCTTTCCAGGATGTTCTTCAGGCTCCTGGCTTGGTCAAGGAGGAGAGCTTCGATGTTGGATCTGGTGCAACTGTGAGAGCTAGCATCTCTCTTCGCGGCTTGCAGGTGGCGCACTGATGGACTCACGATTTGATGACTTGCTCATGTATAATTACACGACAATACACGATTGAATGAGACTGTTTAAGATGAAATATGGCCCTAGTGATAAAAAAGTTACGATCTACGTGAGATTGAGCGTCTGTAGCTCAGTCGTTCCCTTCAAAAGCTCGCCATCCATAATGCCATGAACGTACGCCTCGCCAATAATCTGAGAGCATTTGTCCAAGGAGCGGGATGAGATGATGAACGGTGCGTCTGCGCCAAGAATTATCCAAACCTCATCGCCTACGGACGATGCCAGTGGCGCTAGTCCGATATAGCCTCCGTCAGTTACAAAGGGCTGTCTGCCCACGAGTTTGGCGATCGCAACGTTCACGTACTTCAGGCCCTCGGAAACCTTTCTCTGTCGCAAAGCTTGGTAAGACAGGAACATTTCCCCGGATGCCCGTTCCGTCTCCCAGTTGTATGCAAACTCTCGATCGGCGATTGGAGTTCTCCACAAGGCCTCTCGCAGAGCTTCATCGGTATTGTACACAGTAGGGGTACCTGCTAAGATGGCATCAAGATCATCTAGCCACAGGTCCAGAAATGATGCTCGGATGCCATCTGCTTCATCCGGTTTCAATCCTTTCAACCTTCCAAATGTCCTTCCTTGCTTCACTATTTTGCCGACTCTAATGGCCTTCAATGATAATGGGATCACGAACCGATTCTCTTCCAAGAATGCGGCTGAAAGAGACTGAGAGAGTGATCCGGAGGCCGTGTATGCCTTTTCTCTGTTTTTGCCTCGTACCATGAACAGGGATGGGGCGTGCAGTGGCTGAGCCAGGTATTTCGAAGACCAGTCGGGTGCCCATGAAGGTTTGTGAATTAACAATGCGGCGGTATACTTGTGTACGCCCCCGGACCCGGCGAATGGTAGTATTCTTGGGCCATAGTAGATCAGACAGGCTTTGGCAACCTCCGTCCGAATCGTTTGCCAATCTTTGTTGTACTGGACTGGGATTGACGGGCTCGAATCTGGGCTAACCAAGCCTAAAAGCGAGAAGACGTAGTCTCGCTGATCAGAGGCCTGGAGCTGGGCTTCACTGGACATTCTCGAGAGCAAGGAGAAAAGGGTGAGTAGTGAAGAGTTTGGTCGAGTGAAGGCAACGGGAGTTACCCTGTCCAGAGCCGCCGTGAGAAAAGCCACCAGCGTGGAGCTGTCCCGCCTCCCAGTGCCCGAGCCGACAATGTTCAAGTAATCGCGTACACCACAGAGCACCCAGAACCCGTCGTAGAATGCATCCCAGGACATCCAAGTATCACCGCAACAGACCAAGCAGTCCTTCGATAGCACGCGTTCCTGAATCACCCAGACGCGCTGGAACCAGGAACGCTCAAACAAGGAGCCAATAGCTTTCAATCTTGCGGAAGTTTTCCGACAAAGCTCTCCGATTATCTCTCTGAGTATGGTCTGGACCTTGTCCACCATCGGGTTGACAGCTATCTTGGAGAATGGGAACTCGGACCAAGACATGACAGCAAACACTCCCGAATCTGCCAACTTGTCCAAGTCGAGAATGGTGTTCATCGCAAGATCGCTGTCCACGCTTGCAGAGCCTAGCCAAACAAAAGTTTTCGCGGCGTTTTGGTAGATTTCTCTCATATAAGACACCTGTTGGGTTCTTTCTGCTTCGTCCCGTTGATTGATGCATAGAGCGTCGACCCAAAAGATTGACCCGAGGTTCTCGTCAATTCGCCCAGCAGCCAAGTGTCTTAAAGCCGCTTCCAGATTCGTGGTAACTTGAACCCACTGGTCATCTACCAGGATGCTCTTTGTGATGCTGGCATCTCCCCATGCGTATGAAACTGCCGTGTAGCATTGCTCCTCGTCAAGTCTGGCTTGCTTCAGGCGACAACGAACGGGTGGTAGAGTGACACCTGGTTCTTCGATCTCCAAGGGCTTTATCTCGATGAGGCGGAACTCCTTCTTTTCCGGATCTAGCGGTTGATATTGAAAGGGCCCCAGGCTGCCGACCAGCTGATGTTCGGCCATTGCAAACCACAAGCATCAATCGCCTCACTTCAACTGTGTTGATCGTGGCTTGATCGTTGGTGTGTGATTCTCGAATGAGCTGGGGCGGCTGGTTGCAGACGTATGATTCCTCGCAACTTGCTGCTGTGCCCCTCTCGCATTAGGCATCTCTGCTGACAGCCCGACATGCTGCAGAGAGCCGAATTTTGCAAAAGTTGACTGAACCAATCATGAGCCGCTGCGATACCAAGTCATACCTTACCAGCGAGTTGCACATCCGGAGGTGGGTTTTGCCATGCTTCGAGTACTGCATACTTTAGTAGGCATTTTTTGAGTCCCTACTGCACTCACCACTTCGCATACTTAGTACAGCGTACAGCGCGATGGTCGAGATTCAAATTCTCATTCACGATACCACTGAAAGCTGTTCGAAGACAAGTAGCTAGGTTGAAGACGATCTATGGAAAGCACGCCTTGCGATGTAGCTGCATATTTCTTGGCCCAATCTTCCTAATTCTTGTGCTCAGTAACTTTGACCCAGAAGTTATCCTGCATGAACATGTTGTGATTCACGCTATGCCAAGGCTTCGCAGGATCCATGATCTGAAAGTCAAAATTGCGAAGCAACTATGTAAGTTTGTAAATGTCAGCATCTCGACTCTTTACACTGCCGCAGCACTTTCGAATTCGTGGAAGAGGGAAGTAGATACTCACTTCAAAAAACACCTTATTCAACTCCAGAAACGCAACATTTTTACCCGCACAACCCCATCGCCCATATCCAAAGGCGAATTCAGTAGTCTTCTGCATCTTATCCTTCGTCGCCGCGTCCGCCTCGATCCACCGCTCAGGTCGGAAGAGGTCCGCGTCTTTACCAAAGACGTCGACGCGGCGGAGCGTGCCCCAGACATTCTGGGCGATGCGCGTCCCGCCGGGGATGAAGCGTCCGTCAATGGTATCTCCTCCTGCAGGTGCTTCTTTAGCGCAAAGACCCGTGAAGGGAGCACACATTCGGAGACCCTCATAGATTATGGCCTGGGATTGATCAGCAAAGTCCCCATACGAAATGTGGTTCTGTAATTGAGGGGCTGACCTGGAGGTATGGCAATGTTTTACTCTCCTCATTGGTAATTGGCGAAGAGATGTGGCCCTGGGTGACAGCTGTAGCAATTTCATTGCTTAGAGTGTAATATGCGAGGGGGATGTAATCAGATTTAGGATAGTTGTTCGGATTGCTGTTGCGGTCGTGTCTGATCCAGCAATAATCTGGAAGAGAACTTCCGTTTCACATTCGCTCTGACTGACGCCGTGCCGAATAAAGGCACCCTGTTCATTGTCAGTTCTGCCCCAAACTAGAGGTGAAAAGGTCGACATACCAGCATATCCGGTCGCTCCTTTGCGTCCGCACCGAAACGTTGTCCCACAACCTCCTTGGCGACTCTGAGTTCCGGTCAGCATCGAATCATGGTGCTACATGTACTCAGTGTATAAAGGAAGCAGGACCCACCCCATCAACTTTCCCAACCCGCTCTTATCAGTATGTTTCGGACCGACAGCGCCCAGAACGGGCTTGGAAAACATAACGCTGGCAAGCCACGGCACCTCACTGCAGAGCTGCAGAACCGGTATAGCCGCCTCCGTCGTGCTGATGTAGTCATGGACATCCGAATCTGTGGCCAAGTATCCAAACTCTTTGCCGTACGCAACTCTGGTGATAACATCCAACGTAAAATACTGCGCCGTCCTGCCGAGATCCATCGGCCTGACCTCGTCGTTGGTAGTGACATACTTCCTCCGGATGAGGTCCACGAAATTAGCAACCTGGGAGTTGATGTCGTCTTCGAGCGCGAGGTTCTCCTTGCCGGCGTACCCGGCTGCGGTCTTGGCTTTGAGCTTGTCGTGTGCGCCGGCGTCGCGCAGGCTGAACATACTGTCCTCGTGGGGGTTGAGTTTCGTGGTGTCGTACCAGCTTGATCGGCCGTAAGTTGAGCGTGCGGCGTTCATGCGGCGGAGGATGTCCGGGTCGTCAGTGACGAGATCATTGGGGCCGATGCGGACTAGGGAGCCGTGCTTTCTATTGAGGTTGGTAAAGTGTTCGGCTGGTCGACCGGAGCGTGCATTTGATAGGAGCCATAGGTAGGAGAATCGTCCGACGAACGGGCCGGGGAAATCGCGAAGGCGGCCGTAGACTATGACGGAGGAGACGATATAGTAGAGGATGATTGCAAAGCTAAGATAGAGTAGCGATGAGCCGCCATTGAAGTACGAGGTGAAATCCGATAGAGCCATGTCTCGTTGGCTTGTCGTTAACTTGTTCGATGAAGGCAAACTTGAGTTGACGTCGACTCCAATCGCCAATCCTTTGTTCGGCGGCAACCCTCTATTTCAATGGTCATCTTCTACTTTTCAGGCTTGCCCCGTGTACTAGTATGGGATTGACGTGACCCCTTGCCATGTCAACGTGTCGAACGTTGCAACCCCGCCTCTCGTTACATCGTTCGGGGTTCCGAAGACGTCCTGAGGATGACAGCGTCGGCTTCCATGTCGACATACAGGGGTTCGCGCGTCAGCAGGCTTGGTGAACCGGGTCATTGTCACCAGAAGTCCCAAATGCCGATTGTGAATCTACCTCGAATCGGATAACCTATCTGGAAAAGTCGCACTGCCCAGCATTTGGCACCGTTTTATTGCAGATATTTAGTTTATCGATTCTCAGTGATGTCCAATGACGAGTTACCTGTCGGACCCGGGCAAGACGTGAATGGGAGATCGGCAATTGGAGAATCGAAATATTAATGATTATGATTGGACGTGTTGGGGGGAAACGCTTGGAGGGGAGGCAGCTTATGTGGGTTCCTCGACTCTGTCTTGTGTAACGTACGGAGTAGGGAACACGGATATGTCGGCATAAGCACTTGCGCTTTTGTGGTTACAGCGGATATGGATCGCCGCCAGACTCTGATAGAATTCGGAATGGGCAAAAGAGCCAGGTCTTGGTGTCTTGGTAAGCTGCTGCTATTCAAAGATTTGTGACTTGATGCCAAGGGTGGACTCCGTACTGATAGCTAGACTTTTTCGACGACCCATAACAGGCCCACAGACACGAGATGGAGGAGTAATAGAGGAGGTATTATTGGCTGGAGCAGGGGAAGTAACAGGGTGATAAGGCAGGATAAGAATGATAGCAGCAAACATTGCGACAAAGTTTGTGGTGGTTGAGAAACAGCTTGAGGCAAAGACGAGTTCGGTCTAACTTTTGCGGCGACCTCAATGACCTGGAAGCCTGCACCGGGGAAACACATAGATGGATCGCGATAGCTCGAGTGATTAGAATTGTTGTAAGAAGTAAACTTGGTGTTGTCCAGATTAAAAGCATAGTAGCATACAACTTCCGTCCGTAACTTGATGGAACGGCCTTCCTTATGTTTCTTTACTTCAGCCTTCGACGTCCGCGTGTTGGGATTGCTCCGTCGAGTGTTGGTCGTTATCGGTACACTTTCTTCTATAGTACAGTCGTTTTCGTCGCCGCGATTGGCCAGATCATTTCGTGGTATCCTCATTGAGGCGCCTTTGTGCGCAGCTGGACACCGTGCCACTGCTTCATCATATCGCCCAAGACGGCATTGACCATGCGCTGCTGCTTCAGCATGTTGGCGCCCTTGAACTTAGCCGACGTGATGTCGATAGCGTACATGGAACCGCATCCGCCCGAAACGTCTTGGACGATGAGCTCTGAAGGCGCGAACTCGGCGGTCAGCTTATCCCATATCGTTGACTCGGCATCGTCGAGGTGGTCGGGCTTCTCGAGGGCTGTCGGGGTCTCGGTCGCGGAGGAGTAGGAGCGCTTGGAGCTCGATCGGAGATTGATTTGAGGTGATGACCGGATCGAGAGGACAGATCTCTTGACTGATGGGTTTGTAGGAGTAGATCGAAGAGTGTAGCTTCTTGTTGGGATCGAGAGACTTGAGAGGGGAGCTTTGGCAATGATGGCGTTCGAAGTGGGTTTGGGGAGCGCAATTGCGCGACGGCACGCTCTGCAGAACATGTTGACTAGGTATTGTTTGAGGTAGTGAAGATTCGGTTTGCGATTGAAGGATGTTGGCGATAGCTTCAAATTGAGTCGCTTGGGGCTGTCGCAGTCAAATTGAGAAACCAAAATAATTCGGAGAGTTTTTGGTGGGAAGCTTCAATTCGGAATTTCTAAGCTCACGGCTGTTGACGTCAACAAGGAATTGGTGAGCTGCCGGGATTTAGCCGGAGACAGTGTTGGGCTTACAGTGTGAATCCGCTCACACGGTGGTGGAGTGAGATGAGTGGCTCAGTGAGAAACAAGTGAGATTCACTCTCATCCAGCACATTCACTCACATGTCTCTCACATGTCACTCACTTGAGCTTCACACCTTTCCCGTCAACAAGCAACCTGACTCACTAAGTGCGTAAGCCAAAAAAAAAAAAAAAATCTCCCGGCCATCTCATCAAAGTCACAAAATGGCTAACATGGATCACAGGGACTGGAAATTTTAAGGGGCTAATGCGACGACACCTTCAACCACCATGGGCTACATCATCACCCTCAGCTCTCCTGCTTCACATGCAGATGTCCCTGCTAGTACAGGCCACTCTAGACGGCGGGAAAATTATCTCTGCATCTCCAATCTGCCAGCCATGCCGCATCTCTCACCTCATCCGCCAAATCACCCCGGCAAATTCTCCTAGTTCGAGATCACCCCGTCCGGCTTACCCCAGGACCCAGGGCCATCAATAGCGTCTCCCCGCATCTCCCCGCATTCTTCTCCAATGATTTACCCCAGGTCATAAAAGCTGCTAAGTCCGACACTAGAGATTAGAGGCGACGAGGTTCTCTTGCGGTTTTTGTCAAATTCCTCCAATCAAGCGTGTCAGGGCCCCGGCCGGCAACACTTTTCCAAGCGGTATGGCAATGAACGTGAGGAACGCGATGAACGCATCAGGGGGACAGCGAGCTTCGATGCTACGCTGGAAGGGCGTATAAAAAGTGGTACATAGAGGAAAGGGGACGCCGAGTGGAAAAGAGAGGGAAGGAGCAACAGCGAAGAACAGCAGCTTGAATCTCCTTCTTATTCTTATGGCGCGGTTGTCATTTTTGTTTTCCGCAGCTGCGGCATGCTTCCTCCAGGCCGTGGCAGCTCAAGAGCCTACAGCCCAGGTTCTCAATGGCACTTATCAAGGCCGGCATCTTGTTGAGTGGGACCAAGATGCCTTTCTCGGTGTCCCTTTTGCGCAACCTCCAGTCGGGCAGCTCCGCTACAAGTGGCCTCAAAGTCTCAACACTTCCTTCGAAGGGACGAAAGATGCCACGGAACAAGGCTACAGCTGTATGCAGCTCAGAGGGACCTTCAACATGTCTGAGGATTGCTTGACCCTCAATGTTGTTCGTCCAGCTGGAAAACCCGAGAAGCCGCTTCCGGTTCTCGTTTGGGTCTTTGGCGGTGGTTTATACACTGGGTCAATTGTAAGATGATATCTACCCTGGAACATCAAGTATTGAGACTGACCTGGATGCAACGCAGGCCGACCCTCAATACAACCTCTCAGGCATTATTAAAGTCAGCCAGGACATGGGCCAACCCATCATCAGCGTCGCCATGAACTACCGTCTGAACATGTATGGCTTCCTCCAAACACCCCAGATCCTAGCCGAAGGCTCCGCCAACGCGGGTCTGCTTGACCAGAGGTTGGCGCTCCGGTGGATACAGGAGAACATCGCGGCCTTTGGTGGAGACCCGGACCGGGTGACGATCTGGGGCGAAAGTGCCGGGGCCCAGAGCATCGCCTACCATATGTTTAGCTACGACGGCCGGGACGACGGCCTCTACCGCGCCGCAATCCTCGAGAGTGGTGGGCCAACGGGCGCCCAGGTGCAGGACTTGGCTTACTACAACGCACCTGTCGAGAACCTTACGCGCAGCGTCGGCTGTTGGACCGCCAAAGACCAGTTGGCTTGCCTTCGCAGCCTCAGCCAGACGCAACTCTTTGCAGGAAACCCCAGTCAGGTGTGGAACCCGATGATTGACGGGGACTTCCTGACGGGCTACCCGAGCCAACTGATCCGCGAGGGCAAGTTCAACAAGGTGCCTCTTTTAACAGGCGCCAACAGCGACGAGGGCATCAACTTCAACCCCAACAGCCCGAAGCCAAATACCGAAACGGACCTCTTCAACGGCTTCACCTGGTGGCGCTCTTACGCCCTCTCCCCGCCTACGATCCGGAAGCTCTTTGAGCTATACCCCAACGACCCCTGCACTCAGCCGCCGCTCTCCATCACGAACTGCTCCGTGTACCCGGAATACGGCCTGCAGTGGCGGCGGGGCGCCTCCATCGGCGGTGACCTCGTCATGATCTCGGGCCGCCGAAAGATGTGCGAGCTCTATGCCGTCTCGCAGCCCGTGTACAGCTACCGCTTCGACCAGCTGCTCTGGAACCGCAAGCAGATTGAGGGTGTGCGGCACTTTGACAACGTTGCCTACAGCTTCCAGAACATTTCCGGCCTGCTCGGGCCGTCGCCGCAGTATGACAGCCACGTGCGCTTCGCCCGCGCCATCGGGGAGGCTTATGTGCGGTTCGTCTATGAGACAGACCCGAACCCGAAGGCTGGTAGCAATGGGATGTTTACGAATGGCACGTCGCTGTTGCCGTATTGGCCCAAGTATGACTTGAGCGCTCCCAAGAACTTGGTGTTGAACGCATCCAAGAGCTATGTGGAGGATGATACATGGAGAAAGGAGGGTATAGACTTCATCAACACCTACGAGGTTGCGAGGGAGCTTCTTGCATGATAGACTGGTTTGCGTCTGGAACTCCCGAGGGCTTGTCTAGCATCAGACCGCAGATGGGTAGCCGGCATCGTCCAGCGTACAGTGTACATAGATGATACAGCAATAAGCAATGTTAGTTAATCACGGTGTGCTACGGATACTCATCTTGCCCACATACTTCTTTTCGTACTAGTGGAGACTGCCTCGATCTTCCGCCCTCGCCGTTGGGCCAAGAAGACAGGGCGACTCTTGCCATGGTCCATGGAGCCCGGTCACCGCCCAGCCGCCCGTCGACCCTCCCCCCTCTTTCCGGGGCGGACTGCGACGGTCGCATTCGACGATCTGTAAGGTACAACCCTATTGCACCCGAACAATTGGGATGATGGTCCGGCGAAAGCATTGGCGTGCATCTGAAGACAACAGCGTTGACCAAGAGTCGCGAGTATCTCCCGTTTCGGTGAAGAAGAGTTGTTTGCTCGATTACCTACCTTAGTGCCGGCACTTGCATAGCTGATTCGATGTTTGACAAAAGTCGCACAGTATCAACATCTGTTGTGTATCGCGATACGATAACAATATATTGCCGCAGGTGAGATGCCCACGACTAGGTAATTCCTCTTTATGAGTAATCGGAAATCGAAGCCAGATTCGCGAAGGTCGCTTTGTGTATTTTCATATTTACCAGACTTCTCTCGGTAAACTGAGGATGCGACTCTATCCACGCAAAAATAGTGATTGAATGCGGAAGTTAGTTGGCCTAATAAGAACGTCTTCAGGTCTTTCTGAAGAGCACAAAACCCATTGGGTACCTTATTACGTGTAGTCTGCTGCATGACGATGCATGTTGTTGAATCAACCATGAACAGAGTTCGGCGCCATAGTAAGGTTAAACGCATTTGTGTTTGCCAATGTTCTATTCACATTAGAGACCCCTACAGCAGTGCAGGCCGCCTGGAAGATATGTGTCCAGGTCATCCCCAGCAGGACGAGAGTCAGTAATCATTTATTCGCAATTTTTAGGTTCAAGTAAGCGGGGTCTACAGTCTGATGAGCCGCTCCAGTTGCCCATCTAACTGTAACCTCTCCGTTGATTCGCAGTCAATACCAAAAACGTAACTGAATCGTGCAATGCTTCGCCGTTTCCAGGTTCTCCGTCAGCCGAACGGTCGAACCCTGAGAAGAAGTGCATGTCAAAAGTTCTCTCATTTTCAGCTGGACCCAGTCTCTCGCCCAGAATACGAAGACTCAAAAGTTTAACGAGGACAGATTAGGTGGGGGAGATCCCCGCGGCCTCTTCCCGAGCTTCCCAGATCGCCTTAGTAGCCTAGCCGGGACACAACTCCTTTGGGCTATAGGCGAAAGGAGCCATTGTTCTGTGGGCGTTGGTCCGGGCGTATCAACACAGGCCCGCGGTTTACTATGTGGTTTTGCGTCTTCAGGCTTCCACTTCAGGGCATTTCAATGTTCCAACTCTACCATGTTGTGCCCCCAGAGATGCAGAGAACTCGGAGAGACTCGAGTATAGTTTCCTGCTGAGACGGTCCGATACGTAATTGCAGACTTGAAGTGATATCTTGCGTTCTGAACTGAGACAAGGCAGTTGAGCGCCGAAGCTACTTCTGCCGTCTGCGAATTCGCCCAGCTAGCCATACGGCGCAGCAGCGAACATGCAGCGTCGCAGCGTCGCAGCGTCGCACCGCCGCCCGCATCCCGCGAACCTTTGCGTCCGGTCTAGGGCCGGGGCCTGGCCACCGCGTTATCGACTTTTCGGCAGGTGAACAGGATGGAGGCCCAGAAGGACGAGAAGCCATGGATGATGGGACGAAAGATGTCAGGCCTTGTTAGTGTTTTCGGGAGAGTCTAACTCTTGCGTCCTCGCCTGTATCCTTACGCCCTCGCCCATTCAGACACTTTGTTGTCCGCCACTTTTGACTCTGCCCTGTATGTATGCGGGGATATCGTATGTGGGCGGGACGACTTGGCGATAATGACTAGCAAAAGGTCCTCTACCCAGCAGAGTCTCCGAGTCTCCTGCCCAAAAGGAACATACTCAATCTGAGTCGTTTAGCCTTCCAAGCTCCTTTTCCCTCATTACGGATTCACCTCCGGCCAACGGACGCTACCTTTTTCTCAACTGAGCAGAACCCGTATGCCGAAGGGCATGCCGAAGGGCAGCAGCTGAGCACAGAACTCCAGAAGCCGATACTGACGTGCCTATAACAACATCCAACGCAATCGCCTCAGAACCCACCATGCAGCCGGGATGCCCGTCCCCGCGTGGATGCTGCCGTGGTACCGCACGCGTGCCTGAGCACATCGCGGGCCCGGCGCTCCACATCGCACGAGTGCAAATTCAGGAACACACCAACAAACAACGAGCCTGAGATGCACTGCTACCACGGCAGTAGGAGTGCCTTGACTTCTTGGCCTCTTGGCTCCATGGTCTGGGGAAGCCGGCGATGCACGCAAGACGGATGGCAGCGTGTCTTTGAGGGAATGTGGGAGCTGCAACTCCCGTGTCATGTTCACTGTATCATGTTGACATGTTTATCGCAGAGCGGCAAGTGTAATGTCTTGATAACGTTGCGGATGTTGTCTTGCTGAATCCTGATAGGAGCGGGCCCTCGTCCAGCAATCTCTGTACGAGCCACTGACATTGAGCAACATGTCTTCCTTTCCTTTGTTGCCGGCCTCATCAGGTGTACGGCATTTGCAGCAACAATAGCAATATGGAGCCGTCACCAATGCCTCAAATCCGATCTCCCGCCCTCTGCCAATCACCCTTTCGCGATAGCTCCAACGCTGAGTCTATTAGAAGCGAGCCCGAGGAGGGCCGTCTCGCCACCAAACGGGGGGGATGCTGGTAAAATATAAGTGCCCCTAACCAAGCCACCCCTGACCATGCCCATGTTCATGATCCATGGCGACCACGGTTGGCCAGGGCCTCCCCTCCGTCAACTCTCGCGGTCCCTCACCCAACGACATGCGGAGGCCCTTACCCAGATAGGAAGGCCATCTGAGCAAATTGACCGTTCAAAAAGACCTCCAATGACATTGTTCAATTAATCAACCCCGGCTAAGCTCCCTCCCACTACGAAGCCTCAACAAGGCAGCTCGAAAAGCAGCTTCTCATATGTTGATCGACGTTCGGTCGAGACGCTCCTTTTTCCTTACAGGCCATAACTTGTCCACGCGGTGAATGAGCTGCAGATTGACCTCTGAAGCTCGAGGCAACAAGCGGCGTGCAATTTCTTATTTCCCTGGTCCCGTTCGCTTGTGCAGCGTGCTGCTTCCCCCTGACCCATGATCCCATCCCATCCCACACCTCGACCTTCACCCCTGGCTCCCGAGCACTATCGCGTGCCACACTGTCACCGCGTCTTTGCATGCTCGCATATTCCTTCCGCGCGATGTTTCTCTCCACCTGCCTGGGCGAGCAAGCGTGCTGGCCCGAAATGGTGCTCCCAGTTCCTTTCATGACGACAACGACAAGCCCAGTCTCGCCGTCCTGGACCCCCGCAAGACGGGGGGTTTGCCTTGAGAGTTGGGCCGAGCCGAGCGAACAATTTCCCTCCTCCCCGTATGAAGGACACACTCATGGCACTTATAAAGCTGGACCCCTGGCGCGCCGCGCTCATGAGGTGATTCCTTTCTCACCAGCTCCGGTCTCCCGCAAGTCATCCGTCAGCCAAACACACAATGGTCAGAAGCAGTCTCTTGCTGCCGCTCCTTGCGGCGGCTTCCGCCGTCCACGCCAAGGCTCCGTCACCCAAGACCGTTGCCGGTGCCTTCATCGTCGAGTTGGAGGATGGCCAGGTATGTCAATAGCTCCCACAGCAGCACTGGCCTATGCCGTGGTGGAGTAAAGTTGCTAACCTAACTTTTTTCTACAGGATGCCTCCGAGTTCTACGCAGAGGCCGAGACCGATGCCATCACTCGTTTGAATCTCACCTACTCTCTTTTCAAGGGCGCTTCTATCCAGTTCAAGAACCTCGACACTGCCGACCAGAAGGCCGCCAAGCTCGGCCAGCTCGCTTCGGTCAAGAACATTTGGCCTGTGAGGACCTACGGCATCCCCACGCCCGAGGTTGTTTGGACCGGCCAGCAGGGTCGCGACTACATCGACCTCAAGAAGCGTCAGGAGGGCGAGGATACCTTCTCGACCCACGTCATGACCCAGGTCGATCAGCTTCACGCCAAAGGTGTTTCCGGCAAGGGCATCAAGGTCGCCGTCATTGACACGGGTATCGACTACCTTCACCCCGCCCTCGGCGGCTGCTTCGGCGCCGACTGTCTCGTCAGCTACGGAACCGACTTCGTCGGTGACGCCTACGATGGCTTCAACGAGCACTTCCCCGACAACGATCCCATGGATTGCGGTGGTCACGGAACCCACGTTGCTGGTATCATTGCCGCTCAGAGCAACCCCTTTGGATTCACCGGTACTGCTCCCGGTGTGACCCTCGGTGCTTACAAGGTCTTCGGATGCGAGGGCCAGGTCAGCAACGACATCCTCATTGCCGCTTACAACCGCGCCTACGAGGAGGGCAGCGACATCATCACCGCTTCCATCGGTGGTCCCTCTGGCTGGACTGACGAGCCCTGGGCCGCTACCGTCTCAAGAATCGTTGAGGCTGGTGTCCCTTGCACAGTCTCTGCCGGTAACTCTGGTGACCAGGGTATCTTCTTTGCCTCTACCGCCGCCAGCGGTAAGCACGTCACCGCCATCGCCTCCTTTGACAATGTCAACACCCCGGCCGTTCTCATTGAGAACTCCTTCACCATTGCCGGCGGCGAGTCCCAGAACTTCTCCTACACCCCCGGTGAACCCCAGAACTGGGCTGGCGTCGACCTCCCCCTCTGGGCCACGAGCACCGACTCCACCTCCACCGCTGCCCTCGGCTGCGATGCTTACCCTGCCGACACCCCCGACCTCAGCGGTAAGATCGTGCTCGTCCGCAGAGGTACTTGCACTTTCGTCACCAAGGCCCAGAACGCCGTCAACGCTGGTGCCAAGTACGTCATGCTTTACAACAACGCCGCCGGTGCTGGCTCCGTCTCTGCTGCTGTTGAGGGTCTCGAGGCTATTGGCATGACCACCCCTGCCCAGGCCGCCGTCTGGCTCACCGCCCTCGCTGCTGGATCCGACGTCGTCCTTCACATGACTGACCCCAAGGAGGCTGAGCAGATACTCATTAACTCCAACAACACCGCCACTGGTGGTTCCATCTCCAGCTTCAGCTCTTGGGGTCCCAACTGGGACGGTCTCCAGAAGCCCCAGTTCGGTGCTGTTGGTGGTAACGTCCTGTCCACCTACCCCAGAGCCCTGGGTAGCTACGCCATCCTTTCTGGTACCTCCATGTCTTGCCCCCAGACCGCTGGTATCGTTGCTCTGATCGCCGATGTCCGCAAGACCCTGGACCCCGCCACCATTGAGAACCTTCTCTCTGCCCACGCCAACCCCGTCAAGTTCAACTACGGAACCGGCCCCGATGAGCTTCTTGCTCCCGTTCCCCAGCAGGGTGGTGGTCTCGTCCAAGCCTTTGATGCCGCCTACTCCACTATCATTCTCAGCCACTCCAGCCTTTCCTTCAACGACACTGACAACTTCATCCCCGAGCTCAACTTCACCATCAAGAACACCGGCGCCGAGTCCGTGTCCTATGACCTGAGCAACGTCGGTGCCGCCACCGCCTACACCTTCGAGGCCGCTGGAGATCTTTTCCCCGCACTCTTCCCCAACGAGCTGTCCTCCGAGTACGCCACCCTTGCCTTCAGCGAGGAGAAGGTTACCGTCCCTGCCGGCGGCGAGGTCACTGTCCTGGTCACCCCCACCCCTCCTACCCTTGAGGCCGGCCGCCTCCCCGTCTGGTCCGGTTTCATCGCCCTCAACGGCTCCGATGGCACCAGCCTCTCCCTTCCCTACCAGGGCATCGCCGGCAGCCTCCACAGCCACGTCACCCTCGACCAGGCCCTGATGACCACCTCCACCAGCGCGAAGGACGAGGTCTACGAGCCCGTCCCCAGCAACTACACCTACACTCTCCCTCCCCCGGGCACCGCCAACGAGACCGAGGCCGTCCTCCCCGCCCTCGCCGTCAATATGGCCTTCGGTTCCTCCTTTGTCCGCGCCGATTTGGTTCCCTTGACCACCTGTCCCCCTAACATCACTCACGAGGTCTGGGGCATCAAGACCCTCGGCCAGCCCCGCTCCTTCCCTTATCTGTACGTCTCTCGCGGTGTCTTCGCCGTCAACTTTGACGGCCAGCTCGAGGACGGCACCTACGCCCCTGCTGGCAAGTACAAGTTTGCCATCAAGTCTCTGCGTGTCTTTGGTGACGCGACGAAACTTGAGGAGTATGATACCACTGAGACTGAGCCTTTCCGCATCGTCTACGGTGCCGCGAACGCGACGGTTTCTGCTAGACACTAGGAGAGTGTGGAATATGTGCTACGATAGCATCACATGTCTATGCGACATTTCTTCTTGTAAATAAGTTCATAGGACTGGAATAATGTCTGATATCTTCATAAACCAACACGCCTCTTCCACGGTGCTACTGTCTCCCAGTTTTTCCTAAGCTGTGTTCTTTCCAGTTCATTTTCGTCTTTGACGTTTCTCAGTCGGCATCTAAGAGGATCAAAACCCGCCTCTACGGTCTACCTCACCGATATCTTCCACGACATAGTTTAGTGCTTGAGAATCGTCAACACCCTTAAGGGTGGATGATGCAAGTCTAGAAGTACTTTTACGTTGATGTTCACTTAAGATCATTCACACCTTCGCTCTCAGCACATTCCCAACGGCCGCTACTCTAGCAGCGACAAGACTTCCTACGCCCAACAACGTGACCACAGCCGCCCAGATCTGCGCCCAGACATACTTCCCATCCGACACGTCAAGAATCGCCCCAGCGATTGGAGGCCCTGCCAAAGAAGCCACACCCACAATTGTCGCAACCATACCAAAGCGTGCTCCCATCTTCGTAGGGTCTACAGTCAAACTTGCCAGAGCCGGCGTGAAGACGCCTTGAACAAAGCCGTTTGCGATGCCGAAGAATACACTCAGGACGTACAGCCCCGGACTGGTGTGAACTCCGATCCATGCAAAGTACATGCCGCTCACAACCACGTTGCTGACGATGAACATGTTGATCGAACCTAAATAGCGCCCAGCTATGAATCCGGAGAGAACGCGACTGGGTATTCCCGATGAGTTTAGAATTAGCAGCAGAGAGACGGATTCAGTAAAGGACAACCCGATGACCTCACGCGCAAAGACATTCATCTAACAATGTGTTAGTTGGTGACTCCCAGAACCGGATTATCCATAACTCACATAGAAGAGACTGAAGTAGAGAGACAGGAACACGAAAAAGCTCCCAAGGGCGAAACACGTATACGATCGTTCGCTAAACGCGGCCCACTCGATCAAAGGACCTTGCCTCTTAGGCGCAAGGCGCGGCCTCATCAACGCGATCGCAATAACACCAAGAACCAGCATCATCAAGGCCTGACACCTAACAGCCCACGCAAACCCAACATGAGGCATTGTATAATTCAGCAAGATGGGAAACGTGACGGAGCCGAGGCCTGTCCCAGTGGTCACTATGGAAAGCGCTAAGGTCTTCCGCCTCTTGAAGTACGAGCCGACGATGGTGATGCCCGGCATGAACATGATGCCCATCCCGAGTCCGGTGCATAGACCTTGGGCGAGGAAGATTTGCCAGTACGCGTGGCAGAAACTGGTCAAGAATGTGCCCATTACGGCCATGAACAGGCCGACGATGACTGCCTGGCGAGTGTAACCAGCGTCGGCAAGGCGGCCTGATAGCGTGCAGATGCTAAAGGTGAGAAAGATCTGGATTGAGCCTATCCAAGATGCCTGCGATGAGGGGAGGTTGAGGATGGTGGTGTAGTAGAGTTGGTAGACGCCGTAGGAAGAGGGGTAGCCCCAGGCGATTTGATTAATCAAGTGAGAGGCTAGGACTTGCAGCCAGGCGATGGTGCCTCCATCCGGATATGTGAATTCCTCTTCGTCTTCCTCGACGATCGAACTATGTTGCGAATTGGGGTGATTGAATGGAGGATTTTCTTCAGGGCTGGGTATTGGTGGTTGAGGCGGTTGCAGTCCAAATGACTTCTTTTCCTCGGGATGTGACATGATGGTGAGATTGGCTTAGCGGATGGTCCAAAACATGCAGCGGCCTTTCAACGGACGAGTTCGAAGTCTGATGATGTCGAGTTTGGAGAGACACTGCTCTGCATTTGGACGATTACCTTTAAGAAATAGGAGTAAAACGATTGGGTGACTCACAAGCCATCTCGCGAATACTCGGATGCCGGTAATTTTTTTTTCGAACTCATATCCGCGTTTATCTTCAGGTAGCACAACGCACAGGACAAGGTTTCGTCCGCTTGCTGCACCGGTATTGAACCAACTTTTCCGACTGAGACATGAGTTACGTAGAGGTTGTGGGGAAGATTTATCGCCCCTTGATTGCAGTTATCAGGATCTTCAACAAAGAGCTGGGGTGAAGATAAGTAGGTGTCTTGATGCCCGCTTTGTCATCGGGCTCGATGTCAACATTGAAGCCATACGAAATCGTAGTTCGATGAAGTTGAGGGCAGACTGGGCAACTGCCCTTAAAGCACCAATAGCAAATAGGACTCTGCAATGACGAAGATGGCCACGACGTAGACCATAGGAATCAGGATTAGAGTTACAACTTCAACGTTGATTGAAAGAGTTTCATTCGTCTGTCTAAGCACAACGCATCTTTTTTATCGTGAATTAGCATCATTAAAGTTACCGCTATGCACGCGTTTTGATGATAACTCTCTTGTACCGGCGGATCGCGTACGGCCCCTTCTTCGTGCGGACCTGTAGTACGACATGCCAATCCTCCCCATCCGTTGCAGAGCCGGCCTCGGTTGGCGGCGAGATGTTGACTACTGGTCCAAGAATCCGTTGTAGTCGATGGCCGAGCGATAGAATTACAGCCAAAAATGGCAACAATGTAAGTTGACTCACGGTCCTACAAAATGCCGTGGATAGCCTGTTGTTTGGCATCTTTCATCATAGAAATTTTGGTAATTGCCAGTGTCATCACGTAATGGAATTGCCTTCGAGATGTATCCGAATATGTAAAGTAATTCTTGGTAGAATCTTCCTGGTTTATCTGGAGGTCTCGAGTTCGAGCCAAGCATTCGGAAGGGTGTATTTTTTCTCTACTTCAGCTCGCGAAAACACTCCTTTGTGTTCTTCGCCGTCAGGTAATCAGAAAGCAGATACCCGGGCATGTCAATATAGAAGACGGAGGCAAGCCTAAAGGATAATTAAGACTGTCAGTTCTCCGAGTTGGTCCGTATATCAACAGTTCCAGTAATCCCAGCAAGTTGACTTGGAAGAGCTATCTGTATCTGTCGGATTGGAAGTCCAATTCGGCCGCGAGTAAGGGCAGAGCATGGGCCACCTCGAGGGAGTACAATTAGACCTCGACTACCCACCCAATCTCCGGTTGGAATCTCCCTTCTACTCCTTACGCAGAATCAATCAATACAGAGATATTGATACTTCGTCACCCCCAGAACCAACTTCCCTGTGAAAGGAATACCAACAGTATCGCTGTCGCTGCTCACCACAGCTTGGATACAGATGCCGGATTTTCCGAAACCCGGAATTATCCCCGACAAGAGCGCATGCTGGAGCCGAGCGGCCCGGGGCATAGTCATACCGGTACCTTCCGACGAACCTGGTGTCCTCAGTCTGGATGAAATAAACTGATGTGATACCTGTTGGCTCGTGGAAAATCTGTCAGTATTGCGTACTTAGGTAAGGTAGGTATTCGAGATGGCTGATTCTCAGGTAGAAAGCCAATGGCTACGACGAAGTTCATAGCTGCGTTGTAGTGTCAGCTGCAAGCAATTTGCTTTTGGTATCGAGTTTGCCAATCTTCCTGTAAAGCCATCTTAAATTTGTTGGTTCATTTTGACCTTCGAATCCTTGGCCGACGCTGATTGCTGTTTGTCAGCGAATTGGAGATTTGACTTCAACTGACTGACAAGGATGGTTGTATTATGTCCTAGCTGCTCCACATGCCATTTGACTTTCTCTCTGGATGTCAACTCCAATTCTTGCGCTAAAATAGGAGACAGCCTTATTCGCAATGATCCAGCGTTGATATCGTGACTTCCAGGCGCGCTCTATGCTAGCATAATGAGACCTTAGTCCTCCGGAGATAACATGGATCTGTTTAGCCTTGGTGGCTCAGTGGTAAAGCGTCTCACTCGTATTATCTACGTAATGAGAAGATCGGGCGTTCGATTCGCCCTCGAGGCAGATCTTTTGGTATTTCAAACCGGAAGCGTTCCTTTTGAAGTAAACCCGCGCGAAAAGTCCGTGGAACCAGGTCACGGAGGTTTCGTCGATCCTGTCAAAGTGCTGATTGGGCGAGAATACCAATTTTGATGCATTCTATCTGCCGATCCACATGAGCAATTTTCCCATTCAGTCAGTCTTTGCTAATCAGATGCTTGAAGAAGTCTCCAAGAAAAAGTGCTGACCTCTTCGGGTAGCGTGTCTTTTCAGGACTCTCAAAGTCGATCCATGTCGCGCCGAACCTGTCCGAGAACCCTGCCGCCCATTCCCAGTTATCGGTAAACGTCCATCCAAAGTAAGACTTGATGACAACACCCTCTTGCGAAGCCTTGACCACCTCTGTAAGGTAGCTCTTGAAGAAGTCAATCCGGAAAGGATCTTCGAGAATGTCATCCGGTCCCTTGGGCTTCCAGTCATGCTCGCCCTGCGCCGTTGTCCCGTTCTCCGTGATGTAGATGGGCACATGGTACCGATTCCAGATCCACCGCAGCAACTTGGCCCATCCCCACGGCGTCGTGCGCAGCCAGTAGGTATCACTCATTGGCCCGCGCAGTACACCCTCCTTATTCTCGTCAAATTGCTCAATGTTGCCTTTGTGGTCGTTGATGTCGGCTGGACCGTCGCGGTGCTTGACGTAGAAGGCAGAGTACGAGTTCATACCGTAGACCTCAGAGCTGCCCAGCACAAGTTTGCTCTCCTCTGGTGTAAATCGTGGCAATCTGTCGCCGAGCTGCGCGCGCATGGACTCCGGGTAGTCGCCCGTCTTATACAGCGGGTCGGCGAACCACGCGATCTCGAACTCCTGGGCCCGCTGCGCGGCTTCGACGTCGAGAGGGTCCGACGCGTCCCAGGGCTCGGACCAATTCCCGTGCAGCGTGATCATGATCTTGCCCTTTTGCGTCGGCTTGAACTCCTTCTTGTACATGTCGGCCACGTAGGCGTGAGAGATGAGCTCGGTGTGCGCAACAATGAAGGGCTCGGTCGACGAGTCGCCCTCCTCATTGAGCTCGCTGAAGCTGGACCGGGCTGGGGCGTGCACCCCGGCAGCGTAGCCCGCGAGGGTGTAGACGCCGGGTTCGTTGTAGGTGATCCAGTTTTTGACTCGGTCACCGAAGCGCTCGAAGCATACCCAAGCATAGCGGACGAAGTCGGGCGTGTATTTCTCCTTGTCCAACATGCCGCCGTACCGATCCTCGAGAGTCTGCGGGGAGTCCCAGTGGAAGAGCGTGACGTAGGGCGTAATGCCATTCGCGAGCAACTCATCGATGAGGCGGTTGTAGTATGCGATGCCGTCTTCATTGACGGGGTCATCTTTCCCGCCGAGGGGAATGATTCGTGACCATGAGAGAGAAAAGCGGTAGCCGCTGACGCCGTATCTCTTCATGAGAGCAACGTCTGTCTTGTAGAGGTCGTAAGAGCGCACGGCATCGTCGCCTGTGCTGCCATCTTTCACCTTTCCTGGAGTATGCGCAAACTTGTCCCAGATGGACTCGCCTTTACCGTCCTTGTTCCATGCACCTTCGACCTGGGCGGCAGCCGTAGCAAAGCCCCAGGTGAAGTCCGAGGGCAGAGCGCCTTTGAGAGACTCGTCAAGCTTGAATTGGGAAGCCATCGTAATCAGGAGATGTTTGAGAATGCTCACGATTTCACTTTATGTCAGCCATCAAACATTAAATCTCTACGATACACTGATCGTCGACGACCGTCAACCCCACCTCACGATCATGTGCTGATAGCTCCAATCATTCTGCAGATGCAGCATCGTTGGATATCGCTAGAGGGGCATCCTTGCGGCGGGATGAGATGGCGATGATTCGCGGAAGGGAACCATGTCGGTCACAGCTCCCCCGACAGCGGGTGGTCGGATGAAGGGTCCCAATGGCGGGGTACCCACTAAGCCCCGACAGGGTATCATACACCTAATGAGAGACTCTTTGAGATTTGCGGCCACCCTTGTTCATACTTACTTCTGAACAAGCGAATTGAACAGATAGGGAAACTGAGGATTTCCTTGAAAGAAGGTAAACTGTTTCTTGCTGATATCTGTCTATTTCCATGAGTCCTTTTCACATCATGATTTGTCCCAATAATTGACATCACACATGCGAATTCTACACCTGGCTACAACATTCTCAAGCTCCATCCGCAAGTCCAGGCCGTAACACAGACGGACCCTTCTAAGAAACCATGGATGACATCGAAACCCTGGAAACACCATTGTACGGGCAGTATTGATTAAGTAGCCACTATAAAGAAATGGTAGACTGGTACACTCTTCTGCCTTCAAGATGGCTTACGGCTTGAATTCCATCTTTATGTCCTCACTGGTCCAACTCTTCACCTAGAAATACCGGTTGCTTCGGGCTCGGGCTCAGGCACCGCAGTCGACGAAGGGACCGGCTCTCCGAAATCGGGATCAATCTCATCCTGCGAAGGTGTATCATCACCACAATCTGTACCATCTGGACCAACGCCAGTGAAGAAAGTACCGCTGTAGGCAGAGTCGAGAGTCCCCTGGAAGTTTGCATCGCTGAAGGGGACTCTGGTGTGCTCATATCGGATGCCGTCGAGTTGTTGTTTCGCCGCCGCCGGAAGGCGATCCCAAGCGACGAGGGGAGGGCTCAAGGCTCCTTCGGGGCCATTGGCAGAAGGCAAAAGAGGGACTCCGGCGTCGTAAGCTAGAATAGGGCGTGTTGCTGTTACTGAGTTCTCCCAACTGACGAACAGGGTATTGGTGGTGTGTGTGGTGTCGAAAGCGCCTTGTGGATTCGTCGAGTACGCGACACCACGGGGCGAGAAGTTGGCGATATCATCAGAACACTTATCGACAGCCAGCCAGACAACTGCTGTGATCCAATGATGCTTGTGCTGCTCATCATTTCCCTGGACCTTGGGTAGGTAGTAGCTGTATCCCATCGGGTGCTGATGGACAGCACTTTCGCCAAGACCATGAAATACCCACTATGTATCCACCATTACCCCGCATTTAAAGGGGTACTTGACGATACGTCACTCATCCCTATGCTCTTTTGCCTAGTATCATCACTATTACTACCATTTCGATTAATGCTGCGATGTCTTCTAGTGATTCCGATGCTTCTATTACTTCCGTACGCAGTTGTATAGTAGTTGAGATCCTTCCAGAAGACCTTACTGCTGCCTGTAATACAGATTGTACGCCAGAACGCTGTGACGCAGCAACAGTCCGGCCCCACGAACCTCCAGCTACCGAGCATGGACCTCCGGGCTCCTTCCGGCCCTTTGACGTGCCAGCCCGGGCCCAAGAAGTACAGCAGCTGCCGGCAAGCCCGCTGGATCTCTTCGTCCAATGCGTTCCGTAGAGCCTCGTGGAGTAGTAGGCCCAGTAGAAAAATACGATGCCGTTGTCTAGCCTTAGGGCTAGAACGTCTAGAGTGAATTCATAGCGGCAGACTTCAATAGAAGAGACCTACCTCTTCCTAAGGATCCTATTATATATAGGGATCCATAGGGAATCTACATTATCAACCTATTGGTTAACCCAAGAGCAAAGAGAGGATCCTATCTACCTATTTACGCGGTTTATTTCTAGAAATAGATTCCAACTACTGCTCCGGCGACTACGGATATTTAATACTGCTGAGTTCCAGCCCAGCCAGCCCAGCCTAGCCTAGCCTAGCCTACCTAGCTAACTCGTAAATAGGTTAACCAGTTTACCTGGAAGGATAATGCCCTTGTACTATTCCTATCAACTGTCTTCCAGAACGGCGAGGAGGTTGTTCGCAGCCGCCGTCGCCCAGCTGGGAATTCCACTGCTAAGAGGGCTGCCCGGCAAGTCTTTGGCCCAGACGTCCGCAAGGACCTACCAATCCCTAGGGCAATTGATGAATACAACCACAAGATGAATGGGGTTGATGCGAGTGACCAGATGAGGTCCTATTATCAATATAGCCACCCCATTCGTCGAGGGGGCTGGCAGTCAGTTGCCTGGAATTTCCTACTAGAAGTGGTAGTTGTGAATAGCTTCTTACTGCAGCTATGGGGCAGCCCTAGGTGGCAGAAGGTGAAAACCCACTACCGCTGGCGTCAGCTGCTTGCAGCCCAGCTTATCCAGCAGTTTGGACCATTAGCACAAGGGCGGCAGAGGTCACGGCCTAGACGGGCTATAGATAAAAGGAATACCTCTATCCCATGGGAACACCATACAAAGGGGTCACGGAAGGTCAATTCCCCTTGTTCTTATTGTAGTAATACAAGGGCATTAAGGGCCCGCAAGGCACTAGGCGAGATATCTGGGAATAGCTTCACGCAGCGTAAGTACACGAGGAAGGGCTGCTTAGACTGCAACGTACCCTTATGTATCCAAGGGGATTGCTGGTACCTCTGGCATACGCAGAATATATAGGCAATAGAGGTACTGTAACCCTATTGGTTAACTTAATAGATTTATAGCTTCTTATTGGCTCTACCCCGCCCTTGGCGAAAATGGCGTCAAGTGGCACTCGATGGGATATGATGCCCGTCCGGTCGTGGGATTTTCCGATTCTCGTGTAAGTCTGCCCGGTTTGGCCCAAGTCGCGGCAGTCGCCGCCGCTCTTTCCTGTCGGCTTCAAGCCAGCGCTATTATTCAATCACCATCAGTACATGCAAGTATTGAACAATCTGCCTAGCTTTCTAGGATATGCAGAACCAAAGGTTGCTTCATTTACCCGGCAGCACCATCAGCGTCAACCGCTGCGTATGGAACACGTCTGTGCCAAGAGTGGATCAGGGCTTGAAAGTCATCTGGACCTCGCCATCGAGATCATAGCCAGGTGCTTCCGCAAGGGGGACGACTTTGTCATGATCCGTCCATTTGTCGTTTACCGCCACATCTCCATCGCGTTTCCAGTGTGCTTGGAAAGATGTTGCGCTGAAAAATCCTGGCGAAGACACTAGAAGATGCAGAAGTGAGGCTCGAGGTGACATTTTGAGTCTGAAAGATGAACAAAGCTTGAGGTAAAGTACATGTACTCGTGCCTGCAAAGGATGAGTTGAGGATGATGTGTGCTGAGAAATTCTGCTGGTAACCGAGGGGCGAAGTAGACATCAGCAGCCTTATAGGTTATAGCCAGCCGCTTCCCCTGGATTTCTCGAAATAAGAAGGTCAGGCGTTGACACAGAATATTCTCATGGAATTGTGTCTCTTTGCAAGCTCAACAGGCTAAACATCAAAAGTATGGGTCAATATCAGCCACATTTCCAACGGAGAAGACCGTGAACTATAAATTAGAAGATCGTAACTTGTAAGCTCAGGAAGATTTCAGGGGAACGCCAACTTCTTCAAAGTTCGGCCTTGCCTATGGAGCCTACGACAAACTACGGCTCAGATTTCGCTTGAAAGTCAACGCTGCCACGGATGTACAGCTGGGGTTGCGGCGTATACCGAAAGCTTCATAGGCTGTGCCAAGAACCAGGTCAAGGGAAGCTAAATATGTCCGTCCGTGCATTGGTGAGGCCTTGAAATCATTTACTGAAGGCCTTAGATTATCATACTTTGCGTTCCCCAAGCATCATAGGTATTTACCTAAATGTACTTGACAATAGGGAGTTATAGTTGAGGGACACAAGACTATTACCCATCCCTATGAGGGTTCTGAATGGGAGCAGAGAGACACGGGAGAGACGTCTTGGGCTCTGTCGGCGAATGTATTTAGACATGACAAGGTGTCCCCTGATTAGTGATCCAAACAAGACGGTCCTTTTACTCCGTGGCATCTGATCTTAATCGATTCAGGATACACAATGAGGAAAGCTTAATAGAGGAGTGAGTGTATAAACAAAATACTAATAATGTTCCTGGTCCCAGCCTCGGAGATTTTTGTTTCCTGTTGAGACGAAGAAGTCGACCCAGAAGCAACTCCATATACTGTGTAACGGACTAGCATGATCCAATTGCAGTGTGACAGGGGGCCTATTTAGGATACCCCTTGATAGTACATGTATCCTCTAGGTCTCTGGCAGTAATAGGATGTGGAGGCTCTGCTATTTAATAGAATGCCAGGAAACAACCAAGTAATTTAACAATAAATGTAAAAGTTAGCTGCATGTATGGATAAATCTCCAAGCTCTACGTGCTATGGCCATTGCATGTCCAGAACAAGCTTTATTTTAGTAACTCACCAAGTGAAACCTACACTACCAAACCCAGCTGTTCACTGATTAAGAAGGTGTTCAGTTTGATTTGGAAACTTGGGAATGACAGTTTATGTACTTAGGAAAGGAGGTCGGTCTTGCTAGTAGTTAATGTTCTGTCCGTGAGTGGGACCGCCACTCAAGAACTCAGGAAGGAAAGGTGTGCGTCCTGCTCAGGTATTGTCGTGTTGAACCAGCGTTGATTGGCGATAATGTATGTGCAATTAATCTCAGACCCAAAGGTTGTGAAGATATACGCATTCTCGGCGAATTTCTCGTTGGTTTGATCCTTGTTCTGTTTGCTCAAAGTCCGGCGGAGTTGATTTGTTCCGCCAAGCTGCAGCCTTCAGGTCCGAACGAAGTATCCGGAACTTTCGGGTCAACGCTTTGACTTGCACCTAAGAGGCTCTTGGAGGGCTGAGACGACTTTGTTTTCTCAGGCTCTTTGAAGCTTGGATTGTGACTCGAGTCACCCCGTGGCAATGACTTCCTCATGAGGTGTTGCCAAGAGTTTAGTCAAGATCCCACCGGCGGCTCCATTTCGTGGGATCTCTCGCTTCAACTAGGAATAGAGCACTAACTAGAACCACATCATCGTACAGTGATTATTAACAGAATTGATTATCGAAGAAATTGTCTTCAACACGGAGATTGGCTGCAACTCAGACGGCTTCTCTACCTACGCTGGAATCTATCTAGGTTTTTCGACGCTGAAAACCGCCTGATGAATGGCATACTTGGCCACGGGATGGCCGATCGTGGGGGCGTTGAGATCATGGAGTTAATCATCATGTCAATAAAATAAAAAACTTGAGAATCGAAGGGAGTTGACATATAAATGGCTTGAAGCTTCATTGATTGATCTTTCTATCAACCAGAACTTCAGCGTATTCTCAGTGTTATCTCCAACATTCATAATGCGGCTTCTCCAACTCCTCACTTATTACGCCGTCGCTTCCGGCCTTGCTCTCCCCAAGCACGACACGGAGCTCGCAGTACGCGCCCCAGGCGACTTGGCTACGATAGGAAGCAATGCATTCGACGCCGACGGCATCCTTTCTCGTGACTCTAGTGCGGCATGGACAGAGGCTGAGAAGGATGTCGGCACCCTGAAGCACAACACATACTACTAATTTCATGTCTTGCAACAAGGCCTACCTAGGTCAAAAGGGCATGACACCTTCCCAGCAGTACACCATTGACCAGACGGGCTGTCTTCATACTGGTCTGATCATTGGAAAGACTGCCATATTTCAGAAGAAGTTCAAGGCTAGCTATCTTCATGTCAGGCGTCTGGCAGACAATCCCAACACATGGACTCAGACCAGACATGACTGGGACGAAGTAAAGAGAATGCAGCGGTAAGATGTCCTTCAAAGTGTCTCTTTCTAGAAGAAAAAAAAAACGCAGGTGTGCTAATTTCTTCTCTGTTTATAGTATCGACTATGGTGGAACTACGACGTCGTCCAAGGGCAATCTTGATAGGGTCGTGAGAAAGGGTAAGGCTTTTCTTTACGATGATGAGATGCAAATGCTAATTTGTTGTAGGCGAGGAGTGGATTGCATTATCTGGTGGCCAGTATTCTGCAGACTGGAACTGTTTAGCTTACTACCGTTTCATGGCCTCGAAGCTCTAGAAGTTTGCTGCAACTAAGGTAGTGAGAAACAAGAGCCATTGAAGCCTAGAGTCGAAAGGTACATGTTGAAGTGGACATCTAACTGTCGCGTGTCTTCCAAATTACCTGTAACTTATTGTGCCTTGGGCAGAATGGCAAATAATAGGAACTCTCAAGCACTGAACATTAATGTCTTTGAATCTGACTTTTTGTCTCGTCTTAGCCGTCGTCTTCGTGATCCTTTTGGCGGCTGTAACGTGTGACCAGGCTCTTCCTGGCTGAAGCTCAATTCAGTCTGATTAGAGGGCCCAGTGACTCATCTTACGACATGTTTTAGCTGGAATAAGTCAATCTTCTCACCATTTGACTAGACCTATGAAAAAAGAAGAATTGGTTGTGATCAGGAGAATGCCGGAAGGGGTTCCGGAGCCCAAGAATTCCGAAGTGGATCTCCGTCACCGGATCCATAATCGGAGCCGTCCAGGCTCGGAACTCTAATGATCGAGATGGAAGAAACGGGTGGGTGCGTTGAGTAGCTTCGAGCATCCTGCTTACTCCAAGATGGGTTACAAATCCAGCCTAAGTAGGCAGGCGAAGGAGGGTTACGATAGCGAAGTCTATTCTCTTCTTAGTAACCAGGTAATATTTCAGGTATTCATGCACGAGGTCGAGCCCTCAATTTTTGGATTTGACCAACAAAATTCATTTCTTTACGCCTGGTATCCTGGTCCGAATCGCAATCATCCTACTCATTACTGAAAGAAAGTAAAAAACAGAACAACGGCCGAGCCTATCAATGAGATAGCCATCTCGTTGCCGTGACAAGTCGTGATTGCCGTTTCTAAACCAGCCAACGCCATACTGAAACACCACTCTTCTATCTCTTATGCGTATCTCTGATCCATCTCGTAACGGGGAACGTTCGGGTCATAGGTCTTGTTGGGCTGGTTAGAAGCGTAGCCTCCAGTGTAACCAGTGGTAGGGTTGGCGGGAGCGTAGTTTCCGCGGGGCAATGTGCCCTTACGGAACTTGTGGTAGATGACGCTGGCGTAAATGAGGAGGCCGACGAAGGAGGCGCTGAGGAGAAGTCAAGGGTCAGTTTGGCGCACAATGGAAGCGGAAGCCAGTTCGTTGAGAGGCACTTACAGAATAATGATCGCGATGACGATGGTGATCGCGCCGCCAGCTCCAATGATGGTGAGGATGAACAGAATGACCCAGACCAAAGTTTGAATGACATTAGTGATGAGGAAAAATTTAGGGCTAAGCGTGCGTCGAGAGCGCTTGACGATGCAGACAATGTCGAGAATGAGGCAGATAAGAATGATAACCATGATAACAGCGAGGACACCAATGAGCCAGCTTGCCGTTCTGCTATCGTCGCCATAGTGGTTCAAAGCGTCCTTGTTCGAAGCGACAACGGCGATGGAACCGGCGTAGAGAACGACCTCGAGAACCATGACAGCGATTCGAATAACCCAGAAGGGGATCAAAACGCGCTTGAGGAACGGGGAGCTATCGCCGATGATGTATGCTTGAGTCATTTTGCCGGTGGTCGTAGTTATTGTAGTGTAAGTGTCTGGTTTATTTCGTAGGTATTCTCGTGAACGTGTTGGCGAGCCAAATTTTCAATTCCGAGACGTGAGGTACTTGGTGACAGCAAAGACGAATGATTTTCCCCTATACCTATTGTGAGAGAGCTTCGTGTCTTAAGTAAATTTGACGATGACCACACGCACTCGAAGGATCAAACCCCTTGGATCAGCAGCGCCGCACTTTCGTCTCGCTTACGGTTGGAATGTCTTAGTTGCGTTGGAGCGGCGCGCCACAGCCCCTTTCGACTTGGTCGCCTAGGCCCTTGTTGGAACAGCCCTAATTAGAGTCTACAGGCCTTCGAAGTAACCTTAAGATGGTCCAACGCGCCCAGCAGCGCCCCCAAGGAGACTCAAGTGGCTGAAATCGCCCTGTGTTGCCTGTTTCATGGGGCCAAAAGCAAGGAGAATCCTGACTACCAGGGATCTCGGCTGACAGCAAGCGCCTGTTGGTGCGTCCCCAAGGGGCATAGCCCCGGATCAGCTCGTAGATCCTTGGCACTCTCTGCGTCTTTTACGGGTTTACCACCTATTCTTGACGACCAGCACACCAAAGTCCCCGATCTCGCGCGGGCCTAGCAAATGTCGCTGCCTATGGTGGAGAGCTTTGGGCCTGTTGGGCTGACAGGGTATCAGACTGTAGGACTGTGCCCCTCGTACCATTCCTAGACCGTCATTCGCAGATCTTTGTATGAAGTCATTTCCATGCCGCGCCGCTAACCGCCGACACTTGAGAAGCCATTACGAAATTTGTCTTTAAGGTTGCGGCACTGTAGAAACGGGGCCGACTTTAGCTCGGGCTACCTGATTTCTCAATCTTTTGTTGACTCGACCCTGCGCTCGAAACTGCAGCCATGCGCCATTTGGGGTGGAAGGGAAGGCATACCTACTTTACTTACTCTCCTCCCTTGAGCGGTCGCGATGTCTCAAAATATGCGTTATGTTGCACACGCACGATCTTGTGGGAAGCCACACTACCTACTTACTTATCTACCTTACTGTCTTAGCACGGTTGCATGAGCGTCAGCTGAGGGCTGCATTCATAACGGCAGCGCTACAGCAGCCGGGCGACGTTGTGTCTATTGAAAGCCAAGGTTTCCGCCTTCATTCCTGGATCCAGTGAAGTGAAAATTGCACCAAGAGTCTGCCCCTTGGTTCGCACCAAATTGGAGAATTAGAGAGGGGTGAGGGCCATGCGGATTACGGTAGTGGTGTTCCCTCATCCACTAGATATTACACGGAGAGAGGGCAGGGATTGATTTCTCCTTGAGCACATCAGCCTATCACGGAGAAAAACAGTTGATTAGCACGTTAGTTAGCCTAGCCGAAGGCAGAGCGAACAGAGGGCTTGACTAAAGCCACCCAGATACTACTAGAACCTTAATTTTTATCTAAAAATTTCCTCATCTTTATGTATTGAAGATCGCTCAGCCCTGTGCTTACCTGACCCATGTACAGCAAGTCTAATGCATTCGTATCGGTGGCGTAGTCGCACTTCCTCCAATTAAAAGTGAATCATCTTACTGTACCTACCGCGCTCTGATCTATCGGAATCCGGGGTTCACGGGAATATTCATACTTTTGTTCTGATTGAGAAGTGCCCGAGGGACCAGCTTGAGGCACGTACGGATAAGTCAGCTGTTTGTTACCTCAGCCACACATTGTCTGGCTGTTCTAAGATTTACGGAATCGTCAAGGCTGACATCGACCCCCCCCCCCCCCCCCCCCCGGACTGATGTGGCTGGTCGTTCACCATGAGAGCGGTGTTGAGAGAGTACGAGAATGTGAGTCCCTTCCCTACTTAGCGAATGATGACTGAGCATAAAAATTTCGGGGGACTAGGCGACCATGGAAACTCCTGTTAGTGCGTGGTTGTCCCAGGAAGCAGTGAACCCGGAATTTGAAGATCGTTGCGGTCTGCACATCGTGCACCATATGTCTGGACCATAGGTTTTGTCGAGTTATGGAGTCCATTGTCGCCTCACCAAATACCATCAAAGTGGGGGCATTGTAATCGGCTCCCGCAAAAAATGTACCTCAAAGGACATGTAGCTGTCAACCTCGTAAACACAGCTCTAGATTGACAGGTTACCATGAGGACCTGAAGACTTGATGTTCCCAGATAGGGCCACGTCGGACGCGTCTTATCAGCGCAGTCGTCAAAGTCAGCGATTCGACAGATATGTTCTCAGATATCAACCAAGCCTGCTGCATACGTCGTAAATTGATGCAGCACGCCCCGTCGTCGCACAACCAACACACGAATCAAAGAGACCCAACTGTCAACTGAGGACTGAGCCGGCCAACCGATCATTTACTTTTTTGTTGTCCTGTCAATCAAGGAAACACTTCCGCTCCCATCTCCAGTTGTTTCGTGCATAGATCCACGTTTCCTGCCGGACAGACTTGGCCACGTCCTGCATCTTGCCGTTGTCAGCGCTACAATCCGATAGTGTGCATACAATTGGTTCATTGATTTTCGTCGAACGCCAAAGGTGATGGACAGTGGATATCTATCGATGGACCCTCGTCGGTGTAAGCGCTACTTGTTTCGGTCTTTGCTCCGTGTAACACAGTGGCATTCCAAACCAACAGCAGTGCAAATACATAAGGAGGTAAATATCGATCATTTCTTGTCGGTCTGGGTTACTCTCTGAATCTTTCAAGTCCTCTCACTCAGACTTCGCAATGGCTTCACCAAGATTCCAGATTCCGCTGGAGTTCCAATCGAAGATTCGCCATGTCGAGTCTCTCGACCCTCGCTCTGACGAGGAGATTCTTAAGTCTCTGATGAAACCTTCGCCAGTCACGTCAGAAAAGAACATCTGGGCCTTTTGGGACTCTGGTCTCAACAACATCCCAAGCTGGGGCCAGCGCAATATTATCAACTGGGCTCGTCTCTGCGGTCCCGAATGGGCGATTCGCGTCCTAGATGACGTTCCAGACTCTCCCAACAACGCCTTGAACTGGGTCAAGGAAGACCAGCTTCCTGAGGCTTATGTTGCACACAAGATGGATGGACCTCGCGTGTGGACCGGGCCCCACAGCGCAGACTTTCTTCGCGGTATTTGTCTGTATCAATATGGCGGTGCTTGGGTGGACGTTGGCACCATTCTCGTTCGGTCCATTGACGATCTCTGCTGGAAGAAACTCGAGGATCCAAACAGCCCTTACCAAGTCTCCGCCCCTTGGATGTACTCGAACGTCATAGCCAATCATTTCATTGCCAGTCGCAAAGGTGACATATTCATCAAACACTGGTAAGTTCAAGTTGATATCAGAGCTCATTAATACAGTCGACACGAGACTCTAAGTACGGGGAAAAGCTAATCCGCTGTCAAGGCACGATGTTTTCATGGAGGTTTGGAAGGGCCATAAGAGCTCCGATGGCATCCTCGCAAGCCCTCTTGTCTCCTTCGCGCAAAACATGAACGCCGATGCAGTCGAAGCTCGGAACTTCAAATGGAACTGGAACGCCCCTCTCCCAAAGTTGCTGGAGTACATTGCTCAAATCGTATGTTGGATTAGAGTTGCTGCGGTCAAGGAGCCTAACGGTGGTTTCGATGGCGTCGATTACTTCGACAAGAAAGTCCTCCTTCACGATTCGTTGTACGAAGATTGGCCGGCAGAAGCCATCATCGGTTGGAACGGCGAGGACCTCTTCGACCTCTTTTCGGTTAGATTGGATGCCGATCCCGAGTCTGAAGAATATAAAAAAGCCTACAATGTTGTTTGGACGATCTTGACTACATCGACTATGCAGAAGGTCACCCATGCTGCCGGCATGACCTCGACCAAGGCACTGGGAACCTTGTGGGATATGAAGGAAAACGAAAATAGAGACCAGGAGCCTGGAACATTCGCAGAGTTACTACGGTATGGAAGTGTGCATTTCGAACAAAACCGAGAGATAGAGTACATCACGTCACCGAAAGCTGATTTTGTGCTGGAAAAGGGCGTGCTCGAGCCTTGAAGTGGCCTTTGAGTGTCACATCTAGGGCATTCTGAGGCATAGCCTGGAAATTGGGTTAGATGGAGCTCCCTTGGTGTAGATAGTTTTTATGAAACGATGAAACACGTGTAGTGCAAGACCGCCCGGTTGCATAATACTCTTAGTAGACAATCTTTTCAAGATCTAGCTGGCGTAATGATTTTTCCAAGTCCTTTAAAAGTCTGCAGAACACATGTAAATATGTAGGGTATTACATGCATGACAAGGCCATGTACTTACTTTATGACTATGCAAGGTTCCTCATTGACTCGGAAGCATGCTGGCATAATATGTATCCCAAGAAAACCAGTCAAACGTCGCATCAAATGGTCTTTTGCGACCTTGAAGGTCAGCTGTGAACAAACTCTCGGGAGTTTCGCTGGCAGATTCGGGATCTCGCCGCTCTTCAAGTCCCAAGGGTGGCCCAGATGCGAAAACGTCAGCAGGCAGCCAGTTGAGGAAGTTTTCAATATCCAGCCCATCGTCCAAAGTGATCTCATCGAGAGTGCCTTGAGAGAGGCCGAAGAAGCTTCCCTCTGTAGACTCTACTGCTTCAAGATTTTTGTCAGCGTGAGTACTCTTTGGGGGCCATGAGGTGTCTAGGGTGTTGTTGACTGTTGCATGGCGCTGTCGTATATGTCTCCGAGCTAGTTCCAGGAACAAAAACGCAACATTCTCCAGACGAGTGCACAGAACGGCTAGAAGCTGCATCTGTCCTCCCATGCTCGAAAAGTATGAAACAGTTGTGGCAAGGAGACCGATGTCTTGATCGATTGTCGCCGAGGTTTGGGACGTGGAGGTGTGGACTACATTCTCGAAGACGACAAAGAATGGGATGAAGGGATAGTACAATAAGTACCTGCGATGTTTGTCAGAAGAATCCATGAATGGGACTGGAGTTCGGGATCTGCTGAAACAACCGAGTTGCCTCAAACCGACAAGGCTTACCAGACAACCCCGTTGTAAACGGAAGACCAATTGGAGACAATGGACGGCAGTATGAATAGAGCCTCTCTTGCGCACTCTAGACGGTGATTGTTGGAAGATTTGTCCCCTTTGAGAAGGATAATCATGATGTGAAGGTACTGAAACCTTAAACTATTGAGGCCCAATGACATTTCCTTCAGCTGGGCCGGCTCAAGGAGGCGCCTTTCCGCCTCAATTGTTTCGTCCAGAATCTGCATTTTGAACGTTGTAAGCATAAGATACGTCATGATTTGAGACTAATGTAAGGTCTTCCTTCCTATTGACATACTTCTTTCGTCTGATGGGACCAGTTCTCGAGCTGCAGCCTGATAGTGTCTCGAGAGGTTGTTGATGAACCTGGGGCCAGCATATCGACGACTAAACCCATTGTCTTGGCTAGCTCGATACCCTTAATGAAGAAGTGTGCTCCAAACTTAGATGGACGTGCAGACGGTGGTACACTGCTGAACTCCGAATCGAGATGAGGTTGGAACTTGAGCAGATGGCTGAAGTCGGGCAGTGGAACATCTCGGTAGTGATTCATCGGAAGAAACGGGGATCGACCAAACGCGAGATCACAGGACTTGTCCAAGACAAAGAGGAGCCAGAACATCGAAAGACTCCGCTGATAGGACTCGAGATCGCTTTGCATTGGCACATGTAAGCCGAGAGCCTCCACTTGGCGACAAGCATGGCCGACTAGCATCCACGACAAATTCGGAGAGGCGTAATCTTCGCCATGAACAGCCAGCAAAGCTAGTACTTGGACATTGACCTGTCGTGGTTCCAAGAATATGCGGCTATCATTCAAGGCGATCCGCATGTTCTGTCGAAATCTCGCGGCCTCTAGCTTCCCATAGTCTTGCTGCTCTGTAGAGACTTGAGCTAACATGATGTAGTTGAAGTAGATCAGCCAAGCGTTGTGGGAGACTTTCTCTGGACTAAAGACTAACTGCTTCAGGAGCTCCTCTGAAGGTGTAATGAAGAATGGCTCGCCCTTTGGCGCGTGTTCCAGAAAGGCTAGAATTGCCGAAGTTCATCAGTATAGATTGCATTTGTGGAATCGAGCATTAACCAACTTACTTCCAATAAGCTTGTAGTCTGTTGCTCTGGAAGGTATATAGAATCCTGCCGCATGCGTGTTATGCACGGGCTCGACTGCTGCGGTAGTTAGGGACGTCGATAGAAACTGGAGCCCAGACTGAGCGTCCGTCTCTTGCTGAGACGAACGACTAGGATTTCCAGATGTCGTCCGAATTTTTCAGTAGCCTCTCTCACGAAAGAGAAAGAATGAGAGGCGCCAACAAATAACCTGGGGGCCCGATCATCGTTTTTACTGCCAGACTGATGCGCTCGAGAAGGAACCTGAGCATCGTTTCTCGGCTCCTTCTCGGATGAGCCCTGCACAACAGCATTTTCTACTAACGCGGTCAAGCGGTCAAGTGTGCGTTCTATGCTGCAAAGTCGAGATCCCACCGTGGAGTCCTCTCGTGTACTTGCGAGCTGTGGCGTCGATTCATGGCCCTGAGTTGGTGGCTGCCCTTGGACTGGCACTGAACTGGGCTGACTATGAGTCGGTACTGACTTTAGACGGTCGCGAGAATAATTGCAAGGTCCAGGCCATGGAACGCAGGCACTGCATTTTGGCAGCTCCCTAGAGCATCTTTAACACGTCAGTCCCCCGCCGGACTTTCCATTTCCTATGTGCAAAGATGCTTTCATTAACAGCATTGGTGCAGTGGTGATGAAATTACCTGAACTTCTTCTGTCGGCAATAATCGCACTGAAGTATATCCAGTATGTCAGTCAAGAATATTGAGGTAAGTGAGAACTGATCATCTTCCTGAAAGCTTACCGCGAAACGGGCCAGCGGGGTGCTTTGCACTGGATCGCTACCTGAGCTCATCGCAATCGGCCTTGATGATGAAGTATTACTTGTTGATATGCGATCCCCTGCAAATAGAAAGAATTCGACGGTATGTTGAAGTTACAGATGCACTCCGTTGCTCGATGACGGCAAGCTTCTGATCGAGCTTGGGTGTGTAGACAAAAGGTCCGACAGAAATGATGGGGACTAGATGAACGCCGAAGATGAGCGTTCCTCCGGAAAGGATGCTGACATTCCGAGAGAAGCCAATCAAACAACAGGATCTCGGACATTATTCTCCATGCTCAATATTGCACGGCAACAAACCTCCGGAAGACCTCCGAAACCATCCAATCACATCTGCAGTCCCAAGCACCGTCTACTTTTGTCGCATCTAAGCTGGAGAATTCACGATGTCCGTGAATACGTTGAAAATCCGACCAAGTAAACCGTGCAATAGCTCAATTCAGCCTGGAAAATGGATGGCAAAGATGTGGCATTTGACACGGCGGACAGATATAAAATGAAGAGAAAACGTCCGTTTGCCTCACAATATCCTCTCAACTCGTCTTCTATTACGTACAAAGCAGACAAGCTACTCGGTTACAACTCAGACTCTGATCCTGCACAATCAAATTCGACAATATCAATTACGCCATATCGATTTCATCCATCACTAACCTTCCGCTGCCAACACTATCGACCTCGACTTCAAAAATCAAAGCATCACACCACCGAACACAATTACGACGAAAAACAGGAAATATGGCCCGCAACGCAGCCTCCATCGCAATTATTGGCGCTGGGCCCTGCGGCTTGACCTTCGCACGCTTGCTGGAGACGAACAATGTCGACTACGTGGTGTTTGAGAAAGACATCGACTCAACTCCCACGCCGATGTACCAGGGCGGAACTCTCGACCTTCATGGCCCTTCCGGCCAGCAGGCTCTGAGAAGTGCAGGCCTCTTTGAGGAGTTCAGCAAGCTCGCGCGGTGGGATGCTACCAAATTCGTTGTCCAGAACCCCACGTGCACCTTGAAGGCAGAGTTCGGACAGGATCGCGACGCTCCGGAGATTGATCGTTGCCAGTTGCGCCAACTCCTCCTTGATTCAATTCCATCCCATAAGGTGCGATGGGGTCATGGTGTACAAGCAATTGACAGGGGTTCAGACTCGGGCTGGGTCGTCAAGTTCACGAATGGCGCTTCTGCATCTGGCTTCCAGCTCATTATCGGGGCTGACGGCGCGTGGAGCAAGGTTAGGCCATTGGTGAGTAATCCTTGGACATGCCACATCACTTTCATGATAACTCCCTAACACTTCTCAGCTTACTATGGCGAAACCTGAATATTCTGGAAAGATGTTCATCGAGGGTCGACTTTCACATGGCAACCCGAGTTACTCCGCCGCGCTAGAACTGTCGGGACCCGGCAATATGATGGCTTTGGGCCATGGACGAACGGTCTCAGTGCAACAGGTATCTGATCGGTCATATCGAGTCTATGTGGGCTTAGTGGCACCTGAGAACCTGACAAGAACAATCCTGGACATGGCTGATACCGAAGCTACACGACAAAAGCTTCTCTCCTCTCCACAGTTCTTCGCGGACTTTGCCCCTGAGTTACGGAGCTTTATTTCTGACGCTGAAGGTCCTTTCCGACGCTGGCCTCTTTACCGCATGCCCGTGTCCTCCGTTAAATGGGATCGTGTTCCAGGAGCCACCCTTCTTGGCGACGCCGCGCATGTATCGACGCCATTTGTGGGTGATGGAGTTAACATGGCCATGTACGACGCCCTCAAGCTGGCTGAGAGTATCATCAAACACCGGGATGCTGAGTCCAACGAGGAGGGAAAAGACGCTTCTGAGCTTGAGAAGGCCGTCAAAGAATACGAAGCGGAGATGTTTGGCCGCGCTCAAGACTTCACCAAGCGCTGCATTATGAGTGAGGAGATATTCTTTGCCGAGGACGGGGCTCGGCGATTCATCGACATCATTAGCCATGCTGTCGAGTTTCAGCAAGAACAACTTTTTATCGATGGGGAGTGAGCCTGACGGCTTTGTGCTAAGTGATGTGCTAGGCAAACGTTAGGCGCCTTTCTTGAAGTTGAGGGTTCGAGTCAACGCGTTGCCCTTTGGCTAGTGTTATATTAATACATACTTTCCGCTCTTGTTCTTACAACTGCCTAGCAACCCGAGTCTCGTTGAATCTCCTCCTCGCAGTAGACTGTAGCAAATGGTATGAAAAGGAAGTAGAGCACTGGCCCTTGCAAGACTTTCCCTATAACAATCTGTATTGATAATGCATGGTCCGAGATTGAATGAAGTAGAATTACTGATACAGACAACTTTCCGAGCTAAGAGAATAAGCGGGGTTACATAATCTGAAACCAGAGTGCTGGAAACAGATGTGGTGTTCTCAAAGGGACATGGAGCGTTCGGCCGAAATCTGTCCGGGGCTGGCCTCTTGGTAAGATCGAGCGCAGCACCCGCTACCTTTGGCAACGTCCCTCATGAATCAATAGAAGGATGAACATGGATTGCGGATTGATGGTCTGCCCGTCGGATGGATAGCCTCCCGATGCTTGCCTTGGAATGGTGTACAAATGTGCCGAGCAGCCACAGCTGGATTGATCCAACCCAAGATTTCACCTCTAAGCTTAAGGTAGTTGGCATTCCTCTTTCAACGTTCGTACACACTCTCGGGAGATCAAAATCAACATGATCACCATTACAGTCGCAGGAGGAACTCGTGGGATCGGCCGAGCTATTGCTGAGGCTATCAATCGCAAGGGCGGTTACCGCGTCAAGATACTCAGCAGATCTGTAAGCTTGTACCTGCGACTGATCGAGTTGTATATGGGAGATGCTGAACTTTGGTAGCCCAATCTGACCCTGCAAAATGAAATGGGAATCGAGATTATTTCAGTCGACTACAGCAGCATCCCGGCGTTGACGAAGGTCTTTGACGATAACGAGGTCGACGCAGTGATTTCGACCTTGTTCGTGACTTCAGATGGTTCTCCTCAGGTCAATATGATACGCGCTGCCGAAGCCTGCGTTCATACGAGGCGTTTCATCCCGAGCGTCTGGGGAATTCCCTACTCGAGAGAGTGAGTTGTAAAGCCTGGCATGCTCGTGAACATGAATCCAAGAGAAATCTTGGAACCGAGCGCAAAATATCTGACAAGAGTCGTCTTCTAGTCAAGTAACCGAGAGGCAGATGACGATCGGCCAGTCGAAGCTCGATGCAGTGGAAGCCCTAGAGAATTCGTCTCTGGAGTACACTCTGTATTATGTCGGCTACTTTCTAGACTTCTGGGGATACCCTCGTGTGAAAACATACCAGATCCAGAACATCATCGTGGTCGACATCGAGCACAATAGGGCCGCCATTCCTGGTCAAGGCAATACTCCTGTTACCTTCACACACACCTTGGATGTTGCAGAATTTGTGGTAGCAAGTTTGGAGCTCCCCAAATGGGAGAAAGAGAGTTATGTTATCGGCGAAAATGTGACGTGGAATGAGTTCCTCCGAATTGCCGAAGAAATCAAAGGTGAAAGATGCACAATGCTTCGACACGCCTGTCAGACATTTGCTCACACAACCGTATTTTTAGGCGTCAAGTTCGAGATCACCCATGACGAAATTGACTTCCTAAAGTCTGGCAAGATCACGGAGTTGCCTTCTCATTCGTCCCTGTACAGCGTGATGCCAAAAGATCAACTTCAGGCGCTGTTCGCCACTTTTGGTATTTGGTTTGAGGAAGGATTGTATCATCTCCAGCCTAAGACGACCCTCAATCAATTGTTCCCAGAGATCAAGGCGCGAACTGTCAAAGAAGTCATTCAGGCTGGGTGGAGTCAGAAGGATTGAGAACATCAGGGGCTAGACCAGGTTATCGCGTGCTGCCTTTTTGTGTACTGAGTACTAGTAGTCAAACACCTTCAAAATCTGCCAAGGGTCCCCCATGAACACTTACCATCGTATGAAACTAGAAACTACTCTATCAAGGTTCGAAGATCTTCTCGCCTAGATCCTTTCCCACGAGACCATGTGAAGTTTAATCGGACGTCAGTTAAGACTGAATCAAAAATTTTTCCCATGTTCTGTCTCCCAATCTCAATGCCGCACAAAAGCCAGTCTTAGCAACATAAAGATTAGTAATACAGCCGAGACGCGGAGGAATTTCCCGCCATTTATGGGATTAGTGATCATGACCTCAGATTCTGGCTGAGTGGGACTAATTCAATGAGATCTTCAGGGAGCATGGGTGCAGAAAAGCCTTGAGAATTCAGGATATTGTTGGTATCCCTATCACAGGGAAGTTGGTTCGAACCGTAGGGTCCTGGGGGTGACGAAGTATCAATATCTCTGTATTGATTGATTCTGCGTAAGGAGTAAAAGGAAGGTTCCAACCGGAGGTTGGGTGGGTAGTCGAGGTCTAATTGTACCACCTCGAGGTGGCCCATGCTCTTGCCCTTATCCGCGGTCGAATTGGACTTCCAATCCGACAGATATCTTCATCTTTGAATAAGTCTTCGTAGTTGTAGATTATCTGTGAAATTTTTAACCGGAGTGTTGGACTCTTAGTCAGGGAAATGATATTGGTTTTTTTGTCCCAAAATGTTTCTCTACCTACAAGATGCATAGGACCGAACCCCTGTATTTGCTTCCCATTTGATGATCACACAAACTACAAGACTCTGCGAACCGACCTAGTTCGGCGAGACCACTTAGACTTTCTCCATTCCATCCTCAAAGCCAATCTCGACATGTTTAACACCGTCCTTTCCAATGATAGTTGTTGCATCCTGTGGGACTGTGGATACCTGAGGCAGTGGCTGGTGCCCCAGGCACCAGCTGCCTGATCCACCTCCTGGTTGATCCAGCCCACCGCAGCCACCTTCACCACAACATCACCAACCAACCGTCAATACCAGTCGTATTGCCTCATTGCTTGCCTCGTTGGTCCAGATGTGCAGTGTGTACTGCCCACACATCCATAGCAGGCCCATCAAAGATGAGAGCAATTTCTTCCAAGAAAGGGCCTTTGGTCTCGAGGTAAACAAACCACAAGACAATAATCTCGACAAGAACCCAAGGAATGAAGATGGTATAAAGCTTCCATGCCATTCTGTCAAGACCAATGGGAACAACGTAGGTTGAAATAAGGGAGAAGCATGTGGAGAACAGCTGGAAACAGGCTGTACCACGCATGCGGAGGCTGTAAGGAAGAATCTCGGTGATGTACAACCCCAAGTTGCCGTTGAGAGCCAACGCGGACTCTCGGGAACAGAATATAGACCCAAGAGCTGGATGATGGATGGCAGCCCCTGGATTGCCGATGGGATACGCCACGACCATGTCGAGTCAATACGGAAGCTCGCAAAGGTTGTCCATGCCGCTACGATGGCACCAAGAGAATATGAGGTGTTGAACAAAGCGGTTGCGGTAGCTCTGTGGGCGGGGTGTGCAATCTCTGTGATCAATGGAGCTCCTGAAGCTCCAAGAAAAACGGTGCCACAACCGAGGATACCGCGAGCGATGACGAACATGACGAGGTTTTGGGCTGAGGCTTGGACCACAGAGCCAATGATGCAGAGCGTTGCGCCGCATGCCAGACTGTTGGAACAGCAAAGGCTGATAAGGAGTAATGGGAAGGTACCATGGGCTGGCTGGCACCTGCCCTGGGCGAAGTGGGACAACTGGCTTAGTCATCACGGCCGGATAAAGGTGGGGCAACCACCCAGGCCGTCACTACCTACTTCGACCGACTCCTGCCTACAGTGTAAGATAGAAGAACAACAAGAAGAACAAGCAATAGGATCACCAACAGACGAGTGATAATTGCTACCACTATTTGTCGTATACGACCCCGTGAACCAACACAGACCAATCTTACGACCAAAAGTATCGCTGACAATTTAGAGAAACGGGATGGCGCAGAGACCTCCGATAGGATAGGCAGCGTTGAAGAGACCCAGAGTCGATCCTTTGGGTTCTCCAAAGTAGTTCCGCCAGTTCTCGACTGACTGAAGGCCGTTCATCATGGAGCCGTCAAAACTAGGTATATTTTGTAAGTCTAGAGATCCATTGAGGGAGAGAGCTGTGCATTCTTACCCTTGAGTGAAAATGGACAGCATTGGAAATGCTAAAAGCAAATTCAGAGTGCGAAGATTTTTAGACCTCCACCATTTCCTCGGATCTACCGTGCCTTCTGGCATAGCGGTCACGAAAGGACCCTCAACATTGCTGCCAGGTCCCATGTTTGTTCTGATGGGTCATGGACGGGTGTGTGATAGATGTAGGCCGCCAGGTTTCTGTTCAAGTCGTCGATAGCTGCGAAAGCCCCCAGAGATGTGCTGAATAGAGGATAAGTCAAGGTCAGCGCTTGAACAGAGTTTTATGGACAAGTCGACCGGCAGTCATGGAAGCAAAATACGAATCGTCGCGTGATACTAAAGGACTCGTTGAACAACGATGAGGTGTTGCTTCCAGACACGCCTGATTTAGCGCCCCTGCATGTGTCTTTGGGATCCGGGGTATGGGGTGATTCGCGGGGGGGACTGGGGGCGTACGGGATCCAGGCCGTCGAAATATCGTGACCCGGTAGGTGACCCAGACCTTTGCTTAGTCTCGAAATCATTTTTCCTTCAGCTCAAAGCCAAATTCTTGGGCTGGAACCCAGTCGAACGGATAGACTCAGCCGCGGAAAGCCGGAGTTGAGGCTCTAAAGAATACGCGGATCATGGAACTGGCGGAGCTCTCGCGGAAAGCCGGGACAATGCATTCATCTCATTTTGTCCCACTAACTTGGTTCGACCCCACGCTAAGCTCCAACTCCCTCGATTCTGACTCTAGATCGGCGAGTTTCTGAATCATGTAAGGTCACTTCCCCCTTGAAATCAGTGAATATATACGCAGCGGGAAAGGTGCTCACGCCGTAGAGAAGCCGTGGTCACGATCTTATGAGCCGTCTCACAGCCAAGGGGTACTTGGTAAGATGCTTGTTTTCTTTAGTGTCATTGAGTGCGCTACTCTACTCTAGCTGAAAGTTGAAAGTAAGATCCCGGCCAAAATGCTCCTCAACACCGCTCGAAAGCTTCACGCTTACCCGGATCGGATCTTCGACTGGGATATCCTGTAGAACAATCGACAAGCTCAACTCATCAGTACCGCCCTCTCGGGACCATCTGATGCGAGCAATGCCAGGTGCTAGCTTTCCACCAAGCGCCACCTTGGCGTCAAATTCGCCGAAGAGATTGAACCGAGGAGCGCAAGAGATGGCTCCCCATCCGGGCTCGAGAGGTTTGATACCGGCAACCTCGGCCGTGAACTCGTAGAGAGGCACCGAGCTCCACGCATGGCAGTCTGATCTGAGCGTCACCTCATCCTCGCACCAAGTTGTCAGATTCTGGCCCAGCTGATGCCGCCAGGGATCCCAGAAGGAGTGGAAAGCTGTGTCGTAGAGGTCTCCGCCTACTTTGGACAAGGCCCGGAGAGCGTAAAATGACATTGCCGTAGAAGCCTTGGTGAACTTGACGAGATGACCCGGTGTGGTGGGGAGATTCGACGTGCTCGGGTCATCATCGAAGCATTGTGTGAGGAGTTGTCTCGCCTCCTCACCACTAGTCGCGCCACAGAGAACAGCCCAGATTTGATTGTGTTGACTGAAGTCCAAGGAGTGGTCGGCTTTGGCCGCCAATCCGTCTGTAAAGGCTGTCCCCACGCGGCAGTGCTTTTGGGTGGCCGAAACGATATCGTCTGCTCGTGACTCGTACTCCTGCGCTAGGGCCGGTCGACCGAGATTCTTCACAGTCTTGGCGATGGCCTTGAGCGTGTAAGCGTACAGAAAGTTGGTAAATGTCTGAGTACCCGTTCTCTGGGCTGCCGTCGGTATACCCATAGGTCTCCATTCAGTTGTCCAGTCGACAAAGTCCCAATGTGTCCTGATGAACCGAGAGTCACTGGATATGAGACCAGTCTCGTTATCCAAGCGATGTGCAAAGAAGGCAAGGATACCATCACACACTGCGAGGAATTTGCGCGTGAATTTCCCGTCGCCGTAATGGGTGAAGTGATCAGCTACCGTGCAGATCCAGAATAGCGAGAAGTGAGGAATCACTTGAAAGACATGGGCAGGGCTGCGACTAGCGATGAGCCCAACACTTGGACGATACGAGTTGTAAAGCTGAACAATTGCCTGCCGAGCCATTCGATCGTCGCCTGACACGGCGTACGTGAAAAGACAGGAACTGCGAACTTCCATAGCATATTGAAGCTGTTCGTAGAAGGGACAGTCATTGCAGCAGTCGTGCATGCAATTGGTAAGCGTGCGTACGCTATTGTCCCAGAGACATTGGTACGTTGACTGGTGCTCGTCGGCCGAGGAGAGGGTGAACTCGCTTTTGATGTCTAGAGGATAATGAATCTGATCGATGGTAATCCCAACGAACTCCAGATCGCTTTCCGAATCTACCTGGATGTCGATAGACGTAAAGCGTAAAGTTCGGAAATGAAAAGGCGAAAAGGTCTCAAACTCCGCTGCATCCAGACTGTAGGCGATTTCGGTGCTGGCTTGAGCTCCTGAGGAGCCGGCAAAGATGTACTTGTCTTCAGGCCCAAACAAAGCTTTGGTCGTGTCTCTCCTGTCGCCTTTGCGGCGAATGTAAGGCACAAACTCTCGTTCGTCTTCATACGCCTCAGAGTACCGGATTCGTAAGGTTGAACCCGAAGTTTCGGGTCGTCTAAAGCGGAGTGCGAGCATCGCCGTCAAGTGGTTGTCTGCCTCAAGTTCGATGTGGTGATGTGTGCCCGCAGGCAGTCGGAGCATACTCGGACCGTCCTTCAAGAAGCTCTCCCACGAAGCCTGTTCTATGCCACTTTTGACGTTATGGACAGCTGCAAGTGAACGAGAGGTGGTCGTCGGCTTTGGTATCATTCGCAGCGCTAATACCCACGGCGGAGTGATGCCATGCGATGCCGGTAGTTCCAGTTGTTTTGCTGCGACCCAATCGAGCTCCAACGCTTTCACTGCGTCCACGTCTTCGTAAATGTGGAGGAAGTCGTCTTCTTTCTGGTCAATGCGAAGCACCGTGGCACTGTCTATGGCGGCTTCCCACGAACTGTCACTGCGGACAGGCAAAGAAACCCCATCATTTGCCACCAGGGGTCGGATGAAAAGTCCAGGAATGGGTAGTCGTGGGAAACTCGTGGCGTACTGCGTGGCATGAAAGAAGCGCAGGACCCTGACCGAGATGTGATTCACCCCGGTCTTCAAACATGGTTGTATGTCGATCTCGTCATAGAACCAGAGATGTTCGTCCCCTTTGACGGGGCCTGAAAAGACATTGTGACCGTTGATGAAAAGCTTGTATCTCGTGTCCGCCGTAATCTGGATTCTCGACGGCCCCTGTGGAACTTCTTCAAGGTTCAGACTCTTGCGGAAGTGGACGATGCCACCAGCAGTGTTTGCGCCATGGTCTTGCCACTCCGAATGCCAAATCCAGGGTGTGTCTACCAGTTCGGGATCCATGTTATTGAACTTGTGTACAGTGACTCTTGTCGTTGATATGCTTGAGGGTAGTAGAAGATAGATGTGCTCATCTGTCGAAATGGATGGATAAGAGGAAGTTGAGGGGTATGCACTTATTTAAACCGCCAAGTTCAGTATTTTACAGAAGGGTGGGGGGCTGAAAACACCGTGCCATCCATCAGCTCGGTGCGTTCTCGAGCGAGTCCTAGTCTCACCCCAACATGGAAGAGAAACATCAAGTCTTGACGCAAGTTTATTCTCATGTGAGTTCACAAAGCCACATCTCAACTGATTTGGGACTGAGTCTATTCTTGAAATTCTGCTTTATAAGAAGCTTTTGACATTCAAACGCCTGACCACCAGCTGGTCTTCTCAACCTCCACTGTAGCCGTAAGAGGCGTCTCACTGCTGCTGGTGCCAACAAGAATGTCGTATTTTCCGGCCTCCACCGCCCACTGTTTGCGCGGTTCATCCCACTGGCTTAGAGCATATTTCTTGCTCAAGACAATTTCTACCTCAGCGGACTGTCCCGCCTTTTGAGAACCCCTTGAGCTCCTTTCCAGGGCGTGTAATTGAGGGGTATTGAGGCGCGACGTAGACGTGCACAACTTCGGAACCATCGATCGTGCCAGTGTTGTTCAACTTTACGCGCACCAAAATCTTCTCATCACCCTCGGTGACTCCGTGAGAAACCTGGAGAGCCCCCACCCAAAGGGGTAGAGAACAGGTCTCTTGACTGCTTCGTAGTAGCGGTACCCAAAAAAGACGTCTTCGCCGTAAAGCACTCGCCCCTGGTCCGACCGGTAGTTGACGAAAGCCGGGTTGTCCTCAACCCTGGCTGGGAACGACAAGGGCAGCTTGCCCGATGGGTTGACGTTTCCAAATAAGACATCTGCGATGGAATTGCCCGTCTCGTTTCCACCGTACCATGCTTGGATAATTGCCGATACAGAACCAGCCCAAGGCATTGTCACAGGCGTCCCAGACTGAACTACAACGGTAGTGGATGGATTGGCAGCAGCAATAGCAGAAACCAAGTCATCTGTTCTTCCAGGCAAGTCCATGTGAGGGCGGTCATGGCCCTCTTGCTCAAAGTCCGCATTGAGCCCGACGCATACGACGACTTGGTCCACCGACTTTGCCAGCTCTGCTGCGCGGCGAATCTCCTGATCCGCGTCACGAACTTCAACACCGCCACCGCCAAATGAAACCACGCCGTCAGCGTCCTTTACCTTGGATGCCGCGCCGCTGGCGAATTTCACCGTGACATTGTATGTCTGTCCGCTTACCAGCGCCTTGATCCCGGTTTCTTCCACGGTTCCGACATTGAAGAAGCTTCCGCCGCCTCTTTGAGTGGTTTCGTTATCGATCACGAGCTCCCCGTCAATGTAAAGATTGGCAGTTCCGTGGACAGTCAAACCGAACTCGAAATCGCCCGTCTCTTCGGCAGTGAACGAGGCCTCGATCTCTCCCCACCACAGATCTTCCGTTATCTCAGGATGATAGTAGTCGGCAAAGTACATGTTCGTGTCAACGAGATGCAGCGTGTCGACCGGTTGACGGTGAGTATCGGTTTCCGGTGCGGTGTAAGCCCTGAAGGTAACTCCGACCTGGCCATTTGCGGTTTTCAACCGAGGGCCGAGAATCGGTAGCATCTTGTGGGCGTAGCACCCGACTGAGTAAATAACATCACTTGCTTGCTCGAAAACAGCATCGAATGGCGTGACTGCGTAATAGGGCCTCAAAGTAGCTGATCCTCCACCACAGTAGACCGCTGCTTTGACGTTTGGTCCGATTACGAGAACCTAACAGCGGTTAGAAATTAGGAAATCATCAAGTGCAAGCGGATAATAGACTAACAGTCTTTTCTTTGTTGAAAGGCAGGGTAGCGTTCTCGTTCTTTAGTAGTACGATTGAGTCTCCCGCAATCTTTCGGAGGAGAGCTGAGGTCTCTGGAAGATCTCGACCTTTTTCCTCTGCACCTTCAGGGATTCCTGTCAATGCCGCACGGCGAACGGCTTTGAGGACTGCGCGGACGCGTTCATCTACAGCCTCGGGGAGGAGTCTTCTGGATGCCAGTGCGTGCTTCACCAACTGGCCGCGCCAGCGCGTGGGTCCAGGCATCTCCAAGTCAAGACCAGCCTCGATAGCTTCGATGGTGGAGTATGTTCCGTACCTTTGGCAATTGAATCAGCTGAAAGTCACTCGCATAAGGACGGATGTCGAAAACTCACCAATCGCTCATGATCAGGCCTTGCCATTTCCATTCGTCACGCAAAATGCTCTGGAGCATTCCGGCGTCTTCACTCACATGGAGCCCATTAACTTTGTTATAAGCGGTCATGAATGACGCAGGATTTGCATCTCGGACAGCAATCTGGAAGGGTAGCAGGTAGATTTCCCGAAGAGCCCGGTCCGTGATACGAGAATCAACAGCCATTCGCTCGTGCTCTTGGTCATTTCCCACAAAGTGCTTGATAGCAGCCTGAACTCCTGTACTCTGAATGCCGGTAACAACCGCAGCGGCACTTTGACCTGCAAGAACTGGATCTTCCGAGAACGATTCAAATCCTCGGCCTCCCAGGGGACTTCTTTGCATATTGACCGTGGGCCCTAGGAGGATGTGCGCCCCCTTGGCTCTCGCTTCGAGACTCATGAGCCTTCCGGCTTCTTGGAGCAGACTAGCATCCCAAGTTGCTGCGAGACCAGTGCCGCAGGGGAAACAAGCTGCCGGCACACCATTGAAGAATCTCGTACCCCGGACTCCATTTGGGCCATCGGATAGTCTGATGGAAGGAGCTTGAAGACGGGGAACACTCTTGGTGTGCCAGAAGTCGATACCTGCAAGTATAATCAGCAAGATTCTTGAAAGTAGGTTTTGACGCCGCGAAATCATACCAGCAAGTAGGTCAATCTTTTCTTGAACAGTCAATTTCTCCAAGACATCTTCCACGTCGAAGACAGCCGGCTTTTCTGGAATGTAGGAGATAGTCATGATTGAGGCAGTGAATCGTTTTGGAACTTTCCTAGTCGAGGTAAGGCAAGGTGGCTCACGCAACTCGTCACAAAATGACAGAAAAATAATCACCAGCTCAATATCATCAGGCGTCTACACAATGCGGCTTACACGCACCCTGTGCATGGTCGGTTTTAAACACCCATACCAAGTTCTCGTATTATTGACTCCCGTATTCTCCAGTAATATTTCGGCCCTAGTTCCGTAGTGTCCTTGACTCCAGAACTTAAACGATGTTGAGTAATCTTACACCGCGGGGTGTCGATCCTCCGAAAAAGTTGACCATTTCCGGCTTTCCGCGGAACGATCTGAGCGCTTGGGCCAGTAGCAAATGCCTCGTGACACCTGCAGCGGTCCTTTTTGCTACTCATCCATTCTGATCCTACACTCCGCGAACCTGTACCCATCGTTGTTGACCATGTCCGATGCACACGCAGAAACCCGTGCCAGTTCCCGCAAGAGACCTGCGTATCCTCGGAAACGAGCTGCCCAGGCCTGTTTAACATGTCGTCAGCGACAGACTAAATGTGACAACGAGAAGCCAGCCTGCAATTCTTGCAAGAAGCTGGGGATAGAATGCGTCTACCATGAATTCGAAAAGGCTTGGTGTGTGCTCCTCCCTGCCCCTTTGATATTCTCCCCGTCCTTGCTTGCGCCCAACACTTGGCTATTTCTTCCTTTCTCTTCGTCTCTGTTGCGCTTCGTCTGATCCATAAAATGATGGGCGCAGTTTCGATGCAGCCAGTCTCGCCATACTACGGAGGCTGGACGAGCTGGAAAGTGTAGTAAAAGGTAGCCGCCCGCTACCTGCTGCTCCTCAGCCGAGCTTGGACTTTGCTTCGTCGCCTTTCCCAACAACCGATATCGACTGGATCAACTCCTTTGAAGTTCGTTACGTCAACCGCGATGTGATCCTCCAATGGCCAGTCTGGAAAACCGTCGATGTGGACAGTCCATCACACGAATCGCCCGCGGCTATCTCTCCAGGGATCGACGTGGTCTCCCGCCCTCTCCTCGTATCAGACGTGAATGTTCAGGACACCTCCAGACTACTCGACATTTTCTTGTCCGTTTACCACATATTCAACCCGGTCTTGGATATCGCGACAATTGAAGAACACGTCAAGAGTACCTCCCTCAACGGGTTCGGTTGGGATGCTGGGTGATGTTTGGTCGTAAGCCACTCTTTACCTTCGGCAACCTCTGTTTACGATCCCTGCAACCGATGTCTGACAAAATTATAGCTCCTCGTATTGGCTCTAGGCACGACCGCAGATCATGAAAACGGCGTGGCACAGACGTCTCTGTCCGTTCGACAAAACGAACATTTCAGCCGAGCTGAGGCGTTCTTCGTTGCGGCGCAAAGGCGAATGGGTTTGCTACTGTCTAATAGTGGCATTGCAGAAGCTCAGTGCTTCTTCCTAGCTGGCGTGTATCTGATGACTATGATGCGACCAGCCGATGCCTGGAAGATGTTCACGCGGGCTTTGTCGAGCTGCCATACGTTCCAATTATCTTGTCGCGACGCCAGCCCTGGAGCTATTCGCCTGCAACAGACCATTCATTGGGCATGCTTCAAGTCTGAACTGTGAGTCTCTCCACTCTTCTCTCTACTTTAGTCCCCAAGCTCTAGTACATGTACTGACAATTAAATAGTGAGGTGCGGTTGGAGTTAGGAATCAGCAAGACGAGTGCATGGGATCTTCGCTTTCCAGATCTCTTTCCCGACCCTCCCGAGTCCATACAATCCCATGGAGAGCCTGCTTGGTATTTCTACCTAGCTGAAATAGCACTTAGACGATTAAACAACCGCATACTATCGGCGACATGCTTGGATGACCAGAATACTGGCAACGTTGCGGATAAAGTGGCGACAACCCTGGAATTCGAACGACAAGCTCACAGCTGGTATGCCTTTGTACCCCGACCTTCAATGCCTCGTGCAAAACTAACACAGTGTCTCTGCTCCGTAGGGCCAGGTCTCTTCCACCGAGCCTACGACCGGCGATAGACGATGCCAGCGACGTTGCTTTCGACTTTGACGAGAACGGGCAGTTAAGATTCATCCTCAGTGGCCATTTGATAGACTGCTTGGAGCTGATGTACTGGCCTTTCATATACGCCGCTGTGCATGGGCAGCTTGGAGATGACAGGGACTCCCACATGCTGGCCTCGCGAGGTCTCGACTTCTGTGTGCGGAGAATCAAGATCAATAAGTCGGGGTTCTTCTATCAGCATCATGGTACATGGTTGATGCTGCAGTCTTGCACACGAAGCGCGCTTGTATTAATTGCTGCAGCGTACGGAGGCCTACATGATAAGCTTCCACACGACTGGAAAGATAGTGTTGGGGATGTGGTGAATCTTCTGAAATACTGGGTTGATGAAGTGCCTGAATTCAAGAGGATGATTGAGATTCTCGCTACTTAGTAGTCCTCGATAGCAAACCTCTATACTGTAACCTCTCGACCAGGCATAGGTCAGGTGTTGTCTGGCGCGGCGGTCACCAGGACTGTGCCATGACCTACCTACCTTATCTCCTATCCATACACCACTTGGATCTATCGATGCAGACTTCCAGCCCTTTGTCTAGTAACTCCATGCTTGCTCTCGCTAGCTCTCCTCTCAAGTCCCCAATCTTCCTCTTGAGAGCCTCCAGGTAGTCCGGGCTTGCCTCCCAAACTTGCCAGTACCATCTTGTTCGTCGCCGTGAAGTCGTCCAGTATTTGAAGTTCCTTCTGGGAAAACCATATGGGTACCAGCATGACTCTCATCGGAATGAGCAGGATTATCAGGACTGGGAAACCAATGGCACCTAGCGTGTGGGAGACTGCAACGCAAACTGCAACACTGAGGAACTGTAGAGCTATGTACAACCAGATCTTTGGGCGGCGAACTTGGAGGAGTATCTCGTCTCGTTGTATGAAGCGTTCCTCTGCTTGGAGAAAGAGGAACTTTCGAAGGATGCTGTTCGATTCGATTGAGCCCCACTGGAACATAGTAGTCAGCCACTCATTCCATACTAATGACAAGGACCGAGTTAGTCACTTACACCAACGACAAAGAAAACGCCAGCAAAGACAGCAGCTGGCATAGTATGTAGCACCACCAGAAGGGGACCCGTCATGGTGCCTATTAGAGCAAGGCCCATCAACAAATGGGAAATCCTCTGCTCTACTACCTGTGTAGCAACCACTACAGGTCGCCTGATTTCTGCATCTTCCCCTTCGGAAGTCGATATGATTTTGAGTTTCGTCTCGTAGACTGTCAAGGAATCGGTGTGAACTGGGGCCTGGGGGACGAGGCCATTGGGCATCGGCAGACCCAGGATGCCTGCGATGAACGTCGTGCAGCCGAGCAAGAAGAAGTCCCAGTGGAAACCTCCTGGTTTCTTCAGGGGATACTGGCGTGCTTGTGCGGTGATGCTGCTGACATTCTGAAGGAACATTTAGCGATCTTGCCTGCAGGTGGTCTAGAAGTACAGGACTTACATGGTCGTAATAGAAGAGCAGCATCACTAGAAACCCAAATGGCATAGCAACAAATACCCACTTTGCATCGAGGTTCCAGAAGTCGATCACCCAGTTCCTAGGTTGCGTAGGTTGGAAGGCGTCGACGACAGGAACCCTCATGATGTGCGTTCCTTTGAGAGTACCAGGGATGTGCGAGAACCCCACCCAAAAGATGGTGGCAAACTGCGAGCACAGTCAGTACCTGTCACTAATCATCCGCGGCAAGGCCAGAATCTTACCACGTAGGCATAGTCGGCGAGGATTCCTCGGTAGCCAGAGTTCCAAAGAGTGCTAGAGCCCAGCTTTTCTAGCGTATAAACGGTGCCGAAGTATAAAATGGCAATCATACAAGCCAAGTAACCAGCCGCGCTGCCTTCGGCATCGAACTCGTTGACTAACTCTTCCACACCCTTGACTATGTGTTCGTCAGCAGTATGTTCTGCGATTGTTGAGTCGAGTTCACAAACTGATGTAGATGATGCCAACGTATAAACCAAAAGCCTCGCTCGAGAAGTCGGTGACGTATCGCATATAGTCGCACGCGTTGAATACGGCGACGAGCCAGTGGAAAATCGCTGCCCAAATACCCGTCCAAGCCATGAACTGCGGGTAGATGGTAACGTCGTAGATCTTGATGATATCGTAGATTGTGAAGTTGAAGAGCGAGATCAAACCGGTGACGCCAACGATCGTGAGGGGCTGGGCGCTGAGGATGCTGAAGACGACGGCAGCGAGCGCAGATGAGAAGAGAGCTTCGTTGATGCCAAAGAATTGTCCTGTTCGTCGATACATGTCGAGGGTGTAGGCTATCGCAGGGAGAAGACTAAAGTCGTTCGACTGTCAGCAAAAGGGGGCGATTTGGACTGCAGGAACATGTGCATACTTGACAAAATACATTCGAATGGTGCTGGCAACTGTACGGTATGTCCATGCGTCAACGATATCGCTCCAGTAGTATGGAAGGCGTCTCTTGATGTCGTGGTAAATCCCACGGCCTGGTCGGAAGATCCTCCAGCGCCTCCAGCCTTTTTGGTCATCGTAGGTGTACGACGTGTCTATCTTCTCCCTCTGTAACCGAAGTTCACTAGAAGTGCTGGACTCTGGTTCGCCTGACATGACGTTGATATGAATGCCAGAGCAACTAATATCGGTTGAGAGAAAGGGGTAGGTGCGCAAAAGGAGTAGCAGTGGGTTAGAGATGGAACTTCTGGATGCTAGGTTTGACTTCAGTCACAACGAGACCAAGTAAAGTCACGGTTATATGAGTGCTTCCTTGAATAAAGAAAGGAAAAGAGCCCATAGGTCCCGCCACTGGTCTGGGGCTACTTGATCTGATGGGGGCATGTTGTGGAATTAGAGAGAGGCCGGAAAATCGGCTTTGGCCGGCTGGTCTCGCTTCGATACGTCACGTAGACAGCACCGGGGTCATGCCCTGAAAAGTCTGCTGCCACTGTCTTTCCTACATGTATGATGCCCTCTGGGTATGAGTGGTGTTTGTATTGGTTCTTGGCACAAATTAGAATGGTCCACCCATGGGAGGTCAAGAAGCCGAAGAAGAGAGTGCTGGCAACAGCATCTTGCCGTTCTGAATTCTTCGCATCCAATCGCTTCAACAACTTGACACTGGTAACGTGAGGTTATACGTCTCAAGGGAGCCTTTCCTCGTGTACGTACGAAGTACATACCGTTATGATGATAGTCAATAGGGCCCTTGCCTGAATTCCCGCATCATCGCCGTCCGATGATCCGGCATTCACCGGGCTACTGGCAGCCAATGCGCAATCAGGCATTAGCCTGGCAAGGTTAGTGCGGAGATTTACGGCAACACTCGAGATTAAATTCTGCCCAGGCAGAAAATTACAGCCGAAAAGCGCTCGTCCCTTGTCCCCGATGCTCCCTCGTTCTGTGGACTCACCTACCTCTCACACTGTTTCCCTCCGCGTGACGGAGCCGCCGCTGGCTCTTGATTGAGAGATCCCAGCAGTTGTATGCCGTCTGCCGTGTTATTGAAAGAAGGATCTCTGCGGGAATACTGTTATGATGAGAAGCATCATATTATGTACTGATAGAGTGCGTGCCATAATAGCTTCTAACACAGCAACCAGAACCATGCCGCTCGCCATGTCCCATGATAATTACTTGCCATGGGTCGTTAGCAGCCAGCACATTTCAGGATGTTGCACCCGAGGTCGGCCTGCATACCTCCGCAGTTAACGTCATTTGAGGCTGCCCAAGCCGGGAGAGTGAATGAATCCCTACCTACAGTATTTGGTGCATCATTTGTCCCGGAGGCCTTCTCAGCCAAATAACATTCTGTCTTCCTCTAGTTCAATTGACATCAGATCAAGGTCTCAACCCGCTCTGGTCATCCACGCATCTTCCCACTAGATAACATGAAACTTAGCTTGATCATTGACGCGCCCATCGGGCGACCCTGGTATTGTCAGGGCGAGGAAATTCTTGGTAAAGTCAACCTCGACTATTTCCCAACTTTGCGAATGATTGCAGTGGAAGATTCGAAGCTAACTCATCCACCAAAGGCCAAATAAGCATCACTTGTACCGGCAATACGGTCATCGGCCCTTCTGCCAACTTGCCCGAGTCGAACACATCTGTTCACACCCGCAAAGTAAGCAACCAGGACCCACCTCTCTTGCATTCAAGTCTAATGCGTCTTCCAGCTTTTTGATCGGTCCCTGAAACTTATTGAAGGCCCTTTGATATTCAGGAGTGGACAGCACTCTTTTGGGTTCTGCCTGTCATTTCCGCACAGGCCAAACAATGGAGGAACGCAGCAGCTTCTTGTGTTGCCGCCGTCGCTCAATATCAATGCCCCCAGCTTAAAGATAAGCGTAGCATACACTGTGAGAGCTCATCTTCGGAGGCATGGTATTCTACGCTTCAACCGTATCTCAACAGTGGAGGTGACTTTCCGACCATCAACGCAACTTACGATATCACCTACACGATCCGGCAGATCGAGCGAGATTTGGTACCAGCTAGACTCCTAGAGATAAACAATGTCGACCGGAGTCCGATTGCCAATTTAATTGCCTACAATTCTTCACCTCGGATCACTATGACGCTCCTAAGTCTTCCAGTCTTTGTCACTCATAGGCAGGTTTCTTTGCAACTCGTCATCAAGATGCCACTTGACCTTGTGCGAAGGCACCCAGCAATTTGCCTTAGGACATTGAAGATTCTCATAAGAACAACCACCAACGCGTATCTCAACCGGGTATCAAGAAACTGGGTACATTACGATACAATCTGTGGTGTCACTGGGAACATTCCTTCCGACTTTGTAGGAGACGAGGGCACCGGCACTTGGACTCTGGATTCAGGCTTGTGGAGGAATCATTTTATTCCCCCCGTAACGCCAACATATCACTCCTCGATCCTATCAATTACACATTCTCTGGCCGTTATTGTTGGTTTATCGAGAGGAATCCCTTCGCATATCCAGGTAAAGATGACATCATCTATCATACTCCGAGCTAACTTTTCTATTCAGGATATCCAAACAGACATGGAAGTAGACGTGGTCCATGATGTTGAACGAGATCCTCCACCCCCGTACTCCTTTATTGAATAGGTCCATGGGGCAGTCTACCTACCTACGCCGGCTTTGCCCGAAAATCATAGCAAGGAATGCAACCAATCTATAGATAGTTCCAATTCCAACCAAAACTCCCATATTGCGCCATAACCATTTCATGTGAAAGCCAGTCGCCGCTGCAGCAGAGTCGACATCATACAAATAACCAAAGGGCGAGACCAGCTGACCAAAGTATATTTCCGCAAGCCAGACACCGGGTGAAGCGCGCCAAAGCCACTCCAAGTGCCACTCCTTGACCTTGGCCAGTGGAGGGGCAGCTCCCGATAGGATCGCAACGATGAGGCTGATCATCGTCGCAAACAGGGGGGCGTCTTCTCGCCTGACGAGCATGCTGACGATACTCGCCAATCCGTAGATGCAGTAAAAGTAGAAGAAATTGGTCAGGAAGGCAAGCCCCCAGTTGATCACTGGTACCGTAAGGATGAATAAGAAAGTCGTGAAATGTAGACAGCCAAAAAGCATACGAGGGAGGACTGAGACGACCTTTGCGAGAAAGTAGGCCAGCCGATTGTGGCCCGCTTCAGCTTCCCTCCGATGCACAAGCAGTTCCTCTGAAAATGTCTTGACACCGGGTGCACCGGACACCAGACCCACGGCGATGGAGACCAAGAGAGCCAATTCAGGGGCGGACTTGAAGTCCACAGCAGTTGACAATATCGAGTAAGGCTCTTTGAACGTGCCCGTGAACAAGATACCCTTCTTCGAATGTTCGGCCAGGCCAAGGAGAAATCCGGCGAGCGCCGCGAGGCCCATCTCAGCCCAGAAAGCTGATTTAGTGCGGTACTGCTGAAGCATGGCTCGGCGGAGGCAAAGCCATGTTTGCATGTACAGCGGCGCACCACGATGCTTGATGGCGGCGTATATGCCGTTGCTGCTCATGATGGAGGAAGCATGTCGTTCCTTGTGTGCGAGAGCCAGGCGGTGGTCTGACCACTTCGAAATGAGTGAGTCTTTCGAGATTTCCCCAATTCGCTTGTAGTCGCGGCCGTTTCCAGTGATGATATCGGTGACCACGTCGCCATGATTGCTGTGCTCCGGGAACCCGAAGCCGAGACCTTCAAAATAGTCGTGCACCTCAGCTTGAGGGCCTTCGTAAATGGTTTGGCCGTTGCCGAGGAGAATGAGATTATCAAAATTCTCAAAGATCTCGGTACGGGGTTGGTGGATGATGACAATAACAGTGATTCCCAACCGTGCGACTGCCTTCAAAGTCCGCATCAAAGACGAAGCTGCGGTAGCATCAAGGCCACTCGTCGGCTCATCCAAGAAGACTGCCATCGGGGCAGATGCCAGTTCCATGCCAGTGCTCACACGTTTGCGCTGCCCACCACTAATGACAGGTGCAGCCACTGAGCCCACCAAGGAATTGCGTACGTGCGAGAGTTCCAAACAATCAATGACAGACTCGACATGAGACTCAATGTCAGCTGTGGACCAAGTCTGGGGAAGGCGGATCTTGGCGCTGTGAACAATATTTTCGTAGACTGTGAGCTCTGGCAACACGATGTCGTCTTGGGGCACGTAGCCAATGACCTTCTTGTATCGTTTCAACTTGTCCGGACTGCTGTTGACAGCCACCGTGCCTCCCGTGTTCTTGGTCTTGCCCATGAGAACATTGACAAAGGTCGACTTGCCTGCGCCGGAACCGCCCATGACAGCTGTCAAAGTTCCCCGATCGATGGATCCCGTAACATTTTGAAGAATCATCTTGGAAGACTTCTTGGGTTGGAAACTGAGATCAAAGTAGCTGAAGGAGAGACCAAAGTTGGTTGCATCAGTCGCGCGCCGCATCGAGGAGACGAATGCCATTAGCTGAGGGTTGAGCATCTCACTCGTGGGCCGGACGTTGACGGAGTATTCGGATCCGAGCTCAAGCGCGGCTTGAAATCCTCCTCCGTATGAATCGGTCCGGTTGGGGATGTAGGTTGCGCCCATCGGAAGCATCTCGCGGTCGGTATCTTCTGAAAGTGCCCTGTACCCTGTGATCTGAGCTCTCATGCTGCTCATGCCACGCTTCAAGGTCGGTTTCCGGTTTCTATTTGATTGGTGTTCGAGAAGGCGCTTTCGGAATCGGTAGACAATCATACCGGCGATCATCTGAAGATCGACAATGATCAAGATGACCAGGGGTATGAGGAACAGCTCGTAGGAAGAGCCTTCCGGGCAACGACTGCCAACTGAGCATGGCGTCGGAGTTGCGGCTCCAGGCTGACAATATGAGCCAGCCGGACAGACGAAAGACACTTTGCCGTTATTCTCTTCGGGGCAGTAGTTCCCAGCTTGACAGACTACCGGCTCAAAAGGCCCCATGCCAGCGTTCTTGCCGCCAAAGTTGCAGGTGATTGATGCTAACCTCGCCATTTGACACCCGTCCAGCGGCGGGCAGTATTGGGGTATTGAGTTGACAGTATTGTTCTCACCTACACGGAAAATTAGCAAACCTTGTCCTTTGGACGCACGAGGACATGTAAGTTCTGAGACTTATACTCACACAGAAAGCCCGGGCTGCACCCATCAGCCTGCCAGCTCTCCACGGTCTGAATCTCTATCGGAACTGCCCCTTGTCTGTAACACGGCGCGGCGCTATATGGCTGCTGGCCTGCGTTGATCTGTGCCGCCGCTTCGTAAAAAGAGGTCGAGAATCTAGTGTTGTTCTTGCCGGTGCAGGCGCTGTCGTAAACACTCAGCCCGACGTTACCTGGCGAGTCTCGCAATGCTCCAGAGAGCCAACGTCGGGGCTTTTCGGTCTCTGGCGGATTTGAAGCATCATTGATGGACCCATTGGCATTACCGACCTCATTGAGTGTGTTGAACCATCTGCCGGTATTGATTGTGTAGATGCTTCCCTGGCTTTGGTCTCCGATGCATTGCCAAGCGGGTTCCGGGGCTCCGCCGGCGGCTGTTACCTGTAAAGCACACAGGCATCCTTCTGTATCAAGGAAACTGGGGCCTGTAGGGTCTGTTTGGGGATAGTACGGGTCCTGTGGTAAATCCGAGGCGTCGAAGCCAAAAGTCTTGCGGCTCATCTTGCGCGACAATGACAGTCTTCGCTCAACTTTTTGTCGAGACTTCACGCCCGTATATCAAAACTCGCCATATTTGCGGGATTTTATCTATTATTTCATTCTTTAAGGGGATTTCGTGACCTATTAGCAGGCAGGCATGGTACCAAAACATGGAGCCATAATTCATGTTCCCATAAGGTTTTAGCGTGATCCTTCTGGCTCACAGCGCACAGCTCATAAGCGACGAACCCACGAAATGATACTTAGTATTACCTACCTAGGGAAACTCGGACGAGGCGAAGCTGCAGGCCAATTGCTGACGCTCCACATACGAATGCCGCGCCTTGTGCCATGGGAAATGAGTGAAACTCAGCCGTCATCGTGTCTTAGACGGTTGGCGATCCACGCATTGGCGGCCCGCAGCATCGAGCGAGATAAACGGCATCGTGGCGCGGTTGAATCAGCAATGCCAATATTGCACAACAAATTTTGTTGCCTAATGGAAACGGACTACAAGTAAGTTGATACAGGTGACATTAATCCTTCTTTGGCTACGCTGTGGCTGTAGCGTCGATCCTAGGCTGACAGTCACCCCGACTCTCAGACCAGCTTCGAATAGAGGCGACTGGGTTGAAGCTTGAGCTCACTCGCGGACTAGGTTTCTGCCATGCAGCTTTGTCATTTTCAATGAAGAAACTGATTTGCTGCCCGCATGAGCAGGGTCTGCATTTTGACGATGGCTGCCCAGCTCCCTCCATAGCATAAGGTAGTCGTACAGCGTACGAACATGCAAATGAAGCACAGTGTGCGTGTTTTTATATTAAGTTAACCCACCCACTTTTGGCCAACCCCCTGCTTTAGCCACCCTAAAAATCCCTCCTAGCCACCAATTTAAAATCCTACCTTTAATATATAAACTACTATAATAATTATAAAAATAGCTTAAAAAATTATAGTTATTTGTTTATTAATAACTAACTAAGTTAGTGTTACGACCCAACATGCACGACCAAGAACAGGGCCTGCCCCGCAGGCTTACGACGGTTACTACGCCATACATGCACAGGACAAGGGGACACAAGGCACCCTCTCACGGAACGGAAGAACTATGGTACAAGTCACGTGATGATAAGATAAGGATCATTTGGGATCAATATGATCCAACACGACTTGGGGGCTAAACGATCATTCTGGATCAGAATGACCCAAGACGACCCAAGGGACAAGGGACATGTTCAGGATCAGGACTTGTATATAAGGATGGACTTGAGCTGGACTCTAGGACAGACTTCCATAGCTCTTAGCAATTAACTTCGTATCAGGATTAACATCCGCTTTCAGCTACTACCTTGACAAGACTACGATTGATCACCGAAGCCTTACCCACCCTTACGATTGACAGACATAGCTTCCCTGAAGCTATCCCCGACTACGATTACTGTTACCAGTTCCGCAGCCTCAACTTCTGCAAACTACCCCTACAACTAGCTGGCCGTAATATATAAGTTAATTAACTATCATATAACTAACTAACTGTTACGGCCAGCTAGTCGTAGTGAGGTATGTTTATAGAAGTTAAGGCTACAGAACTAATAATAGTATTGTAATTTGTGATAGCTAAAAGCGATTATAAGATCTAATACGAAGTTAATTACTAAAGAAGTTATTAGAAGTCTATTCTAAAGCCCGGCTCGAGTTTATCTTATATATAAGTTTTAATCTTATGTAAATATATCCTTCATAATTAGAACCGATATTATTATATCGGTCCTTTAAAAGTAAATCGCCTTTATCTTATCGGTCTTTATTTAAGGACGGTTTAATACTTATGTTACGAGCAGGACAAGGCAACCAACTGTGGCACAAAGCAAAAGCTTCGATAATGATGACTCCGGCATCATTGTCCCTTGTTCTGCATTATATAGCTACGCCATGCTAGTACCCAACTAGGTAGGCCGTAACATAGGTGGCCAAAGCAGGGGGGTGGCCAAAAGTGGGTGCGTTGACTTATCAAAAGGCCCATGAAACCCCCTTGGAGTCAAATTAGGAGACCGGCTATCAACACAATGTTTTGAATAGCAGGAAGTAAAATCGGAACTACAAGATTGCCAGCGATTTCCCACCTCGGCCATCATCGCCTAAGCTGTTCCGGGTGAAGGTACTTCCATTGAATACAACGAGAAATGATCACCACGGGACACGATCAAATATGCCGAACCATAAGGATGGATGGCCTTGCGCAAGGGATTAAGAGCATTACATTGAGCGAGCCACGGAGGATCAGAACGATTACATCTGAATTATGTGAGCATGCACTAATCATACAGGCGGATACACGGATTCATTCTCCTTTGTTTTCTCTATTCATGAAGTCTTCACACAACAACGAGAGGTGATGTGACTACCTCACATGAGAAGATATACTATCAGTCTAGATGCCTTGCTTGATGATTTCGGCGGCCTAGATTTGTACCAGTCTGTCAGCGAAACGAAGCAATAAAAGGAGCAGTGTACTACGAGGTATTGACTCACCTTTTCGGCCAAAGCGTAGGTAGGCTGGCATGTGTTGGCGCTAGGAACCATGGGCATAACACTGGCGTCAACGACTCTCAGGTTCTTCACTCCGTACACCCGCAAAGTCTGATCGACAACACCGCCCAGGTTCAAGGGCATCATAGATGCAGTTCCCACGGGGTGGTAGTCAGTTGGCGACATGGCACCGGCAATGTAGGCCTTGAGGTCCTCGTCCGAGGTGACCTCAGGACCGGGAGCGTACTCGACAGGGGCGAACTCGGTAGCCAGAGAGGTGTTGAAGTTGTAACGGCGGAGTAACTTGATTGATTCGACGAAGAAATCGGCCTCGAGGGGGTTGGACAAGGAGCGGTAGTCGATCACGGGCTCAGTGTTCCACGGGTCGGTCGTGTTAATGTTGATGCTGCCACGGCTGAAGGACTGCATTGCCACGGGGCCCTGAGAGCCCTGGTTCGCGATCAGCTGCATGCGAGTGAATGCTGTGTCCTTGGAACGCATCTGTGCAGCCAGGATCTTCATCTGCGCCTCGAAACCGGCAGCAACTGTGGATTCGGCATCAGTCGGCAGCAGGCTGGCAAAGTCCTGCTGCTCCAACTTGGTGGCGAGCTCCTCAGCCCGATCGGACACAGCGGTGAAAGGGAGCCAGCCAGCCAAGTTTGTCAGTGCTATAGAATAGGGGCCTGTTCCGTGCGAGTTATGATGAGTCAGTCAAGTCAAGACAGATAAGCTCTAATGTTAGAGAATCACTAACCGGTCTTGTTGGCTGCCCACACTTCGTCGGCCCAAGTCTTGAAGTCATTTCCTTCGACCAGGTCGGTTGGGTTGGGGTGGATCTCAGTAAGCTTAGAGACTATATGCGGGTTAGTTTCTTCGCGTCGACTAAAGCCTATTGGTCCATGCCTATAAAATCCCTTGTTACTTACGGGTAATGTTCATGGTAGACAGACTGCTGTGGTCTTGGAAGTTCTGGCCGACACCAGGGAGGTCGACGAGGACATCAATACCACCAGCCTCGAGAAGGCTCTTGGGGCCGATACCGCTAAGCTGCAAGAGTTGGGGAGTGTGAACAGTACCAGCAGCAAGGAGAACCTCCTTCTTTGCAGTGACAGTGACGAAGCTGTTGTTTCCCGATGGGAATTCAACTCCTGTGACGGAGAGCTGGTCGTCAAGGATCAACTTGTGGGCCTGAGTGTTGAGCAAAAGGTGATAGTTTGAACGAGTGGCGTTAACGTTGAGGTAGTGGCCGGTGCCAGCATAGGAGCGGGTGACGGTCCGGGGATCCATAAGTGTGGGAAACCAGAAGACACCGGGCTTTCCGGCACCGCTGTCGGCCGGGAACTCCACTCCGTCGATCTCCTTGAAGGCTTCGACAAGGGGCTTGACACCCGGGTAGTAGAACCGGGGCCATCCCGCGTAGATCTCCGACGAGTCTCCCCAGAAAGAGGCGTCATACTTTACGCTGTCAAAGTTGTCGGTCAACTCAGGAGGTGGCTCAGTGAAGTGAAGGCCCTTTTGATGTGAAGGTTAGCTTGGCATCGCAGTTGTAGCATCAGGTCGCCGCTCTCACCTTCTTGAAGAACGGCAAGATGCCATCCCAGCTCCAGTCGGCAGTTCCCTGCTGAGCCTCGGATCCGAAAAGGCTAGCCCAACGGTCGTAATCCTCGGCCGAGCCACGCATGTTCATCATGGCGTTTACCGACGCACCACCTCCGACCTGTTTGGCAACGAAGACGTTGCCGACTCTTCCATTCAGGCCAGGCTGCGGTACAGACTGTAGGCCAGGCCAAAGTAGGTCTGTAAAGGCTGAAGTCCGAGTCAGGAAGGAAACCTTGAGATTTTCAGTCATGTTGCCCCAGTCTGCAGCTTCAAGAACCAAGACTTTGGTTTCGGGGTCCTCCGTCAGACGGTCTGCCACAGTCAAACCTGCGGTTCCACCGCCAACAATGACATAATCGTAGCTCTTCAGCAACTGAGATGAGTTGATTTGGCGGGGAATCACGTAGGCGTCAGTGACACAGCTTGCTCCCAGGAGAATCGCGGATGCGATGCCAAGCCACTGTGGCTTGGATTGTTGAAAGAACGGCATGGTAACAAAAGAGCGTTTCTGCCAACTAGCAGATTATGTAAAAGAGAGTGGAAGCTGCTGAGAGATGCCTCCAAGCTTCAGCCATGAGACACGGTAAATCATTTTACTTATACACAAATCTCCTTCTCTCCAGGGCAAAGCGCTTGGCACTCATCCGTGAAGTATTTCCAAGCCGTTACTGTGCTTACTGTATATCTCGCAAATGCATGTCATATTAGACTTCTGATTCGGAAGGTCAACATATGCAGGGGGGAGCTCGGAGATGGGCCCATTAGATGGATCAATTGCCAAGATGCCAAGTCGTGCGGTGGTGCTGTTGGACAACCAACAGAGCAGCATACAGAGTCGAGTTGACGGAGTTGCGGAGGTCACGATCCAGTAGCGAGCCATATGTCGTTGGCTTTCTGCGACTTTATGTGCGACGGCACTGCAAGTGCTAACGGGATCTTAGCCTAATTTGACGATCGGAGGATGTTAGAGCCATGTTCCGCGCCGCTTTTCTGCACTTACTGATCACCACATGACAAGGCTGTTTAAGGTAAATTATAACCTAAAGGAAGGGAATAAGTGGGAATATCCCGACACCCGAGTCCCGGAGGACCTCTTTTCTCCCCAACTTCCTTTTCCTGCGTCGCAAACTCTGTTTGCGTTACGCTCTCCACTTGGAGACACCTAACCGAGCCAACTTTAAAAATAACAAAGTGCGATCCCTTCCGACACAGCCTTACGTCCTCTATGGCCGCTGCTGACAAGCTTGGCACGCGCGACCTTGTGACCAGGAAAGGTAGGTAGCATAGAGTCACAAAGACTTGGGTCTTGGCTATCCTCATAGCCGGTAGCGAGCTCGATGTGTGCTTTACATAAAATTTGAGTTGCTCGGAGCCAAGATGATCGTCGGAAAACGGGCACATACTTGGCAGGGGGTAGACTTCGGTTAACACACCATCCCAAGAATCAGACGATAGAGTTCCGGATGTGGCAGACGGTGCTGTCCGCACAGAGTCCGAGATCCTGGGTCGCTCTAAGTACTTCAAACTACGAGTACTAGGGTGTTGACCGCACAAATCGCCAATGGAAGGGGACGTCCTATCTTTGCCTTCCTATTACAACGAGGTCTCATATAGCCATGCAGACGCAGTTCCAGGCCACATTCTCACTTCAGAACGGTGTTGCTCTCTTAAGCCGTTGGTCAGTCGCTGTAGGCCGTGTTCCTCATAGCCGACATTCATTAAAACCCGCCCTTTACTCACGACGGGGGAAGCTGACATAAACCATGACATATGATCGACCTGCATCAAGTTAAGTCCCTGCCTACCGTAGATCCGTTTATTTTCGTTGTGCGCAAGTAACCTCAGTCGCTTGCAGCGCGTCACTTTTGTCATTGACCAGAAATCGTGGGTCGCCAAGCCAGTGACCTGGGATGAACGACTCGGGCTTGCAAAGTACCTAGAGTCGCGGAACATGCGGACTCCGAAGCCGGTCTGGGATAACCTGGTGTCATGAAATATTATTTTATATTGGCTTGATGGCGAATTTAGCTTTCTCTGAGCGGAACAAGCCATCGTGGATTCCATCACAAATCCGAAACATCATACAGCTTGTCGGCCGGTAACGGAGGATGCCAGCGCATGATCTTATCCCACACGGCAAGCCATACCCCAGATCCTAGGCGGAGCAGAAGTGGACTTCCTCGTTCAAGTAGAACAGTCCCCAAATTTAATAACCAGTTTGGTCGGAGATTCAGTATGTATCATCAATAGGTAGTTCTTCACGGTCGATGCCTTTCCGGGCCCGGCCCGGCTCCGGAGACGATGCCTAAGGTAAGGTAGTTTCAGTCGGGGAACGGATCATTCTGTAAGCACCTTACTCAGGCAACAGTGATGCGTAGGTATAGTTATCGAGAAGAATTTGAGTAGCAACAGCAGTCGGTAGCTTGGAGTCTTCGAAATCTTCTGCTCTCAGAAGACTGGAACATTTCGTGTGAGGTACTCATACCAATTGGGCAAAGTCCTCTTGTATGGATTCCCCTCCGTCGTCAATTGCAAATCCTCAATCGCACTTCCCCACTTGATCAACTCTGCTTCACCGTAAGCAGTTTGCATGATGGCAAGACCGAAACCCATTCCAGTGCTAGAACGAACACCGGCCGGGAGTGTGATCATCGGATACCCGGCCTGGGCTGCAATCTGGTAGGTCTGGCCAACGTCTGGAGGGACAAGAAGACCAGCTAACTTTGTCCCATTGGATGACGTTAGAGCATCGTTAATAGCATTCCGTGTTGATTGCTGGGAGAACTCTACAGCCTGAAGATACACCTCATCCTTGATACCCTTTGATTCGAGAGACGCCAAAAAGCCGTCTTGTCCAGAATAGAACGCGGCTGTGCCGAGTGGCCACGGGTGGCCGCCCTCGGTTCCGTCATTGTCGTAGTTGAATGCAATGATGTCTTCGAAAGTCTTTATGTCGGTATTTTCTAGTTCGGAGAGATAGGTGTTGATGTTGTTGTAAAAGTCAACTTTGACAACGGTGTATTCTGATTCATTGGCGTAGCCTCTCGTGGTGCCATAGTCCCAGTCCCAACCGTCCGGGCTGACAATCGTCTCATAGTCGGTTATTTCAGTGTTGTTGATAATAGTTGCTCCGGCTGATGTGAGGAGCTTGAGTAATTGTTCCAAAGACTCCCTCTGTTCGTCGTCTGCCAGGGCCCAGAAACTGTTCCAGGGAAGTCCGAAGGTGGCGCCTTTCAGGATCTCTTTCTTGGACAAAAATTGGGTGTAACCGCCCTCAGGCGTCTTGCCTTCCTGTGCCAGTGTGTAGTTGTCCCGCTCATCAATGCCGTAGATTGCATCGAAGGCGTACACAGCATCTCTAACCGTGCGACCGAAGGTTCCGACAGAGTCTTGATGCTCGCTCTCGGGAATGACCCTTGCCTCGAGTTAGCAAATCTTTTGAACAGCGAGATCCATAAACCATAAACGTACCCGGCCCTAGAAGTCAGACCAACCGTGGGCTTGAATCCCACAATGGCGTTGCGTTCAGCGGGATTGATGACACTACCATCCGTCTCCGTGCCCAGCGAGAAAGCAATGGCATTCGCCGCGACGCCGACAGCGCTTCCGGTACTGCTCCCGCCCGGGTTGAGGGTGAAGTTATACGGGCTTCGGCACTGACCACCTCGAGCCGAGAAGCCCTCGGAATAATTGTTGCTGCGCATATCAGCCCACTCACTCAAAGCGGCCTTGCCAAACAAGATGGCGCCGGCTTCGTGAAGACGCTTGACGACGTGTGCGTCGCGAGGCACGATGCTGCCCAAGAGCGCAAAACTGCCAGCTGTCGTCTCCATGTTGTCCTTGGTAGCGATATTGTCCTTGACGGTGAATGGTATGCCGTGAAGCGGTCCTCGGATTTTCCCAGCTCTGCGTTCCGAGTCCATCTTCGCAGCTAGCTGGAAGATATCTGGGTTGATCTGCAGGATAGAGCTGTTTTACGTATCAGCGTACGTCCACTCACAAAGTAAAGCGTTTGCTTGAAAATTCAATTACAATTGCAAGCTGGGCCACTCACTGAATGTATTCCTGCGTCTGGTAGGTTCGTTGGATATAACATCCGACTAGTTGCTGAGATGAAAGTGTGCCCGCAGTCAATGCCGCTTGCATCTCATCAATTGTCGCCTCTTCCAACCTGAAAGTTCCACAAAGCAGCATGGGGAACAGGTCTGCAGATCCCACATCTTCAAGTAGCGGGAATACCGAAGGTGCCGTCGTCGAGGAGTTCCCAGGCCAATTTTGACTGGCACTTGACTTGCAGCTGGCCAAGAAGGCTTCAAAGCCCGCCACAATGGCAACCCAGAACTGAGCCTTGTACATTTTGGTTACCTGTCACCACTCTTAACCTGGCAAGCTTCAGAGAGACAAAACAGTCGGGAGGTCGGCTGAGAACACAAGAAATGGCCCAGACACACTTGGTCACATAGTCGGTGTGCCCTATCTGCAGCATTTAAAGCCTCACATCTCAGCTGATAAGCTGACGTACTGTGTGCAACTCTGCCCCGCCCCGAAAAGCCGGTCCGGGTTGCCAGATTGCGGCGGGGCGCAGGTTCCGCCAATGGTTGGCTGCATATTCTTGGGGGCTGTGATGCTGATAGGAGATGATAGGAGAATTGCACTGCGTAAAAGCAAGCCTGGGTGCGACTAGTCTTGCGGGGACTGAATGGGGTTTCTGGAACGACCCAGTCAGTACGGAGTATTACCCTCTGGTATTTGACGGTAAATGGGTATCTTGAATTCGTATCACCATACTGCACAATTCCACTCTCCGCGACTTACATATTATCGATATAGATGGGTACTCTGTGAAGAGGAATAAAAGGGTAACGAATGATTGACCAACTCTAGGAATGAATGGATTGACGTCATCCTTGCAATTTGCGTGCTGAAAGCCAGTCAAGAATCAGAGTAGTTCGCCTCAGACGTTTTAGAGGTCGGAGGCTCATCTTGTTTTCATTCTGCTTCATAATCTACCAGGCGTTTTGATCGATTGTACATAAGAAATCCTAGATCGACATTACATACTTCAAGTTCGCAAGACCTTTTCCACACCATAGGACAACAAAGGGGAAGCGTCACCCTCTCTCTACTGCTGTCCTTGTTTCCTCCCTCATGAACTCATGAAAAGCCTTGCCGAAGATAAGCTGAGGTTCGCAGTCCTCTAAGACGTAGCATTCAAGATTCATTACAGAATTAGGCAGCCCGTCGCCCGTAAAACGAGTCCACTGTATTGGCACCATGCCAATCACCATATTAGCAAGACTCTGAAATGACCCTCGGCCAAACACGATGCCGATCGCCTCGCCGTCCCGCAATGGTTGCACCTCAATTCCAAGTCTCTGAGCCTCGGGCCTCGAAATGATGTTGCCTTTCAAAGTTGGATTGATTGATGCCGTTATCGTTTTGCCAGCAGCTTGCTTTTGGCCATTGACAGTCACATTAATCCCGCGTGTCGACCTGTCGTGATACCGCGTGTCGACAATCACTATCCTATCTAACTTGAGGGCGTGTTTTGAAATATTTACGCTATTTATCGGTATGTTGCAGGGACGTGGTCCTCGCTGTCCATGTCCAGCACTATTTGAGAAAAACATCCAATTTCTAGGAGTTGACAGTGACGACGTTGAGGGTCCGTTAGACGTTGAGGACTCATCGGGCGTTGAGAATCCGTCGCGTGAAGAACCGTAGATCTGTGACATCGTAAGCTTTTGGGGAAGATCATTTGCAATCAGGGTCAATACCTCTGTGCTGCCGATAGAATATGACGATGTAGCAGCTGATGCCGGGATTGGCTTGGGAACTCTCCCGGTTTCCACTATACTTTGACCTAACTGAAGAAGACTATCGTGAGGCAAAACCATGGATAGCTTTGACCCTGCATATGTGGTAGCTGGTGTGCGGTGGTCTGTTCCCCTTCTATCTGCGCTGAATTTCTCCAATGCCCTCATCAACATCTGGATCATCTTCTTCGAGCGATATCTATTTCAGAGCAGCGTTAGGAATCTGCGGATGGTTCCGCGAGGGGCTTTTGTCCGATATACATACATGGAAATTTCCAACTCCTCAATGTCTGTCACGCTCAACTTCGAATGCGGGTCGTTACGCTCCATGGTAGCAATCTCGAAATGTGCCGTCGCCATCAGCAGTTGAAGACTCGTTTTGATGCTCTCCATCTCTGGGAACAAATCCTTGATGCAGTCCTTTTGGTACCACCACTTGAAGAAGCTCAACACGAAGTTCCTGCTTCCAAGATAACTTCTGACCTGGCTGGTGGCCTTCCTAAGCCGCAGTTCGACCGATTCTGACTGGAAAGCTATGTTGTCTAGTGCCCCTTGCGTTGCGATAAAGTCAAGAACAGGAGACTTTGGATACTTCTTGCAGTGCTGATTGAGTGAGAAGTGAGCAGTACGGACAACATCAGAAAATGTAATGGCCTGGATTGCGTATCGCTCAATTTCGTCAGTCCGATAGCCCTGCTGTTCCGAATACTGGTACAAGGCTTTTGCGAACTTTTCGCCGTATTGAACTAGTTGAATTATCGCTGCGAAGCTTGAAACGAGTCCAAGAACCTCGGCCATTCTGCACAAGCTGTGAATTTTCTATTCAAGAGTGAGCAGTGAACCAGAAACATTAGCAACTCGATGGTGGGACGAGTCTTTTAGAACCCTTGCCGAGCATTTTTACCCCATACTCGAAAGACCCGTGGGTGTGAACGCCGCCCATGATTCTCTGCACGCCAATACATCCCGTTTGAGGCGCAGGTGTGAGAGCTGCAGGAAAAGTGAGGCTTGCCGTCCCCCGAAACTACCTTGGGCGGAACGATGGGCTCTCTGTCTCCCTACATGCTGCACCCCAAGGTGCCAATCGCATGTTTGTTATTGATGCAGGCTGCACGCGATGCATATTGTAATGGTGCATCAAGCATATCATGGCTTCTTCCAGAATCAGGCTGCCCACTAGACTTGACGCATTAAAAGTCTCGGTGTCCTGACTGATGCAATTGACTGTGTTGCCTACACCGCCCACCAATTGACGGAAAGGTTCAACGCGGGGTACTCTAATGAGCGGATAGTGAACATTCTATAGAGGAAGCTGGCGAAGAGTTGGTGGCCAGCGGTGTGATTGGTACTACGGATGTACAGTACAGAGCATATTGAGGTGGCATCGCAGGCCAGGTCGGGCGGCGGACGAGACCGATGTGGCCCCACTTCTGCGGACCCCGGCCGGACTATTTGGCTTCGGAGTCGGGCCCAGATTTGCTTGTACGTTGCCGGAGTGGTCCTGTTCCCCCGGTGGATGATGCCGTAGTACCTGAGTATCTTGAGTGAGTAGGTACTGAAACACATTCGAAGAAGTCCTGTGCGCGATGACTAATTCGCGGACCGATGTTGACTTTAGTGATGTCATGGAGCAGTAAACCGTCCGCACACATATCATCAGCTTGCCAGGCCAAACATTCTTCACTCAATCTCGAGACTTCCAAAAGCTGATTCAAGGAGTCTCTCTCAGTAAAAGCCATGACATACTCACGAGTCGGTGTGGTTACCGGCGCCAACAAGGGCATCGGATATGCAGTTGGTAGGTCTTCGTCCGACCCCAGAATCGCGCCATCTCGACTGACTTCTTGCCTTCTCACCAGTCCGACAGCTCGCGCTGCAATACCCTAATTCTCACCTGAACAATGGTTCGCTGCTCATCTATCTGACTGCGCGCGACAAATCTCGCGGCGAGGAGGCGCTCAGCAAGATCCAGGGCGACGCGAATCTCAAGGAGGCCAAGGCCCTGTCTACCCACGGTGGCGCGGCGGACATCAAGTACCACCAACTCGACATCTCAGATTCATCCAGCATTTCGAATCTCGCCTCGTTTCTGAAGAAGGAGCATCCCGATGGCGTTGACTTTATCATCAACAACGCTGGTATCGCCATGCAAGGATTTGGTAAGGACGGCTCCGTAGTGAAGAGCCGGTTGAATCTAAAGGCTGACTCTCTGGGCACAAGACTCAAACGTGGTGAAGAACACCCTAGCGTGCAACTACTACGGCACACTTGAAGCGACACGCGCCTGGATCCCGGTCATGAAGCCAGACGGACGCATCGTCAACGTCGCATCAGTATCGGGGTCCCTAAGCAAGTACTCGCCAGAAATCAAGCAGCGCTTCCTTGACGCACAGTCTGTGTCGGACGTCACCAAGCTGATGGAAGACTTCACCGCCGCGGTCGGGAAGGGCACGCACGAGAAGCAAGGTTGGCCTAGCGCGGCGTACGCGGTCTCCAAGGCCGGCGAGATTGGCATGACCAAGGCCATCGCCAAGGAGTTGCAGGATAAGGGGAGTAAGTTGCTCGTCAACTCGTGCCATCCTGGGTACGTGGTCACGGATATGACGCGAGGCGGCGGCACGAAGACGCCTGATGAGGGCGCGCAGACACCTGTGCATCTGGCGATTGCGGATATTGGTGGCAAGAGTGGAGAGTACTGGTCTGATGAGAAGGTCGCCAGATGGTGAACAACTTGTCGGCACGTGCCCAAACTGAGCAAGATCACGAGGAGGACGTGGGACTAGTTCACGATGGCAAAAATGAGGCCTCGCCAGATTTTGTCGTCGAGGCAAAAGAGAATGAGGTCCATCCAGGATTCGAACCTGGGCCTACGGAAGGTTCTGAGAATCAGAATCCGACGTCCTAACCAACTAGACTAATAGACCGATGTGATTGGTGCTTGTTGTTGGAGTTTCTGATCCCGAGTCGCGCTATAGAGGGGAGAGGGGTAGTGAGTGGGGGCGGCCCGAGAACTTTTCTGGTGTCGCAAGGCTGCGCTAGATTCGTCGCTCATCGAGTTTTGACGTCTCCGATGATAACTTGCCGTAGTTTAGGACTGGGACACCAGGAATAATGATTCGTTGCTGATGGAAAGGTAGAGTTGGGAGACCTGATGAGCTTCCAATGCAGGTCGTTGACTCGTTGTTAGGGTTGTTCTGACTGATACCAGCCATGGGTGTCATTCCGCCCCAGAAAACCACAGTTACTTACGGAGTACATCAAGAAGTAACCAGGTAACCAGCTCTTAAGACATTCGTTCTCACATTTGTTCTCGTGTTGTGGAGAGGCTCGAGACAAGTGAGCATGTGAAAACGGAGCTCGAAATTTCATGAGTGGTCCCGATGGTGGAACATGGAGGAATTGCCCCGCGGAACTGCAGCTCCTAGCGAGGGGTTTTACGTAGCTTTAAGGAGAATGCAGCGGCTCTAGGCCCCTGAGGCGCCGCCAAAAACCTAAAGGTTCGCGGCGCCAGTCGACGCTACGTGCCCACACGGTCACACCCGCTTCTGCAGTAATCATGTACCATAGGAACTCAATGGCTGGATGAGCGAGCCGGTGTGAGTTGACAAATGGCAACGAATTGTGATTTCGTTCCGAGGTTATGTATGGATATTGTGAGCGCGACCCGGCCGAGGTCGAGATGGATAGGAAGACGGCCCGAGTCAACAAGCTTTCATTTCAATAGCTGTCAAACTCAATTCCATGTGGTCGATGGTGGCTTGCTCCATTTGATCATTCGGATTTGGACCAATGATACCGTCAATCTCGCCTTGACCACCTCAAATTCGTGGATACGTTACCTTCCATGAGGCCAAGACTTTGAAGGCGGCGCGGAGACACTATGCCGTCGACACTGTGAACAATGGGTTCATCCGTCTTTCGCCGCCCAATGGGAGACGCTTTAGAGCAATTGACGAGTTATAGTTGCTTGATAGCGTGACGTAGAACTCTGGTCTGCCAAGGGATCCCAACCGGCCCTCAACGGCAATTTGGCAAACCAATTGGCTTCATGATCCTGCCAAGATGCCAAGAGGCACAATCAAAAACTTACGGTAACGCAATCGGGGAATGTGAATGGGATTCCTGTTCTTCGGGGGTGTTGGTCAAGAGGGAACACGGATGCGCAGCAGAGCACTCAACCAGCCACCTGCGCAATCAAAGAGCAGACATGTCCATCTGCGCGGGATGCTTGACGTGATGTGAGCAGCAAATTGGTGCTTCCTTACCCCCAAAGCCAAGTCGCCAATGCGCCTAGCCATCCCACGATGAGGCAGTTCTTGTCCCCCGGCAGGCTCATTGCTTGTCGCCTATCCCTAAAAGCTTCGCTCTGCCTTGGCTCAAGGGGTCCATCGCAACATTGCTCAATCACATTTCGCCAGAGCCCAGGACCAGGTATCTGGTTCAAATAAACCGGACCTGCCACCCATGCGGCGAACGGCAGCTGGAACGGCGCCTTCACCCACACGAAGCACGCAATGGGCAGCCAATCGTCAGGCGAGATGTATTATTGTCACTCGGGTGCAAATGCCTCGTTCTTCCCATCGAATGGTCGTATGGTTACAGTGTCCGGCCTCTCTGTACGCAGCGCAAGCCACGCAGCTGGGCCGCGTGGGATGGAACATGGACCGGACACACCGATGCCAAGCTCTTGGGACGCGCCGACGAATGGTCTCGAACGACTGTCAATGGCAATGCAAAAGGGCCCGGTTCAGATAGAACGAGAGCTATCGGTATGTCACTGACAGCGATGTGCATCCTGCAAAGGACCAGACAGCTGCAGCTGACCCAACATGGTGGGCAGTCCGTCACCAGGATCTCTTACTCTGCTTCTCTGCCTGTAATTATCTGGGCGATCAGACTTGATAGCACCAACCAACGGCACAGGCAAAGTGACCGTCGCACAACATGCGTCGTATCGTGGGACTCTAGTTGCCTACTCGAGAGAGCTTGATAAGGCTCACTATCTTCTCTACCGCGTCATCAAGCATCATGGTCCAGATAGATACGTTTCCCCAGGTACCCCTCTCGCAAGCGTTTGTGGATGAACCTTGTCGACTCTCGAGCTCTGGCCAGTCTTTTCGCGCGCTGCAAATTCGCGTTCAAGGACCGTCAACTTGCCGGGACTTGGAAACATTTCGCGCAGAGTCTAATCAGAGAAACCAGTGAGAAATTCGAGTCAATAAGACAGTACAAGAATCAAGTACTACCATTACTGCAGATAGCTACGCAGTACACCGTCCACAGTCTTTAGACCAGAGTAGAGATGCAAGAAGACGTACGGCACAAACTCCGAGGATGGGAGAAGAGAGGGAATCATCCCCGGAAGAAACAAGCTGGACCGCCCCCATCTTCCCCCATCCCCCGTCGCCGCCTCCTCACTACTCCCTCATACCTCTTCGGGCCCATCCCGCGTTGGGCATGGTTTGCACAGAGACATCCACTCTCTTGCAGACCTCCCTCTTCAGTCCTTCACCCCTCACCCCACTGTTCCCGCCTCTCTGTCCGCTGCGACGCTGCAGTGTAATTGCTGTGGTCCCTGATCTTTGGGAATTCTTGAAAAGGATCTGCAGTCGCAGTGTTGGTCGCGCGAAAGACTTCTTTCGGTCTCTTCTCGCTCTTCTTCCTCTTCTCCTACGTGCGGCTTTTCCTAACATATTCTAAAGCGAGGAGCAAAATCACATCAGACCCCGAGACATCGACCGGTGCTTGTGTGCAGAGTGAAACCCTCATGGAATTCAAAGTCCAATTCTTCTGTCTTCTGCTCAAAGCCCTTTGGTAATTTGAGGCTCGCATAACCGTGACTGCTCCAAGGCTACAATTATCGAGATCATCAAGCTCGCTCAACTCGCCACGAGCGCACTCTCGGACCGTTGAGTCCCCCTCTTCTTCGACCGCTGCCCCGACTCGATTCGAAACGAGGCCGCGCCGAGATCCCCCACTAAACCGGGCCTAATCCCCCACATCTTCCCCCTCTCCCGACCGACCGACCATGTCATCCACCGGCATCGAGCGCGCGGGGCACCGCGATGGCCTTCCGGACTATGGAGGCGGCTACTCCGAACGTGGCCGTTTTCCCGATGAAAAGGGCGTCGGGGAGCCATATGGCGAGCCCTTGGACGGCGGATTTCGGTCTTCGCTCGATTCTGGCGACAAGGGAGACCACACGCACCGCAAGCTCAAGTCGCGACACATTCAACTGATTGGCATTGGCGGAACAATTGGTACGTCTTCCGACTTCAGATCTACGTCAGAAAGACAAATCCAGCTCACACTGATATAGGAACCGCTCTTTACGTACGTTATCACGAAGCACGAGTTGATCGGAAATCATATCTCAACTTCGGGTACTCACACAATCATAGGTCCAAATCGGAAGAGGTCTGCTCAATGGCGGCCCCGCCAGCTTGTTCCTCGCCTTTACGATCTGGTGCACTTTTATCTTGGCCGTGACCCTGAGCATGGCTGAGATGGTCACTTACCTCCCGATCTCGAGTCCTTTTATCCGCTTCGCCGGTCGCTACGTAGATGAGGCCTTTGGCTTCGCTGCCGGATGGAACTTTTTCGTCTTTGAAGCCGCTCTCGTCCCCTTCGAGGTCGTCGCATGCAACCTCATTATCCACTTTTGGAGCGATGTTGTACCGGCTGGAGGCATCATTGCCATCATTCTTGTCCTATACGGTATCATCAATGTCATGGCGGTGCAGTGGTATGGCGAGACTGAGTTCTGGGCTGCACTTGGCAAGTTCTTGCTCATCGTGGGACTCATCATCTTTACGTTCATCGTCATGCTAGGAGGTGCGTTTCTAGATACAAAACATCGCTCGGTAGTCCGAAACATAGTGCTGATTGTGTCTTCTAGGAAACCCGCTCGGAGACAGATTCGGCTTCCGGTGAGTAGTTGTCTTCACTCTCTCGCGCCAGCCGCGCCCTTTGATCTAATGAATTCAACCATCTAGATACTGGTACGAACCAGGCGCATTCACAGAGCTCTACTACAGCGGCTCACTCGGACGCTTCCTGGGCTTCTTACAATGCCTGATCCAAGCCTCCTTCACCATCGCAGGACCCGATTACGTCGCCATGGCCGCCGGTGAAGCTGAGAACCCGCGCAAGGTCATGCCCCGCGCCTTCAACGCCGTGTTCTACCGCCTGACCGCCTTCTTCGTCCTCGGCTCCCTTTGCGTCGGCATCCTCGTCCCCTACAACGACGAGGAGCTCACCCGCGCCTTCAAGGACGACGAGCCCGGCGCCTCGGCCTCGCCTTATGTCGTCGCTATGAATCGTCTCAAGATTAGCGGCCTGCCGCACATCGTCAACGCCATGGTCCTCACTGCAGCCTTCTCCGCCGGAAACTCGTACGTCTACTGCGCATCGCGATCGCTATACGGATTGGCGCTTGAAGGCAAGGCGCCTGCTTTCTTCAAGAAGTGCACAAAGAAGGGTGTGCCGGTATACTGCGTTATTGCCGTCTTGCTCATCGGCCTTCTGAGCTTCCTGCAACTTAGCGCCAACACGGCTGTTGTGCTGAACTGGTTTGTGAGCTTGGTCACCGCCTCACAGCTGATCAACTTCTCCTGCATGTGTACGGCGTACCTGGGTTTCTATCGTGCGCTCGAGGCTCAAGGTATCAGTCGTGATACGCTTCCGTACAAGGCTTGGTTCCAGCCGTATGCTGCCTGGTACGGTCTCATCGGCACCTTCATTATGACGTTTGTTGGAGGGTACACTGTTTTCCTGCCTTTAGATGGATACTGGAGCATCCCCGATTTCCTGTTCTCGTAAGCCACTCCTCATCTCCAGCTTGCCTCGATGGTATACTGACGGAACACACAAGATACACGATGGTCGGTATTTTCCCAGTGTTGTACCTGGGCTGGAAGTTCCTTAAGAAGACCAAGATCTTCAAGCCGGAAGAGGTCGACCTGTACCGCAACAAGGATGAGATTGACGAGTATGAGAGGACCTTCGTACCCACTCCTGCCAAGTAAGTTGACGATGTGATCGGCCAGTCATCAAGTATTCTAACGGGCATAACCAGGAACGTCTTTGAGAGGATTCTAGACAAGCTGTTTGGTTAGAATCGCTCTTGTAATGACGTGTACATCTGTTGCGTTACCGGCGTTCAAAGTGGAAAGACATAAATATCTCGTGGGCAGAACATTACACAATTGACGGTATACCAATGGTGCGGATTGATGGTAAAAAAATATTTGTCCATGTATCTATCGTGATTGGCACCTCATTCCTGTCCGTTTGCCACAAGGATGCGGCCGCCATCGATGCATAAGTTGATACCGTCAACGTACGACTTGTCGCGTGTCAGTTATGAAGTAACGTAACGATCGCGAGGAACTTTTTTCGTCCGGGACATGACCACAGGAACGAGAAGACATGAGGCTTACCCCGGCTCTGCTTGCAAGATAAATCACCGCGCCGGCGATGTCTTCCTCTTGACCAGCTCTTTTGGCAGGAACTTTGTCGAACAAGGCACTGAACACATTGCCTTCTTTCCCAATAGGATTCATGCGGCTCGGGAAAACTAAACAAAAGTCAGCGTGTAGCAAGACACCATCTAGCGACGAAGTTCGGCACGATGAACAGCGTCTATCATGCGGCCACTTACATCCGGGGTTCAAGCCCACAACTCTGATGTAAAATCCTCTGAACTTGGCGGCCAGAAGCCTCACTAAGTGATCTGTGGCGGCTTTACTCGCGGCGTAGCTCGTCAAGTCGACGTTTGTGACGTTGTGCATGCTGGCGCATGAGCTGGTGATAATCACGGCCCCGCGTCCTTCACGACTACCTGGCCGGCCATCGTCGTCTGGTTTCGTAGCTTTCCGTAATAATGGTAGAAATGCGACAGCCAGGTAATAGTGAGCTGTGACGTTGACAGTGAATGTGTCTTCCCAGTCTCTTTGGCTCGAAGACGCCATCGAATTTTGCAGTTCAAGGACGTCAGTGGTCAGGACGTCGCAAGGTTCGAACGGGTCCCGTCGAATACCAGCGTTGGATACGAGCAAGTCAAGGCAGCCTTCTTGCTCTTCGATATCTCTCGCGAGCTTCGGGATCTCATAAGTCATCGACAGGTTGCATGGCATACTGGTGTTGTTAGAAAACGCCTCGTTCAAAGCCATAACCTCGGCATTACCCTATTGCGCTTCCTCCAGAAGCCTTGCCTAATTCATTAAGCTCTTCGACGGCTTCTTCGATCGGGTCACTTGGTAAAGCAACCACATACACCTTGGCACCATTTGTCACGAGACCCTAAAGTAATTAGATCGGAATATGCTTAACTTGGGAGACCAAGGCCGCAGGATATGGGGTAATACCTTGCATATCATCAGGCCCAACCCGCTACTGCCCCCTGTTACCACCGCGACATAGCCCTTGACCGAGAAGAGTCGCGTGATATCGAGCGAGGCCATATCTGTGATTCTAGAAGGAATTTCTGCTAGTTCTGGGTACGTTGAATGTTGTTTTGTGATTCCATCTCCTACCATGGATGGCGTATTGCTTATCAGGTTGGCAAGCAGCGCGTCGGTCCGGCCGACATGCCACCTCTTCTGTTATCAGACGAGGGCGGGGTAATGCCGTGATGCACCTCGAACTGCCGTCGGAACATCCGATCGTGTTCCAACTCACAAACCAACATGCTCCCATTCACCAACGATGGCGCCAGACTTTGCGCTTGCTCAAGCTAAAACATCGTGCAAGCGATGTCACCGACGAAAGAAGAGATGTGATCGCAGTCTGCCCGAATGCAGGAACTGCAGCGGGGCTCAAGTCTCGTGCAGCTTCCTCGATGATGATCGCGTGGTGGCATCTTATCCCGTCATGTAAGTATATCATCTCGCATTCTTAATCAAACAGTCTGGTATGTTCTAATCTGTGCATGTTGAGTAGATATGTGCGCAGTCTCGAGGCGAAAGTCCATTCTCTCGAGAAGACACTTGAATCACTACGGTCTGCGAGAGGAAGGGTGCCAGACTCAGAAACGCAACTCTCAAACCTGGATTCAAGTGACATGCAGACTACCACAGGTCATCAAGAGGCAGATGCAAACGGTACGAGCATACCTTATGAGCCCTCGCCTGACCAGCTGCCACTCTTGCAGTCCTCTCCTTCTTTCGTCGAAGAGCTCAAAATCCTCTCCTTTGAGGCAACAGCTGATCGTCATCTTGGATCTTCATCTGGCCTCTCCTTCGCCAAGTTGACACAAACCGTCCTCCGACGCCTGAATCCCGACAAGGCTGACTTCAGCTTCAACAATTTTGAGACTGAGGATGACATGTGGCCGCAGTTGAACTTTCTCTCGACTTCAGACCTTTTGGATTCATCACTGTTCGGTGGATTCCGGGACCCCTTCATGTGCTACCCTTCGATGCTTGATGGATTCTCCCCAACTGCGCCAGCCGAGCCCACCTCCCACCCAGAGCAACCAGTTTCGCTCGAAGGCAGTCATGTTGACCAGCTCATACGGTTCTACTTCGCTCACTCCCATACGTTATACCCAATTGTCCATCGTGAGGAGTTTGGTAAGATACTAGATCACGTTCGAGCGGATCCTCTGTGTGCCTTAGCCCAGTCATCCCTGTGCCAATTCCGCATATGGATGGTCCTTGCCATTGGATCAACAGCGCAATGCTCAGTTACCCTTTCAGATGAGTCCGAATCAATGATGTACTACAACAAAGCACTCGAGCACTTTGAAGGTGCTCTCGATTATGGATACATGGTAAGTGTATTCGTGTGAGTGGATTAGCGGAGCAGGTGGAGGCTGACTCTTGATTGCAGGCCGCGTTGGAAGTTGTACTTCTGCAAGTTTCTTATTCTTTTTTCAACCAACTCGGGCCCAGTACGTGATGCTATGGATCGTCCTCAAAATTCTTTCTAATTTCTTGCTCAAAGATACATGGACTTTGGTTGGTCTCGGCGCGCGTATGGCAATTGGATTGGGCATGCATGCCTCCTCAACCTATGAAGGCCTACCAGCCGACGTGTCTGAAAAGCGGAAGAGACTATTCTTTTCCGTTTATATGATGGATCGGTGAGCCTTGAAAACCTCCAATGCTGCTTATCCTGGTTTTCTAATCGTGTCCAACAGCGTGGTCTCAATAGCTCTAGGCCGCCCATTTGCCATCAATGACGATGATGTTGATGTGACGGTAAGACATAGGCACTCTTGGACCTTGCTGAGTTACCCGTTTGGTATGACAACTAACTCGTATTATCAGCCCTTCACAGCGGTGCACGATAACAGCGTTGGGGCGGAAAGCAACCCGCTCGGGAACTCATTCAAGCCATCTGCGATGGCGGTCCCCCTCCACATTCTCGAACTGCGGCGGATTGCCAGCGATATTACGACTTTAGTCTATTCGCACAGAAAATCTGCCAGCCTAAGTGTTGAAAAGCGCGAAGAAGTAACATATTCACTTCATCAGAGACTTCTTGACTGGCGTCGTAATATGCCCTTCCCCCTTCCACACACCGACGCGGCAGTACCACACCTCAACAGCAGCTGGTATGACTTCAACTACTACCTTCATCTTGCCATGTTATATCGACCATCTCCGTTGTTCCCGATTCTAACACAAAGTCGTGTAAAAATACTAGCGGAAGCTGCATCCATGTCTATTCGGCAAGTGTCCAATATGCACCGACAACAGTGCCTTGCCTACAATTGGCTCAACCTTCTCTCGATATTTACCGCAACTTTGTCCCTGATATACGCCACAACTGTCCAGCCAGATAATTTGACCTCTGTTTTGAAGGACAAGAGAGCAGTGGCCGACCTTGACTTGACTATTGAGCTATTTGACAAACTTAGCGTCAAGTTCCCTGTGGCCGGCAAGATACGTCGGATGGTTGAACAGATATCTACTAGGTACAAGGAAATGATGGAAGTTGACGAGGCGTGAGCTGATATGCCAAGAAATCAGCGACTTACTATTTATTGCAATCTCATCCAGTCAAGTTTATCGGTATGAATGATGTCTAAGTTACCAGCGCTGATCATTGGTTGGTTGGCGGCTTGTCCGACACAGATGATAAGCCTCCAGCCTGAGGGGTCGGGTCGTCCGATGATTAATCGCCACATCGCTATTCGACCCCCGACCGACATGGTCGCAATTGAGGGGGAGGATAGATACATGGGAACTTTCCGGGGGTTTAACTTTTACGAACTTGCTATTCTCCTTAGCCCAGACTCATATAATTACTGTTGGCAGTGTTCTATTGTTCCTTTGTCGCAGATGTAACTACTATTACTTTGCTCCTGATTTGATATTCAACGAGAAGCTAGATAGGGTCAACTCATGATGTCGGCCTTACTCAATGTGACGGGCTCATCCCAATTATTTGAGAACGCAGGACTTGTTCAGGGTCTTTTCTCTCTTATACCTATCCTTGCAACGACTCTAGCTTTACTGGCCTCCTACGTCGCCTACAATGTGAGTCTCTACATCAGACCTGCCAGCTCGTCACCTATGCTGGCTCTACGATACGTATACTAACTCCACAGGTTGCCTTCGGCACTGAGATTCCTCACATTAAAGGACTTCCGCAAATGTCAGGCGCGGTCCCAATCTTTGGACATCTTCTGAAGCTCGGCGAAGACCACGCGACCACTTGCGAGAATTGGTGGCGGAAAGGGAACCCATCCACCTTCCAAATAAAGTTGGGAAACACCAGAGCCGTGGTCTTCAACTCCTATGAAGACATTCGCCGACTGCTCATCGGCCACCAGAATGCAGTCATCGACCGGCCGAAACTGTATACCTTCCACGGCCTCATCAGCAGCACGCAGGGCTTCACGATCGGATCGTCACCCTGGGATGACTCCTGCCGCCGGAAACGCAAGGCCGCGGGTACGGCGCTCGGGAGACCAGCCCTACGCAGCTATTCCCCCATGTTTGACCTTGAGAGCTACTGCATCCTCAGAGACTTGCACAAGGACAGTCGCAACGGTGAGGTGGAGATCAGCGTGCGGCCGTACATCCAGCGATATGCATTGAATACAACGCTGACGCTCTGCTACGGCATCCGTATGGACGCTGTTTACGATGACCTCCTGCGCGAGATCCTGCATGTCGGGTCAGCGATCTCGCTTTTGCGCAGTGCTTCCGAGAACACTCAAGACTACGTCCCCATTATGCGTTACTTCCCAAACAATGAGAAGAGCCGCCGTTCCAAGGATCTTAGGGAACGCCGTGACGCATATTTGAATCTGCTTCTTGATAAAGTCCGTGAGCAAATCAAGCGTGGCACCGATAAGCCTTGCATCTCAGCGGCCATCTTGAAGAACGAAGAAACCAAACTTAGCGGAGTCGAAGTCTCGTCTATCTGTCTCTCACTCGTATCTGGAGGATTCGAGACGATACCTGGAACCCTCACTTCGACTATCGGGTCCCTTGCCACAAATGAGGGGCAAGCTTGGCAAGACCGGGCCTACGAGGATATCAAGCGTTACTACCCAGATGTGCGCGAAGCGTGGGCTTCTTGCTATGTGGAAGAGAAGATTCCATACATCAACGCGATCATCAGGGAAGCTGGAAGATACTACACAGTCAGTTCTATGAGTCTTCCTCGAAAGACTGTGACCGAAGTCAACTGGAACGGGGCCATCATCCCCCCAAAGACAATGATCTTGGTCAATGCACAAGCCGGGAATCATGGTGCGTTTTTGCCTGCTCCGGTCGTTGGGGTTCTTAGAATCTTACTAATATTGATCTAGACGTCGGGCATTTTGGTGACGATGCTGGACATTTTGATCCTGAGAGGTGGCTCGAAACTATTGATCCCCCTACGGAAAAGGAGGTCTCAGGCGTCGGTCACCTCAGCTTCGGACTCGGCTCCCGCGGCTGCTCCGGGCAATACATCGCCCAACGTCTGTTATACACAGCTTTGGTACGATTACTATCGTCGTACAAGATTGTTGCGAGCGAAGAACTACCCCCGAATACGGACTATGTTGAGTATAACCAGTTCAAGACGGCTTTGGTGGCGATCCCCAAGGACTTCAAGGTGAAGCTCATACCCAGAGACACGGCTGTGACCAGTGATTGCTTGAGAGCTGCGGAGGAGAGAACTAGAGAGCATTACGTCGAGTAAGGTCGTTCGGATAAGTCTAGTTGCAGACACGTTGGTAGACTTTGCTCCAATATCTTATTCTTTGACCCCCAATGTGATACTCTGCACGGCTTCCAAGGACAACATCTTTTTACAGATTCTTGTACCGGGATGGTCCATCATCGCCCATTATGCACGCTCTTAAGCCTTTGGAATTCAGTCGCTGGTGCACTTGCAAATGCATCGCTAAATCTCAGTATCCAAAGCAATCACTCCGTCAGTCATGTCTGAAAGGAAAGCTAAAGTCTGGTTGGATTCATGCTCACATGTTTTTCTGCTGGCTTTGCTACATTCTCGCCTTCCACATGACTATGACTTCCGAGAGCTCCGTGAGTGAACAGTGAAAACGTAAAGTATCTCAATCTCGAGTATGATCACAGCGCCCTTCGATATTCCACCCCAAGCTTGAGTCGACGGGCGGGCTTTTTCACAGATCCGGCAAAGATCACAGAGACATTTCCATAACACATGCTGAAAGCATTGACCAGTAGCCGGATCACCCAGAGTCACAGAGCCGGGAAGAGTCGGAAGGGACCCTACCTCATGAGTCCGAGCATTCAGAAGCCTGCCCGGTTTGTTCCTTTGGAGGTGCCTTAGGGTAGTCTGGTCATCCGTTGACAAGAGCCACACGATTGCTGTTCTCAGTCCCTGCAGATAATTAGCCATTTAGGCGGCCCGTGTTGAGCCTATCAGAAAGCCCGATCCGGAATTCCCAAAGGCACGTCAAAAAGGGTAAAGATTCAGAATTTCAATCTCTATCTAGCCTTCGACCTTGCAGCGGGGGTCCAAGAGGGAAGCGCGAAACCACAACCGCCCGTCGGAAGTAAGAAAAGGTAGACATGACATGAAAGCTTCACGGAGCTGGCGGACAGTTATACTGAGCGGGGAATAGTATCAGGGTCATTTGTGCATGAAACTGTTTAGTTTAACCCAACATTAAGCTCCTCAAATGACTGAACGAACCGCTGAGAATGAGGGGGGGGCATCCTCTTTGCCACTCTCGAAACAAACGTTAATGTTCCTGGAATCCAGACATCAAAGCCGTCAATCTCGTCTAAAGACCAAGGTCTAGGATAAAAGAGAAAGCTTCTGAGCTTAATTGCGGGAGCTCGGGGCGGAACCAGAACCCCTCGGCGACCTGACGATGATTACCTTTCAACTCAGAAAAGAAGGGATCACTCCGAGATCGAATAAGTAATTGGCGGCGAATCAGATTTGGTGACAGTCTCAAATTATCATGGAAAGTTGGAAACCCCCGACCCGCTTCGATTCCCGATTAACTCAAAGTTCATCCCGTCTGTCCCCTCTTTACTTTATATGCTTTGGTGATAGTTGCAGCTACTTTGGGAGTGTACTTCCCCCACGGGTTTCAAAGGACCCAAAATCTCATCTCAGATCATCTCATCTCTGACCCAAGACTTTCAGGCCGTCATGGATCTCGGCTCTCGTCCCTTCTCTGACACATCTCATCCCCCTTGGCCACCACCCGTTCGCCGTCCGGCGCGGAAACCCCAAAGAGCCCAGAACCTCTCTCTCGAGTCCTAACGAATCGCATCGTTTCCAGGACGAAACGTATTCAAATCCTCATTCGTCCATCGCGTCGAGAGATGAAGATAAGCAGAGATGGCCGTAGCGGTCGTCGGAACGTGGTTCCTGTGCGTAGGGCTTGGCATGTCTGGGAGCTTTGCCATTCGCCCCCTCGAGCTCCCAGCTCCCCTCCAGTTCAAGCTCAGCTAAGCTTCAGCTCAGCTCTTTGCCTCCTCCTGAAAAGGTCACAGTAATTCAAATTCCCATCCACTGGATGCCGTTCGCCGCTTAGTCATGTTCACGAACTGTGAGTCTGTGACACCCAGCGGCAGGTCGCCGAAACTTGAACGGACGGGTATCTGTCACGATCTGATCTCAACGGGACCATGGGCTCCACCACCGTTCCGTTTGGAATTTTGCTACCGTTTCGAGAAGCGCCAGACGCCGTTTCCCTTTCTTGTGAGTGTTCTATCGTTGAGGTTGGAGATCCTGGCGCGCAGAAAGACAGTATCGCGACTTCGACTTCGACTTCCATGATCAGTTCTCAACCTGGCTTCAACCATCACATACGACCATACCCATTGGAAAACTCGGGATCCCGTCCGCTCTCCCATAGATAAGCCAATGAGGGCCGGATTAGTAGTTGGGTCGGTGACGACCAGCGAATACCTGGTGTTGTATGTTTTTGATTTTTGTGAAGCTATCGTGATCCACTCAGATCGGTGGTGGTAGGCGGTTATGCGGGGGGGAGGGGGGGAGCGGGGGGGGTGACGATATTTTGTGGGATGCGGGGCGGCTAATTACACGAGTGTTTTCAAGAGAAGTCTTTCAGTTGTGTTCAATGATTGTGGTATAAGTGTAAATGTCTATATTCATACATCGTAGAAGGTATATCCAGTCCGTGTCACATTCTAGACCCCTAGATGACCAGCTCCTTCAGTAGCATCGGCATCTTTCCATATATAAAAAATAAGCCCGTAACAAAGGGAATCCCTGATACCAATCCGAATGATCCATCAGCGCCGTCCATGATCTCACCAGAATCTTATCCCATTTCATCAAACATTCTTAGCCGTCCATCCTCATTAGCCTCTCATCACCTCCACGTACACAGCACCAGTGATCCTATGAAAGCATCGTCGGCGACGAGCGTCCAGAACAGCTGGCGCTATCCTCTCCATCAACGTATCCCTTCTCGTTACCTGAGTCCACATCGCTCTCAGTCGCCCATCGACCAGGGCACCCGGGGATATCGCGCTCATGTTCGCGGTATTGCTTCTCGCGCTCACCATCCTCCTTCCTCTGGCGGAGATTCAACGTGACGGAAGGCGGCTTCACAGACATGGCAGCCCTCTTCTTCTCGCGAGTGTCGATATCGGGCATGCCCATGTTCATCATCAGCTCCTCGTTCTCCTCCTCCTCCTTGGCGGCGTCGAACATGGCCTTCATCAGGTCGACTTTCTCGGGCGTGCGCGCAGTGACGTCAAAGTCGAAGAAAGCGGGCTTGGCGATCAGAAGAGGGGTATAGTCATTCCAGTGAACGGGGACTTCAGTGCCGTCGGCATTGAACTTTTTGCGAATGTTGAAAGCCCAGGCCATGCCTCCCATGGACAGGAAGAGATCCTGATCGACAATGGGGACACCCTGGCACGTTCTGCGACCGAAACCGAAT